ATTTCCAGTTTACGTATACGTAATACAAAACAATGTCAACTCAAAGAAGTAGTAACCTGTAGAAGGTGCACTAATGACATGCCAGGTGCATCGATTAAAGAAAACTGGAAGGAAGCCAATTACTAACATTAATATTTATTTTTGTCATATTTATGCGTAGAGCCACATATTGAGCCTTCCTAACACTTTTTTTGTGAAATTATTAGACGTCAAGTCAAGACTCAAGATTTGATAAATGGTTAAACAAACATTAGACTTTTTATGACACAGTTTTCAGCATTTCATCATAATGTCAAAGATAAAGTGCATCTGTTGTTTAGTTGAAAGTTGAAACTCATATTTAAATTTCGAATATTGTCCATGGAGTTTTTACATCATAAGTGTATAATATCGATATATTTTGCAGTTAACTAAAATGGAACTTCTATGTAAAATTGTCTGGAATCCTTAATGTTTTGTGAAATGGTTCACACAATCAGATCATATTTCAATATAAAAGTAAAATCCGGTGAAAGTTAGGAGGATTTTATTGAATAAACTTTTCTATATTCCAGACTTAAAACAAAGAAATCGTTCTTCTGAGAGTCAAAATTATTTGGTTAAAATTTCTACTAGGAAAGTAAACAGATACAAAAAATTAAAAAATTCTTTTTATCTCATAAATCAAGCAAAAATGCAGTGTTGAATTACTAAATGATAAACAGATGGCGCCCATAGTTGGTCACGTTGTATCAATACTACGAAGTTCGTTGAAATATGCCCAATAACCTCAGAAACAACCATTTTCAGCAACATCAATATAGATACTTTCCATAAAACTTGCCTTTACAAGTTACAACAGCAAATGGTGGCACAAAAACAGAATTTCGGGAATTTATTGTTGATACAATTTTGATAGGGTCAACTGTTACAAAGGCTATAATTTGATCATGCATGTTTTCAAGCAATTTAAAGTTTCAAACTTTTAACTGCTCAAAAGCGGGAGGAGCAGCAGACATTTCTCCAAAACATTTTTATAATACTGGAATAAATGATATCTACCTACTCCCCACCCCTTCCTTATTCTTCAGGCTGAGACGGTAGGTATTTTATGTAGACGACCGACGAGAAAGGAGTTTTAGGAGAAGTAAAAACAAAGAAACCCATCTTCATTAAAGAAAAGAAATAGTAAATCGAAAACATAAGTTATATCGAAAAAGTTTTTTCGTATTATGATAAGTACAATACAAGAAAATAAAAAGAACGAAACGATTCTATTTTTGAATATTAATTCCATTGGTGACCGATAGTCTATACAAAATAATGTTTTTAATATCCAACATGACTAGTACTCGAATCAATACTATTCAAATCAACTGTATTCAAATTGGCATAGAGATGTAGTACTTCAGGTTACTTTTAAGATGTTAGAGTGCTACTTTATATCCTTAATAATATAACTCTCGTCATAGAATCCTTCCCTCTCAAAACCCAGGAAAATTATTAGACAAAAGTAATGTATTTCAGTACAAGAAGACATACGCACAGGTGAAAAAGATAATGGCGATGAAAGATTATAATGGGAGAATGCCTGTGTGACTGATTGTGTTTAGCGGGAAAAAGGGTAAAAAGGCAAGATCGCTTGCCACAAGATGTATTTGTTGCCACAAGCTTTTGTTGTGCAGAAAATCAGAAGACATGCAAAATATACTACGTTTGGGAAGCGAAGAGAGTAAATTACAAAGATGTTTTTACAGGACTACATCACGCAAGCCTTATCTTGAGCCATAATCGCCAAAAGTATTGGTAACAATTGGCATCGATGAATCTCTGTGAAAGTGATTTGGTTAATCAATAAGGTCAGAAGAAATATCATCGACGTTCTCAGGTTTAAAGTTATCAGACGTCCTTTCATTTGCACCACAGTCATCGTTTTGCCCTTCACTAGATTCAATTAGGATAAATTCTTCCTTCTGCTTTTGAAAATGCCCGTAGTCCGCAAGTAGAGGAACTGGTAACGAGTTCGGTAGCTTATTATCACTTGAGGTTTTTGTGTTGGGTGTAAGAGATGTAATAGCCGTGTCGATGTGACTGAATTCGGAATCATGTTCGATTGTTGAGCCATGAAATGTTAACGTTCCTTTCAAGATGTCACGAACCTGACATATAGTGAAGATGCAGGTTGTCAATATATTGTATCAGCATATCGATATATAAAGACTTTTCTCACAGCTCATCGTTTTACCTGTTTTAGACCAGCCAAGGACAAGTATACAACATCCATACATTTCTCATCTTGAGTTATTTGTTCTTGTAGATGATCTAAATAATAACACATTAGCAAAGACACTATAATTTAGAGGCAAATATATATCAAGAAACACTCAAATACCAAGTTACGGATTTTCCAATTTACAAGTTATCTCGTACAGCCATAACCTCATTTAATGCCATTTCGTAAATAATCATACAGGCATTATAGGGTAAAAAAAACATCAAGCACCAATCAATATTTTATATAAAAAGTGATAAATGAAAGCATCGTACTTATGTAGGTGTCCATTTTAGAACCACAATAGATCGATATTGACTGAAGTTTATCTACTTCCGCTTTGAAATGAGAGACTTGATCTTGAAGACGTTCATGGTCCTAAAAAATATCAAACACACGCTTGTTTGAATGTTCCCTGTTAAATTCATAGACATGGTGATTTAAATACAATTCTTAAGTAACGACAACTGTTCAACGAAGAGTAAAGGTGTTTTATCAAGTTACTAAGTTTTATACGTACCAAATACTTTTCAAATAGGCCGCAAAGATATTTTCAAAAAATTTTTTTCTCAATCCATTAAAACTATTTAAGTTTTCACGCAGCTGTAGATGAGATTGATTTATTTTATGTAAGTATAATTTTCAGCCTTTACAAAATTTGAAAAATAATAGAATAAACTTGATTTTATTTAGCCACAAATTCCGGAAACAACAAATTTCTCTAAGAAAATAAATTACATGATAACAGTACGTTTATTCGATTTATCTAATGTTTTGTTTGATTTAGTCTAGTTTTTGTCATGACTTAGCTTGTCGTTTTTTGCTGAGTTCTATTCAAATAAAAATATTTGCATTTCAACGATTGGTTTTTGCATATGAAAGTAAATTAAAGTGCATTGGAGCACATGCAAATAAGTTTTCATTCTGCAACAAATATGAAATATTCTGTAAAGTAGGACAAATTAGCACATCAGAAAACAATTGCACAGTTTCTACATCATCAGAAGAAAATTGCACAGTTTTTACACATCAGAAGAAAACAATTGCGCAGTTTCTACATCAGAAGAAAACAAATACACAGTTTCTACACATCAGAAGAAAACAAATAAACAGTTTCTACACATCAGAAGAAACAATTGCACAGTTTCTACATCAGAAGAAACAATTGCACAGTTTCTACACATCAGAAAACAATTGCACAGTTTCTACACATCACAAGAAAACAGTTTCTACACATCAGAAGAAAACAATTGCACAGTTTCTACACATCACAAGAAAACAATTGCACAGTTTCTACATCAGAAGAAAACAAATGCACAGTTTCTACACATCAGAAGAAAACAATTTCACAGTTTCTACACATTAGAAGAAAACAATTTCACAGTTTCTGCACATTAGAAGAAAACAATTTCACAGTTTCTACACATCAGAAGAAAACAATTTCACAGTTTCTACACATCAGAGAAAACAATTGCACAGTTTCTACATCAGAAGAAAACAAATCACAGTTTCTACATCAGAAGAAAAAATTTCAGAAAACAATTGCACAGTTTCAGAAAAACAATTTCAGATGAAAACAATTACAGTTTCTACACATCAGAAGAAAACAAATGCACAGTTTCTACATCAGAGAAAACAATTTCACAGTTTCTATTAGAAGAAAACAATTTCACAGTTTCTACACATTAGAAGAAAACAATTTCACAGTTTCTACACATTAGAAAAAACAATTTCACAGTTTCTACATCAGAAGAAAACAATTTCACAGTTTCTACACATCAGAAAGAAAACAATTGCACAGTTTCTACACATCAGAAGAAAACAATTGCACAGTTTCTACACATCAGAAGAAAACAATTTTCACAGTTTCTACATACTTGCTGTAAAGCAGTGATGTCAGTTCGACTTGGATGACGAACTTTCGATGATAGTTTTGACAAAACGCCGTACTGGCAGATGTTCTGTTGGATCTTGGTGACATCATAAATAAATCGTCATCATCAGGATCACTGGAACATGTGGGATGACGGGGATGACTTTGTTCTCTAAATTGTTCGCAATATTACAACAATGCACAAAATTCTTCGTCAACAGTGATTAAAATAAACAAAATCATGTGAACATTCACCATAAAGAAAAATATTTCCAGACTCCAAGAATTTTTGCCAGATAGTATAAATATTGAACAAACAACATTACACGAAAATAATTTCATTCAAAGTTTTTTCCATTTCAGCATTATACTTTTTGATAAAAAAAACTGATGATGATGAAATCAAGATATTTACCCTTCATTTCAACTGGTTTCTTTTTTTCATTAACAGAGGATTTATTTTCCAATCTGTTTTCAGCATTGTATGTATCATTGATTTCCGGTCCTCTCTTTGATGGAATTTGTCTGGTGCCTCGCAAGACAGCCTGTAATCCATTCGTTATTCTTGAATGAAAAGCATCTTGGTTCTGCAATAATTCATTTTGATTGAATGAAGAAGTCGGGCATATTTGAACTATTTTGTAGATTAACTTTTGAAATGAAAATGAAAATTACAGACTTGACTGTAGTTAAACTATAAAAGTAGCATGAAAAAGTAGGAAACAGTAATAGTTCTTGGAGAAATAGGAAAAAATTATTTGTGAATATCAAAATATATTGTCTCATATTACACAATGCACCATTAAGTCTAAAGATAGAAATTTAACAAATACAAATTGTTCAAAATTCCAACAATTTCCACTTAAATTATTCAAAATAGGCAATACATACGGGAAACTCAGGGCGACAGATGACTTTAGTTGTTCTTTTGCCAGATAAACCATTTTTCTTTTAGGATCAAGCTAGAAAAATAAAAATACATTAAAACAAATTCACTTGAGCCGCCAACATCTCAGAGACAAAGTTAAAGTGGAACTATGATCTTCGTGTTTTCTTTCATTTAAGAAAATTTGACTGCGTGGTGTGACTGTAAAAGAAAAAAATCAATTCGAGGGACTATTTATCTTTTATGGAGGTTTAAAATGTCATTTTATTTCCGTTTTGTTCCACGGCGTGTTTGAGGCGTGACGTAGATAGGGTAAGCTGTTCACATCTTCAAGCATGTGTTTGAATAACAAATAGTTGGTGAAAGTGTTTTCTCGCTGAATTTCTAAGGCAATTATGACAAAAGGTTCGTGGCAGTTGGCTGTAGCAATTTTCAGACAAAAAAGGAAATTTCAGTTCATCTTATACCATTTTTGGCGATGAGCGTCGAAATTTCGGCCAAATCTCTCACGAAAGACGTTGATTTTATTGAAAAGCTGTCAAATAAACAAATAAATATCTCAAAAACCTACTAATTTAGCATTTTTTCTACAATATGGTGTTTTCATGAATATAGTAATGCATCCAAAATGATCCGATGATAACACTATAAAAAAGATTTCAAACACAAAATCGTCAGTAAAGTGAGTTGGTAATTTATTGTTAATACAACTCCATTAGTCCGTTAACAATTGTTACTGTAATGGGTTATGTCTTAATAAAGTGCACACAAAATAAATAATAAGTGTTGTTACATTTCTTCTTTGCTGCATACCAACGATAAATAGACGTAGTCGACTAAATCCAAAGAGAGACCATCAGCAAATATACCATCCCAAAGGGTTAAAATATCTTTCGTAGTAAACTTACGACCATACAACAATTAGTCGTCTCGAATAAATCAACCAGAAAAACGATATAAAGTCTACAAAGTCGTTCGATGCAAAGTACAATCTTAACACACTTTGCATTTTCTACGCTTTCTTTAATTCGTCCCTTCTAAACAAACCCCATAAAGTTTTCTCAATACCGAAATTCTAACAATGTTACAATTGCAAATAGTCAGTTTCTTTGAGAATGGTGCAGTCCTTCTGTAGTAATTCAGACAAAATTGAAAGCTGCCCAATGTCTTTCATAATGGCTACGTCTTCAACAAACTCTATCGTCTCCATTCGTTTTGCTAATCCAGCATAGGTTGCTTTGTGCTTGTCTTTAGACTGTGAAAGTGTGTAGAAATGCTTCTACATAGCTGGATAATTTCTCCAAAAGATTTCACTGCACGAGACGAGGATGCAACCCATCTAGTTGTCAAAATTTTGTCGACTTTGCGCAGTTGGTTATCCAGTTCTGCAGTAATTTTAGTTCTCTCTGCAATTTAGCAGACTGAGAATAAATTGCATAAATCTTACCAAAGAATCTATGAGATTAAGGTAACTGTTTTTAACTGGTTCAAACGAGTTTTGTCTTTCTTACATTCAGAAAAAGTTTATTAGTTTGTTTAAGCAATTTTCCAAAAATTATTCTTCAAATTATAAATCTTGGATTTCTTCCTTTGGAAATCTCCCAAACTTATTTCTTAAAATAAAAATCCACGAACAATACCAACAGCCTCAATAAAGTCCGATAAAGCCCGTGATAAAGTCCCAAGTCCGATCAGCATAAAATCGAGAAGATGGCAACAATGTGCTACAGTCTGAATATGCTCAAATAGTTTAGCGAATAAACTATCATTCTGGTAAATATTTTTTTATCGTGCAAGCACCTTAGATGTTTTTTTGATCCGTCCCTAGTTATGCACATTTAATAGTAAGCTCAATTTCCTTGTTTCTTTAAAATGTTACTGAACTCATGAAAAAGCTTAAAAGTTTAAACTTTTATTCGCGACTGTAGGTAGGTCATAGTGTGGTATGCTTTATTCAGTAGAATTTTAGTCTTACTTGTGACGTTTCTACTAATTAGTACCAACCATTCGTTTGATCTCGTTCTACTTGTCACTTGATTTGAAGAGCGTTACTCATACAAAATTATTAGTTTTAACATACAATTATGAAATATTACAGCTTTTCGAATAAGGCAAATGTTTCACACACATAAATTATTGCTGGAAATTATTGATTCATTGTACGAGTTTTACGTAAATAAAATTGTCAAGTAAGTCTGCCGTACAAACAGTGCATTAATTACCAATAATACAAATTAAAGAAGATAAAATCCTAATTAACTTCAGTCTGTTGTGCTTCATCTGTTTGCGGAGATATATCTCCTTTGGAGGTCGATTTCGTTTAAAGAATCCAAGCTGAAATACATAAAATAACTTGTAATGTGAAATCTATTTTAAAATCATTTGGCTACTAAACATTCCCCGGAGATGTTTGTGAGAACTTTCGAACAGGTGCAATTTAAAAGCCTGTGCAAACACAGTAAATATCTTATATTCCTTAAATGCTACATGCAGTGCACGAACAAAGATAAGACCTTTCCATGAGAAAGAAAATTAAGGAGTATAGCGTAGTCTTGTAGAGTTGTAAAGAAATACTACTAACCATAACAACTATGTGACTGTGACAAACACGAATTACGCGACATCTACATGAGTAAGTCGTGGTAAATTGATAAAACATAAATGGCCATCCTGACTTTAAAAAAAATTACGACTGCCAAAAGTATTTTGGTAAAACACGACAATAGACACTCCGCAAATAGTAAACATAATTTAATCTAAACGTTCCGACAAATGTTACATGCCATCTTCAGTAGAAACTGTTTGCTTTTTGGCCTAAACTCCGCGTCACTTATCCTAAACTTCACCAACTTGCTGTTGCTATTTTAAAAACAATTTCTACTGAAGATGACATGTAACTTGTCGAAACGTTTTAGATTAAATAATGTCTGCTATTTACGGGTGTCTATGATCTTGTGTTTTACCATCCTGAATTTATTATAGCAAATTCAAACCTTATTAACACAAAACTTTTTACTTTGAATAAAGCGAAAATACAAAGAGCCAGTAACAAAACACCACCAAGCACAGAGACAATAATAACCCACACTGGAGTTGATTTGGATTTTCCAGGAGCATTTTCAGGAGTTACTCGAATTGTGACCTACAATAAACGATATTGTAAAAAACAACAGTTCAAACAAACTCAGAACGCCTTCCTTAAGGGTAAACCTGTATGAAAGTTATCAAACATGTATAAAAATTCGCATGTTTAAGAAAAAGTAAAATTGCTAACCTCCTGATGTCCACGATGAGGTGATTCGCTCTCATTAAGATTGTTGACATATTCAGCATTAAATTGGACAATCATGAGAAGATCTTTAGGATAATACTAAATCCGTATAATAAAGTTGCAGATATTAATGGCAAAGTTTTGCAAATTTCAAAAAATACTTATGGCAAAGTTAGGTAGTTGATAACGCAAATACCAATATACCGCCATCAGAATACCGGTAAATACAGGTATACCGACATCAGAATACTGGTATATACAGGAATACTAACATCAGAATACCGGGACATACAGGTATACTGACATCACAATACCAGTATGTAAAGGTATACCGACATCAAAATATACCGGTATATCGATAATGAATTTAAAGTTTATTCTTTGAAAAATAAAAAGCATATAGCACGTGTTTCCACGAAAAAAAAACAACCAAAAAATATTTGTTTTTCAAATAGAATTTTGACGCCTTTTTTTAAAATAGGTATTTATGTATTTGTCTTTGAATTGCTAAACCAAAACTGCCGAATTGTAAGATGTATTTATGAACTAGGACAGTGACTATCGCCTGGCTGCATGTTTTAACTTTAGTTTGTAAACGTGATTGTGATAAGTTCTGGACGACACTTTCATTTCGTTACTACGCAGTATAAACCGAAATACCGTATTCATGTATACAAAATATCACCAAAACCGATTTCAAAACAAATTTTGACATACCGGATTTCAATAATCAACTCTCATTCAACTACTGTCTGTGTTGGGAAGTTGTTGATGCAACACACCTCGTCAAAATATTTTGGAAGTAAGAAATGTATTGCCACAAATGTTCATTTATTTTATGCCTTACCGCAGCAAGAGTCGCAGTCCACAGTCGCACATTTAAGTCTGCCACAAAACGACCCTTTCTTTCAATTTCTTTGATTGTACAGGTCACCAGTCCTGAATCCATCGTCCGAGGTGACTAGAAAGAAGAAAGTTTGACAACAATGAAAAAAATTGAATCAAAGGCATTGCACCTGACTCGTGGATGAGATGAAAAAAAATCGAAGCAGTTTGAATGTTTTGATTAAAACAGACTAAGTAATTCATCAATATTACTTGATGAACAACGATACAGGCAAAAATAACGCGTTTTTGTATTTGGCAAAACATAATTTAGATTCTAGAAGACACTTTTAAAGTAAAGTATTCTTTACACTGAGAAGAACTCGAATATCTAAAGCTTTAGGATAAAACAAATAATAAAAAATACTGTGGATAATTTATCTAAAAAGTTCCAGTATACGTTGTCTGTTGTTATTTTGCCACTTCTAACCCGGCTGCAAAAACTCCAAGCCATTTCATACAAAAACGAGATTTAAATCAAAGTGCACTATCGCCTCACAAACTTGGGTCAATTTTCAGATATTTTGCTTTCGTAGTGGTCGATCTTATTTTATTTAAACCATTGTCTAAGATAAACTGCAATCGTGACCATACCAGAGTTTCTGTATTTCTTCTCCGTCTAGTTCTTCCTTGCGGGTCCTGATAAAAAAAATATGTCGGTGACAAGGCATCCACGAATTTGAATTTTCTTAAAGTGCATATAAAGTGAAAGTTTCATACACTTGAACAAATATTCAGACTAATAAAATAGAGACTTTGTCGTGGTGACAAATCTAAAAATACGTCTAAGTGGTATTTGCTATCTTTAGAACTATTTTCAAATATTCAGACGTTTACAAGGATTTTGATATATTTATGACCAATACAAGTTGAGTGAAAAGTGACAAAGTTAAACACCCAAAGTCGTCCTCGCCTGCAAACTTTTGGCCGCTCATCTGACGTCACACAGAATACGGAAGTCGCCAAGCTAATAGTAACTGCTATTTCAATGGTGAGAATGTGTACTTCTTATGATGAAAATTTAGCGAACATAGCAGCCAAAAGTTCGCCAAAAAAATTGTCAAAAATCGTCAATTTGACAGCTATAAACTCGCTCTGAAAAGACTACATTTAATTCCCTTGGCAAAAACGGGTTTGACAGCAAGTACTTTTACAAAGCCAATAAAAAAAGGGAACAAACACTTCACTAAGATAGCACTTTAAATGGCTATAAGTTGAATATAATTAAAATTAAATATGAGTAGAGACATATATTTAACATAGAATCAAACTATGTGCTTATATTTATATTAGGTGTTTGCATCAGTCGTTTTGTTGGTAGAAATCCCATATAGTGAAAAGAATTTATGTTGATTTCATGTTCTGTTGAGCATTGGCACTTTGATATAAACAAGACGTTTTAATTCTAATAAGTTCTTGTTATTTATAGACACAAAGAACGGCAAACTTAAAATCTGTAACCAGCAAATGTGCAACTCGCAAAAAATAATTAAGCTAAATACATGTTTGGATGTAGATCGTCCGGTTAGTATAGTCCTGAAAAGGACTGTTTGTTATTGATGTTGACTGACGTTTCGACAGCCTTAGTAGTGATCCCTCAGAGTCAAGATGAGCTGAGGATAATTTGACTCTGAAGATGCGCTAAGGTTGTCAAACGTCAGTAACAACATAGTCCTTCTCAGGATATACTAACCTAAACCATCTACATCTACAAACTCATATTCCGGTTCAAAGCATTTACTTACGTTAAATACATCGCGCAGTCTCAAACAATTAGTTTTATTTATCCTTGCAAGGACAGGTTAGCAGGATTCAAGGCTCTTCCACTGCATACTGCGTTGTTGGCATCACTCTTCCTGAAACGACATACGTAACAATGTTCATTAAACAGTTGGTAAAGATGTAAATAAGATTGTTTACAGAAACGTCTTAAACCTAATGCTTTATATCAAAATTGTGTGTGTAGTTTACATCAAACAAACAAAACATAACATTTATGACATAGAAACAACAATTTCAACATAGCCTTGTAAACATTTCCACCATAGCCTAGCAAACTTTTCCACAGTGCTTTACAAAAACTAAACAAAATTAAACTGTGAACTCTCCCATTCCAATAATCCACTTCGATAAATTCACAGAAAAACATCGCCGATGTAAAACATTGTCAAAATAAAATCATACAACTGCCAGAACTGACCTTAATACTGACAGGATACAGAAGATAATTGAATTCCTTGTCTTTTTCGGTTAGAGGGACGCTTATATGAAGTTTCACATCTTCTAAATCACTTTGACCTTGATTTGCAACCTAAATGAAGTATAAACGTCGTGTAAGTAAACCTATAATAGGATCAAAACAAAAATCAACTCAAAAGTTGACGGGCATTTATGTTAGGTAATATAATGCATGCAAATAGAGGTACGTCAGATGTCTGATTTAAGTCATAAAAGCATCATCAAAAAGTCATAGAAATCAAATGTATTGAGACAAGAAATTTAGAAATATTTTCAATGGCACCAAATAGCGAAGATAATTTTCTTTTTCATAGTTAGGAGGTGACCTCTAAAATGACTATATAACTAATTATTTCTTCGTTATACGGGATTATAGTTTTGAAAAGAATATTGGTGGAAGAAATTCATCTTCTCCTTACCTCGATGGTAATGGTTATTGGTGGTCCAATAGAAGAAATGTTCACAGAGCTATAGTCGTTGTCTATTATATTTAAATCAGGACCTTTTTCTGGATAGTTTAGTGACTTAGGAACAGTTGTGCTAAAACACAAAGTTCATCTTTTAAATAAAATGTTTTAAAGTTTATTAGTTGGTAATATTGATAACAGTGGCGGATCTAGGGTACGTCAAAATATATAATATATTTGACCAAAGTCACTGCGTATCTGCAAAAGGTTGTTTACGATAGATGACCGATTTACGTGTATTTAAAAGACAACGAGTGCAACGGTAGCTAAGTTACATCGATATCAATGATTAGCTTGTAAAGAAACTTCTTTACAATTCACAATACTCCTTAAGTTTTCAGACACAGCAGTCTTCTTAGTGAGATGCAACTTAACCAAACTTAAAATAAAGCAGATAGTCCCACATACCCGGTAATTTCTAGTCTGACATTGCGCTTGACAATCATAGAAATGGTGGCGTTATTATTTCTATCTTCCGGCAGCCTAAAACAAAGTAAAACATAAGAAAGAAATAAAATGACATGTAATGTTAAGAATTAACATCACAAAAGCACATAACGCATTGATTGTATGAAAGAGTTTGCTAAATTCGAGGCTAAATTACAAAGATCGATAACCATCTAAAACAATGAAAGATCTCTTTCATAGCTTATTTATATACGTTACTGTACAAACACAACACCAAGCAGGAGAAGCGAACAACACTGTTCAAAAAAACCTATGTTATCATCAGGATTGAATAGATCAATCTCGTGGATCCACGATTTTGTAAAGAATTATATTTCTCAAGAATTCTAATATTCAGAAAATTATATTCCTCGAGGATCAGTTATAATGAGGTTAATGTAATTGATCATATGTAACAAAAATATTAGTTGTACGCACGGTTCAACGTAGCGTTTATAAAGCCACAAGAAGCATGTAACTTTAACAAATATTCCGTCTTATATGGCAAATAACCAATTAAAATATAAAGAAAACAGACTTACGCGTTCACCTAACAAAATTTCCAGATTCTTTTTACCAACTACAGCGGTGGTCGAGTATGTAATTTCCAGTGTCACCTGTCAAAAATCTAAAGATGAACACTTTACGCTCACATAGTTTATATCAGTTGTAAAACTTCTCAATTGAAAAAATACGCCGGTCGTGCATGTGCTACGCGCATGTGCGCCGAAAAAGTAAGCAGATCTTCTCCTGATCTTCTTTCCCGCAAGCCCCATTACGAAACCAGGGTCAAAATCGCTTCAAAAACAGGTACCACTGCGTACACGTGGTTAGGCTAAGCCACGTGTTCAAGTTCGAGTAGTATGAGCAATATAAAATGATTTTAAATCTTGAAAAGAATGGTGGTTAAAAGTATTAATGTGATAAAGAACACTTGACATTAAAAAGTTAGAATAGCGTTTTCCAGTAGTAGTGGAAAACGCTACTATAAAACGTGTCGTTTCACCCATGCTGAATTTCTAAATGAAAGACATCACTTAACATCCAAGGCTGCTCCATTCCCCTGAACCTTTTTAGTTCAACCCCTTATTTTTATATTTGCACTTTTTCCCATCACTCTCCAGCCCATTTTATCTTGTCAACTCCATTTTACCATTCCTTACATAACATCAGATCTTAACATAATCTGAAAACCTTTAACTATGTAATGTATTAAATCTCATTTGTATTTTTGGTTTGTAGTTGCAGTATTTTCTAAATGATATTTTAATAGGAGATTTTTGTCGACAATTCTGTCCCGATTTGAGCTTAAGTTTTACCTTTGAATGCGGAGGAATTGTAAATATAAGTTTTATTGTAGTTATAGGCTATAGCTCATATTTGGACTCTATTATATATATAATTCACTGTCATTTTTTATGTTTTGTCGAACCAATAAAACTTGAAAGAAAAACATAGCTTTTGCATTTTCCTGACTAGAGCATTGCGAGATACACAAATTGTGTACAAATATGGCGAATAAAGTCTTTGCATAAGTCGCCGAAACGAGAAATATTAGATGTTTGTGATCTTCTGCAAAGCTTATACTTGTAAAATATCTTTAGCTGCTGAGTGTTAAATTCAAACTTTAATCAGTAAAATAGAGAGCGGAGTATACGCTAAAACGCAACCGTTTTCGTAATTAACGAAAATATATAGTGTATGCTACATCCTGAAGAAACATAGAGATCAATAATATGGACGTCAGTTGGCCTAAAGGTCGGATGTCTTTTTTGCGTAATAAAATAGTGAACAGCGCATGTGCGTGGCAACCCATAATAATAGGCCTGTTCTTAAAAAGCCTCAATGATTCACAACTACTTCATACGAGACCCAAATGGCTAACCTTTTGATTTGGATCAAGGGGTCCTTGAAGTTGAAACAAATCGTAATCAGGTCTACTTAGTGTTGCATCTGGCACAATTCTGAACGATCTCTATAAAATTGACAGAGAAAAATTCACAATGTCTACAAACAAATCGCTATCGTTCATTAATACATAGTTTATTAACAAAAATACTGAAACAATAACTTACATCGGATACATCGAAATCTTCATATTGTAATGACGGGTCATGAGTTAATGCTATGGTAGGATTGTACGCAACTTCGCCAGAACTGCTGAGTTCAACAGTCACTTTTCTGGAATTGGTTTCACCAATAATTATTTCATTTTCATCAACACTAAACAAAAAAGTTACACACCAAATCAATTCAATCCAGTTAATACAAATAATATAGCTGCTGCACAAAGTTAAGATATATGACAATGTTAGTGATGACAATATAACAACGATTCGCTACGAGCCTACGACAGTTGAAAATTTTGTTTAAACATATGTATTTAGTACAAATACATAAAATTAGTTAAAATACACAATAAAACTATTCAATGTTGACAAAGCTAAAAAAGTGAACGAAAAACGTTTTCAAATGTATTTTGTTGTCCTTTTTGAACTTGTCTTTCAATACCTATTCAAGTATTTCAAACCAAACATGTTTTCTTCAATGAGCTCAGAATGATTGATGGTCGCTCGGTATATCACCAAAAAAAGAAGCTACGAGCGACCGACGCTTCCAGTATTTGAGCCCTTTTCGACAATCTCCCCATGTAGTAAGTAGTTTTAAATAATTTTGTTAAAATTTCTTTGTTTTGAAAACCAAAGAAAATCTAACGCATAGTCGCGCAAATCTAAAAGGCAAGTAAAGAATAAACGAAAATGTTACCTTATTGTCGTTTTGAGATCATAATTGCATTCGTTGTCAGTACAATTCACAATAATGGTAGCCTACAAACAGGTTTCTCAGTACAATCAACAATTCACAATAATGGTAGCCTACAAACAGGTTTTCTCAGTCTAATTAACGACAATGGTAGCCCAAAAACAGGTGGTCTCAGAAACAATTCACGATAATAGCGAGTTTTAGTTTAGCGTCTGCGGCAACGATAAACCTCAACTACCCGCTTGCCGTTGAGGTTTGCCGTTTCGAAAAACTTGAATATAGTTTGGCGTTTTGCATTTGTCTTTATAATTTGCATTGTCAGGAGCTAGATTTCATGTTTTGTTATACGTTTGTCGATGAAAAGCATATTCGTGATGTATACTCACATAAAATAATTACATTGGGCCATAAACGTCACTTGGTGTATTAGTAGTAAAAGCTTGCCGTACATCACCTACCGCAAGAAGTGCTTCATGCCGTTAAAACCTGAACAACGTGTAAACTGCAAAGACTTGATCACGTGACATTTGCATTTTGTCGTCAACGCCAAACTAAAACTTTCTATTGGTAGCCTACAGACAGGTGTTCATAGAACAATTCGCAAAATGATACCGGCAAATAGTTCGGCAGTTACATTGCCTAGTGGTACTTCACTCTTTCAATGTGCGATTCGCCAATGAAATGCTAATTGTTTTACTGCCATAACTTATAAAACAACAAATAATGGCAAAAGGTAGTACGAAAGAATTTCATAAACCTGTTAATAAATCTGTGTAAATTTGCTCTGAACTTTTCACGGACAAATGTTTTAAATTTCCCATAAAAATCGGAATATTTAAGAAAAATTTAATCAGAAAATTATATTAATCCCTAGTACTACTAACAAAACTACTTTACAAACAGAAACTCTTCCTTACAAAAGTAGTAAGTCATATTCCAAATTATTCCTACCTGTTCCGTTCTAACAGAGCCTTTGTATCCAAACTGGACATAAAGTCGTATTTTCGCAGTTTGGTGGTAAAATTAGACTGTAATTTATTTTGAAACCGATGCTGTTGGCTCCAAGCCTCAATCGGTCCACAAGATTCTTTTCCTACAAATTCACAAAATGTAAGAAAGAATTTTAACGTACACAATGAAAAATTAGAAGTACTGCGAATCGAACGTTTTGAAGAATATATGGGGTGGATAAAGCTGTTAGTATTTAAGCTTGAAAAAGCCACCTTCACATTAATTTCCCATTAAACCGTTTGTATAAAACGTAGTTTTTCAAGATTTCGATTGATGAATTAACATTACTTCATTTGAGAAAGACTAAATGATTTTCTGTTGCAAGAACTTTGAAATACACGAAAAGCGTGAAAAGCAAAGTACTTGTGAGTCATGTAGTATTTTACAACGATATGTTGACATCCACATAAATTACATGATGATAAAAGACAAAACAAAATAAACAAACCCGGCGACATTGAAATACATAAAAACGGATCTCTGCAGCAAAACATATATGTTAATAGTTATAGGTAGAGTTTGACACAAGAACACGTAAAATATTTTACGACACTTATTTGGCAAAACACTACATAAGGAATCAAAAATTTGAATAATCTGAAAACAAGCTCATGGCATTTTTGGTTCAAAGTATTTATTCGCGTGTAGAAACACACCAACAAAGAATCAATACGTAAGTGAAATAACGTTAACAACCGTACAAAACCCTAATCCCCATACATTACTCCTAAAGTGACCTTAAAGTAAACACTTACTTTAAACTCCTAACTTTGACCTTAACCCTAATAGTAGCCCTTTCAAATTAGCCCTTTAACCATAATAGTAGCCCCTAGCCCCTCCCTTATCCTTACAAACCATCATATCACGACAGAAATATGACAATGACAATCTTAGCCAGCGTTCAGCATGAAAGCGACATTGGTGTTAGGTAAACAACTGTCTAGCCCAATAAGCACAACGACTAAGAAAGATATTGACTTCAACATGAATCTGAGTGAATTCCACACGACGTAACATTCTTGCCTGGAAGTTCTATTTTATCACGCTTGGAGTAAATTTCATTTCTGATTCATTAAAATACACTCTCTTATTAAAATTTTGCAATGTTTGATAATCCAAATCGAACTGGTATTGAATTTCTAGGAAGAAACAAACAGACTCAACTAAGTATGTCTTCTGAATGAAAAGATTTAGGTTTCTTTACGTAAACACAATGTACGTCAAAAATATTATTGCAATCCTCTCTTAACTTTTCAGTCTGCAACTTAACCACATACTCAACAGTGATTATTTATGAAAGAACAATAAACGCTTTTATGTTTTGACACAAGCTTGTGCAAAACCTATCTGCTTTTAGCCATATCGAAATTCCCTTTAATTTTACAAATTTTGAGGTTTGCAGCATAAAGTGTGATTTTCATAATATTATAACAAAAACCGTTACAAAAAGACAACGAATCTTTTAAAAATAGGCATGTTTCGGAGAGCTTATGCTATCTTCGGTATATAAAAAAAATGAACTATTATTCAAAGCAAGCAATATTAATGTAAACATACGTTTTAAAAGTATAACTACTAAGCAACATGTTTATTCAAAGTTTACCAGTGGAGGTTCAATGTCCACCCGTTAGCTGAAAATCCAATCAAGTGAAAAAATTTGCATTCTGTCTTCATGCACTGTTGAGCATTGGTATTTGAAGTAAACCTGCCAAAATGGCTGCTTTGACATCATATTTTTACACAGTTGTGCCGACTAAATTTACATTTGTAGATAAAATGATAAATGCAGTGTACAGCTTTGTGTTTCTGTTCAAAAATGGAAGTTGTATATTCATATTATGTCAATAGTTGCGACTAGGGCCCTGTTCACACGATACCATTGTTTGATATTACTTTTCGTACCATAGGCCTTGCGTTCACACGGCTCCTTTATCCGCTTTGTATACGTTTTAACAATTTGACTCCGCTGAAGTATGAAAACCATAGTTCCGTTGTCGTGTGAACTCGATATACGTCCTTTTTTGAAAAGCTAAGAAGTCGTGCGATTTTTCAAAATGAGAGCAAACATGCGATACAAACTGTTTTAAATGAATAATCCGTTAAAATATAATATATCTTCAACATGGCATGTTTAAGCTTAGCAATGTATTATCGCAGTGAAAAGCTTCTTTCTAGTATTATTGTCAACATATATTCAGTCATTTGACTTTACTCTTCCAGTCCTTGCCCCATTCGTAAAAACTTTATACGCCTGAAAAAACTCTTCTTAGTTATGTCAAAAAATTCTCATTTTCTTACGAAATATTTGAATTAGCCATCGTCGTTATCAACGCACATACTGGGGCGATATAAAACTTATGTATCGTCTTACGAATCCGGCATTGTGAACAGAGTGCATTTCTATTATTGCAATCCGGTACAAGACGAATCCGGTATCGTTGAACAGACCTAGGTCTAAAATATGACTAATCTCCTTCCATCTTTATGAATGATCACTATACACTTTCATAAACAATGAAGATCACAAAAGCATGCCAAAACATGTCTATATTTTAAAAGAATCATGGTTTATTTGTATGATTTGCACAACAAACGGTTCTGTAAAAATATTTTCGTTGATCTTATTACAATGATACAAATGTTGTAGCAAAGGAAAAGAAATGTCAACACACACAACAATACCTTCCATTCCGTATAACTACATATTTGATAGTTTTGAGCTTTATTTTCACTATTGTCACTGACATAAGTTGATTTCGATATTCTGTCATGCAATTCTCTTCGACCAAAAGCAATTACAATCATTTGAACAGAAACAGTTAATCATCTAAACTTCACCATGCATACGTACCATAAGGACCAGAACTTTTGCCGATGTATTGGAAACACACTGTAACATCCAAACTAAATAAAAAAGCTTTACAACAACATCACAAATGAACGGACTCTTATGTTCTGATTTCTCTCGTAATATACCTTTCTCATTCTCCACAACCAACACTTCGTCTGGTCAAATTTTTATACTGACATACAATACCGCTCGCGTATTTGTTAACATACGGTACGCGTATGAAACGCGTATGATACGAAACATACGCGTATGATACGAGAATGATATATGTATGATATGAAAAGGATACGCGTATCACACGCAAAATTATGTTAACAAATACGCGAGCGGTACTGTATACGTTAACATTTCCCTTGTTGGTTTCTGTCCCCGTTAAAATTTCCCATCATAAACAACTCTCAATGCTTACATCTCCTTGATCGACAACTTCCACAAGTGACATCTCCCCAGGCTCGTAACCAGAGGGATGCACTGGTTACACGAGTTGTAGTCTCATTTAAAACACATTAACCAAGTTAAGCCAGGTTTATTGTTTACACATCAAGAAAAATATAGAGAATATAATTCTTACCATTGTATAGAACTGTTGGGACAGAATACGGTATAATTTTCCACAAGTATCTCCTTCCTGCTTAAAGTCAATGAAACGTCCAAGTTCATTGGGCGAGTCCTTAGAAAGTAAATTAACAAAAATTAGTGATTTATTGGGCTACTTCAACTCGAAGTAAAATTTCGTTCTTAACCTGACGCCGACGAACACAAACAATTTAATTGGTGAGAAATAAAACTTTCACTAAAACGTCAGCAAAATTTTAAAAGTACATAACCACTCAAATTATTTCCTACATGCTCAAGCTTGTTCATTTCTGAAAGCATTAAATTCTGACATAATTAAAATTCCATGCAAAATCACTTTCTCTAAATTCACGTAAATTCAAATGCAAGCATTTATACTAATAGTTAACTAACTTGTACCATACATTTATTCAAATTGTTTACGTAAACAGTAGAAGACTGATAATTTCATAAGTTCCTTATAGATTTTTGATAGCGTTAACTAATTTATTTAATTCATTGCAATTGGTACTGCTCTATGATTAATCATCACATATCCAATTCAAAAAGAATAAGTGAAAATACCTCAGCAAAAGAACTCTATCACTTTTCCATGCCCCGACTGCAATATCTATAAAAAAATTCTTTTTTGAGTTTAGGAAATCAAAACACAACGCTGGGTGAATCGAAATCACAGATAAATTCTTAATAGCTTTAATAGATTTTAGCTGAGTCGCTTTCTAGTACAATCCAATTCAAAAGTGTTTCTTGTCATTGCTTGCAACATTTTACTGTTCTAAAATTTTTTTAAGGCCGTCGAAACGGAATTGACAATCGCTCCTAGCCCCCATGAATAGCGACAAAAAATACAGCTGTACTTCATGAAAACCTAAACATGCATCATTTGTTAAATTGAACAGTGAATGCTGCATAAATACTCTTAAAACTATAAAATTTACAGCTTCACTTTGTTCTTAACTTTAAAACGTTTTTCTTTTCACTTAACAAAACCATTTTAAAAGTTTTGCATGTTCAAGTATTAGCTATTTTCATGTATTACTTCAAAACATAAAATAACTTGATAATCATTCATGACTAGCGAAAATAATACGACGTGCTGTTGCCTGGATATAGATCATTGTTAGTGTCAACCATAGCCGCAGAGTATCCAAACTGCTGAAAATTAGGATAAAACTTCTTGACTGTTTCGGCCGTTATTTTCTAAAGAAAAAATTAAGTGTAGAGCTAACGATAGAAAGTATCAATTCACACAATCCCATAGAATTGACCTGATAATAATTACGATGTACGCAAAAATAATTGAGTGTAGTGTTGTGCAAACTTAGCCTCAATTTCCGGGGGACAGCAGTGTAATTATTAGCTAAGCACTAGTACTGTGCTACATCCGTTCGCTAAACATAAAACTAAAGTTTTGGTGAGTATTTAAGTAAAGAATAAAATACGTTAAAAAACATTGACAGTAAAATCACAAACTTGGATATTGAAATTTATACAGTTAACAGTTTATGAAAAAACCTCGTCCAGATGGTTACTTGTTATAAAAGTTGTGGAAAAGCAACAAAACCATACCTGCTGATAATCGTTAAATATACCATCCCTACGTCCATGATAAATATATATGGCGCCATTGCCAAAACCATCCGTCAATATCTGGTTGATCTTGAGGTGCTCCAATAATGAAATCTGGTATAAGATAAAATCACAACAAGTGAGATCAAATCGATCATTAAACCGTTTTAAATAACTTTAAAGTCACAAGTAGCTTTGTGATTAGTGTTTTAGCATGGCTATATGTATACAAGTTGAAAAGTAAAACAAAGAAATTTCACACGAAAAACATCCACAATTTCTTAGTTCTTGTCTTTAACAACTTATAATCGACATCATGCTATTAACCTGCACAACAAAAAACAAATAATCAACCGCATTTAATTGTAAATATACCTAAAATCCCATCATTATTAAGATCTCCTGCGCGTGTTATGGACCATCCAAATCTTGCCCCCATAGTGTTACTGCCCCGTAAACCAGGATCTTGTCGAGTGTTCTCAATAGGAGAAAGTTCAAGGATTCGAATCTAGAAATATATAAATGTTAATGAACACCAGCTTTACATTATTTTGAATTTTAGATACTTTAGCACAGTACATATTTTCCCTTGGTTTTGAATTCGCGCACCAAGTGGAATTATACTCGTGCAGAACATTTCTTATGTTTTGTCTTTTTTACTACAGTTAAATTATGCTGTACTTAAAAACTTGTCATTACAAAGTTGTATAAACTATATGGCACAGAATTTTTCGTGAAACTTAGCCAAACTTTTCACCGCCCAATGTAGGCACAATTTTTCCTTCACCTTGTCATGCTTGTAAGACATAAGGTTCAAGAATCCAGCAAATACTAAATGAGTATAAAATAGTGAACAGTAATTTACCTGAGTTAGTACACTAAGATATACGTAAACACGACCTTCATCACCCCTGTCGCTGAAGAATGGGGCTCCAACTAATAGATCTGAAAAACTATATCAACGCAAAAAGACAAATTAATAAAAACAATTTGGTCCGCTTCATGATCACCGATGCACTCAGATTCACGAATGTCATAAATCACGTGTATGATTCACCCAATCACTAGAGTTACTGCAAAACAAAGCAAGCTAAATTTTCCATGACATGAAATATCAAATTCTTATAACTGTGAATTAAGGAGTATAAAGTTAGCCATTTCTATTATGATTTATTATCATATGGCAAGCGTCACTTCAGGCTAAATGGCGCGCTTTGATTGGCTCAGAAACATTTTGCCGGTCCATTATTTTCTCGTAATCGACTACGGTCCAAAACGTAATTTTACAGTCAAATGTAAAGAAATTTCAAACAGCAAAACGCAAAATAAACGAAACAAAAAACATTTACGAATGTGATTCGAAGGAAAAACATTGCAAAGCAGTTAAACTATCCAGACAATACAGTTTGAAACGATTTATTTTTATGGACGAAAACTAGAAAAGTGAAAGCCAACCCGTAAAAAACAGCAAGGACGAGAAAGAAAGCAAGCTTCGTTTCAGGTCAAATAATGCCATATAATAAACCTTTTAATAACCTCGCTTTCTCGGTCTTTACTGAGAAATATCGGACCTCTGTCTTTTTGTACAAACCTCGCTCTACGGGCTCGGTCTGTACAAAAACACCTCGGTCCGATATTTCTCCGTAAAGACTTCGCGCTCGGTTATTAAAAGCTTAATAGTCAACAATCATCTACTTCCTTTAATTTGAGCCCCCTCACACACTTGAAACACGCAAAAACATTTCGTATAAGAAATGAATGAAAAAGCAAAGCTGGAATACATACAAAAATTTTTTTCTCATGCTTTAAAGTAAAATACGCGAGCAGCTTTGATCCTTTATGCTAAAAATAATTTACCCATCAGCGTTTACATCAATTCCACAAACGGAAGCTCCAAAGAAGATAAACTCATTTCTCTAAAAAACAAAATAACTCATAAGACAGTGACGCGATGATCTCAAAACATCTCGTGCGCAATGCTCATAACATAAAAATATCAACTTTATATACAATTCGATGAGCACTTTGCTTCTATAAGCAAACTTGATAAAAGTACAACCTCGTAGTTATCTGTATAAAGAACTGATCTTTCAAACTATTTAATAACAGTGGAACTGTAACTTTATATATTTCTTGTTGTAGCTCACAACTGTACATTAACAGTAAAACTATAGCTACCGAATTACTTTAATTAGACCACAGTCACGTGACACACCCCTATCCTCTATTTCCCACTCTTAGTTATTGAAAAATCACTAAGAACTCAATCTCTTGATGAAATCATAACAAAATGAAAACGCCAATTAAGCTTTATTTGTTGATAAAGGCATTGAAAGTTACAAATGTCAAAATAAAAATAATCAATTGCTTCGTCTTAAAATTTACAACAAATCATAGTCATGTGTTACAATTTTCAGTTTTTCGACTTATGCATTTACTGGATTGGGTATTTTAATAAATAGAAAAATCTTTTCAAGATATTGAATCATGTGTTGCGGGATTAGCATGCACTAGTAAGTTTGCATGAAAAATTAACTAGCTTCTAGCCTGTTTTCAGCCCCTCTCTTATAATCCTCACTTAAAAGGTAAACTCCGGCTAACTCCAACAATTTTTGTTTCGTTTATAACAAATCAAGTTCTGTTGTATATAATTTCATCCGAGGTAAATGCGCTATTTAAACATACGCTAATCAACTAACTATACTTACTTCTTGGACTTTTTGGTGGAAAAATAAACGAATGGTGGATCCAAATTTTCACGATAAACTCTAACCTGTTATAACAATGAAATATAGTAATTTTGTAGTAAATACGATACTCCCATTGTTCAAAAGTAGATGTGTAGTACACATTTTACATTCAATCATCTATAAATAATGTGTGTATAAGTAACTACTGCCATGATACAAACTACATAGTGTATCAAAAATTGCTAAACATTTTATGAAATGTTCAGAAAGCTATCATTTCATCAAAATTTCTAAATTTTCAAATTTTCTTTTTCTAATACACACCCTGTATACCTGTGCAAACGAAACTACTGAAATAAAAAATCTAGACTACCCAGAGATGAAAGTAATGTTTAATGATTTAATTGTCAACGCTTCCCTTGCCAAACGTGAAATGTAATCCTTATATAACTTATAAATTGCAGCATATCAGAATTACGTTCATTATCAAAAATGGGAAAAATAAGAGCCCCGCACGTTGACAATTATAAAAATTCAAACAAACAAACCTGTCCTGAATATCCGAATCTTGGGTACCCAGATGCAATTGCTAAACAAAAAATATTGCATGATCATTTCTGATTCAATTCAAACTTTTGCGAATCCTAAACTGGCCACAACAATTTCTTGCAAATTTGAGATCTATTTATAGCATTTGCTATAACATTTTGTTGTTGTAAGCAAGATTACTAATGAAGATATTTTTGTGTGTATTTACAAACCTACAGACAACAGAGAAAACTCGCATATGAAGTCACCAAAACAAAACATAGGAATGCCAAGCGTACATGCATTTTACGTAAATATATTATTGTTCAGTTGAGAAGGAAATAAAATGGTTTTAATAGTGATTGTGAATTTCGACTATTTAAAATGAATAAATCAGACCACAAAATTTCGGAGTTGACGGAGATAGAAACGTTCGCAAGACAAATATTTGCTCACATTTTCAAGAGAATAGGATTTTAAGAAACGAGATTTGTTCGTGCAAGGATTGAACTTTGTCCGCTCGGCTTAAACTATTCACAGTCATAATTGCGATTTAATACCTCACAGCATGTATTTTATCTTCTATTTCAAAACCTGCCAGTCAAAATTGATTTTAGCTTGGCATTATATAAAAGTAATTTCGTCCTTACTTTCTCATACAAACAGCGTGTGTAACTGTTCCAAAGACTGGTGTAACTGATTCAAAATATACCAAGATCCCAAAGCGGCAACGACAACATCAAAACTATATCTTTATGTTTTACTAAGTTAAGAGAGCAATAAGTTGCCATACCTTCTTGATTTAACGAAAAAATTTGGTGGTGACTGAGTAACCTAGATAACATTATTTAAAAATTAAATAACTCTGAATGAAAAAAATCATCAGACTTTTCTCATAAATGATGGACAGGACACAAACGATTCTAAATTTCAAATCTGGGATCCAAACCGTAAAAACAGTTACGCAAAGAGACAACCAAAAGCAAAGTACTTTAAGATCTTTCCCGAAAGTCGACTTATAAACTGGTTGCATAAGAAAAATAACAGGATAAAAAAACACAATACCTACCATTGTAAAATTTCCATCTTCTGCAGGAAACGGTGCCCACTTATACCTAAATCTCGATGTTTCAAAGCCAACGTTTCCTTTAAAAACAGTTTTCAATAAGTGTAGAAACAAAGAAATTAAGAAATGACAATGTTTTCTTCCAGTCATGTGATTCTGCTCACGTGAAAAATAACACAGCAAAGTAAACGAGCCATTCAAATTAGGCAGATTCAACCGGCAAAACTGGTGCTTAAGTTTATGTGGTTAGAGTTGAATTTCATATTTCTTCTTTCGGTTGAAACCCTATAAATGCTATAATGAATATCATTGGTCAAATGACGATATTTCATCGGTGTTCCTGAACGGTGAATTTTGAAACGTACAATGATCATTGAGGAGATGGTTGTTTGCTATAAAACCTTACAAATTTAATAAAAGTCATACACGAGTGATAGCTAGCTACTCATAAAACTTTCGAAATGATATTAATTGAACAATGTACGGCTTAAATTTCCATGGAATTTTTGTGGTTCAAATAGAATGTTCAAAAAAAAAAACTGCACAAAAACTACCATATTTGTTTTTGAAAATGTCGGTTCAGGTTTAAACCATTGAGGTCTACTGAAATCTATTAATGCCGTTGATGCAAAAATTACAAGTTTACAAAGCCAGGTCCATATCAATTTAGTGATGAATTGTGTATTACCTCGCTTATTGAACGTCACCACCCATATAACAACCTGTTGATTCTTTTTAAACAAGCAGAAAATCCAGCTTGACAATAATCATAATCTATAATGATAAATATGAGTTAACAGACATAATTCAGACAATCATTGGTAAAACCTTCTTTTCGGCTTTCGTAACAGACGTCTTAATTTACATTGTCCATTATACGTATTGTTTCTCAAAATAAAACTATCCAATTAAAAGAATTTCGTTGATTAGGTCATTTCTCATTGTATTTACACAGAGTATAGATAGAAATCCCTCCGTACCCAACATTATCACATTAAAAACATCACAGCGGAGGTACTAGGCTTGCATGTTCAACACTGGTGTAGAAAATCTTTTGAATCAATTCAACGCTTTTATAAACTTTGTTTTTTAGCACCACCGTAAATTTCTTTCTCAAATTTGCCTTTTCATAGCGAAATAGGTTTCAGGTCATGATTTTCCTTCTCTTCAAATCAAAAAGTTCTTTTTATGAAAGAGCCATTCAATTTCGAGGAAATATATAACGTTCGATTTACACATTAATAGTTGTAAACCGTAATGTTGTTATCTCCCATCGGTTTAATTATTTGTGCTATATATTGCTTCAAAAAGAATACCTTTTAAAAAAATGTTCCATATCATCTGATACAGTTTCTTGGTCAAAAATGCATTTTTTCTATAGCTATACTTATTACGTATTTGATATGTCTTATCATATGTTTTAATTTGATATGACGGTACAACTGCTATAAATCTTGTTAAGCCCGAAGTTGCAGAGCCAATTGAAATAGCAAGTAATGTAAATTCACCCTATTGAGGAGACAACATTCATTAGTGGATGATGGGATTGTCTGAAACGTCGATGAACAAATTAAATAACAACTTATGCAGAGCTTTTTTCAATACAGCTTCAAGTTCTTATAATCACAGATTCCAAAAGTCTATCTCGTTATCGTATTCATGCAATCCTTACAAGTGCACTCTTGTCTTGGCAATCAGGCCATAATCATTATAAAAATATATGTGATGACCTTAGTAATGAATTGGAATTCATATTTTGTTTGATTCACATGCTAGGAATAGAAGTAGTATGCCAGATACTAAAGGAACCTAAGTAGTGAATCATTGGTGGAAGATCATTTTTAGTGACTCATTGTCATACACTATTAAAAGCAATAAATTCTTATTCATTTCAAATGGCAAAAACAAAATCAACCGCGTCTTCAAAAAGAGAGAAAAAGCAATGATGAAAGTTAGCCAGAAAAAGTTTTTGCGTTTAGAGAAAGGTTCTCGCAGAACATAGAATACATGGGTGATTCTCCTATTACTGACGGCTCTGCAAAAGCAGGATGGTTCGTCTGTTGATCTTGTTTACAATGTCTTGACCATTAGTTGAGAATGAACCTCTGAATGAGTACTATATTCCTATCTAGCAACAATCGATTATCTTGCATTATTTCTAGATCTTACTAATCAAGTCCTTTTGACAGATCAACGTTTGCAAAATCGTATCAATAATCACAACCTTCATGGCAATTTATCGGAATCAAAAACTAATTAGCTTAATTATTTCTTCAAAGCGCTTGTTGTAAAAAAAATGGCCCCTACACTACAACTGCACTTTCGCTTTATGTCTGTCAACAACTAAACAGCCCAAACAATCAAAGTTTTTCATTCGCACGTACTGCTATGAATTCCTAACATTTCAAAGCAGTTTACTCCTTCTTCGATTAACGACACCTGTAAGACTGGGTTTAGTCATTTGTAACACTCACAATAAAATTATCACAATAAAATAAATCATCAAATAATAATTTCAACATACCACTTCGTCCATGATTTGGTGCCTGTCCTAGTGTACAAGGATACAATGTTCTTTCTGTAATTCTGGCCTGATATTTTCCTTCAAGTACGACGCACTTTCCAATTAAGTAGTAAAATTCCTTGCCTTGGTTGTTTGTGGTGTATTCTGTGAATCGAGGAGCACATGTCTGACGAAAAGTCAAAAAATAGTTAATAGCGATATGTATGCAAGATTCCAAACAGCAAAGAGTTCAAAACAGTCAATGCAAGACTCAAACAACGTAATGTTTCTATTATACAGGGTGGATCAAAAGAGCAGACAATTTCAAAACAGCTAAAAATTTTGTAAAACGTTTCTATGATCAAAGATTTCATGTAAATATAGCTTATTTGGGTAAACAAAACCAACTTTTGTATGTGATGATTTTTATTTGCTACATAAAGGCTGACTTGTCTTTTGCACCAATGTACTTCTAACATGGAAATTGTGAAATTTTTCTTAAAGATATAAATTGCCTCATAAAAACTGTTTGAACACCCCACCCCCTCGCAAAGACCTTGTTCACATAAAATTTTGCCTTAAAAGTAATCTATTAATATGAAAGTAAGCAGGCGAACGATTCATCGCTAAATTATTACGTTTACACTTCCCAAAACTCCTTGAAAAGACAAAGCGTAATGTTGAGAATGTACTATAATATAGTATTCGTTACAAATGAATTTCAATTAATTTAATTTTTATCCTTCAAACTGTGTGCAAAGCAAATAAATCAAAGGAAACAGCAACAGTTTACATACTGCCAAAAGCGAAATCAAAACAATGTAGGAAAGCTAGTCAGATAAAGAAACTTGGAAAGTGATTTTATCCAGAAAATACAATTTTAGATGATTTATTTTTTCTGGCAAGTTTCATGTCAGGTTAGAATACCACAAAACTTTTCATCAGGCGACGTTTCTTTCAAATGAATACGTTTTTGAGTGAACAAAGAATACATAGCACAGTTGTCCACAGAAAAGTTACAAGAAGAAAAATTCTTTTGTTCAGTATCAGAGATTATAAAATACAAACAATAAGGTCCAAAATATTAAACTAATCATAGGCCGGTTGCACGAAGCCTGGATAGAGTTATCCATTGAATAGCAAAATCTTCAAACTTGTAAAAAGGTGTTTATTTTTCTTACGACAAAGAAATTTCGTAATCTTCGAAACAATATTTTATTTCAGTGATTGTTCAGTTCGAATCTTATACTTTTTGATTTTTAAAAGATTTTATAAAAGTTCAAAAACTTGCTTTGCTATCCAATGGATAACGCTATCCAGACCGATCTCAAATTAGTTTAACATTATTGGACGCTTTTGTACAAACCGATCTGTGAACTCAAAAGCAATCAAAGAGAATTTGCAAATCAAACATGAAGACATGTTAAAGGACAAATTTGAGAGTTTGTTTTAAATTTGTCTGTTTTGCATTTTTCATACACACTGGCCTATGGAAACGCTGTGGCTGCTCGAGACCTTTGTAAGAATGCTAGAGCAGGTGCAAATTCTCGACCTGGCAGTAATCTACTCTTGAGTTCTCCAAATGGTCTCCTCGATTTGCATAAGCCTGTGCAAACACAGTAAACTATGTTAACTGTAAACATCTTTTATTTCTTAATATATTTTTCAAAATAGTCAATTTATATAACTCAAATACTTTGTACTAATTTCACTTTGCTATAATACTCAATACACTTTTAGCAAATTTGCCTTGTCATTTTGTTATGAATTTTGATCAATTTAAACTCATGTTCCATATAAATAATAGGGGAAGTGACTACTTGGTATGGTCTAACTTGAAACTATTTTTATAGAACTATTGCAAATATTTTGAGTGAGAAGCTGAATTCTGTAAATAATATGATGTGCGTAATCTGTTAACAAACTTCACACAAGGAAGCATCAAATGTGTAAGCACTAAAGTAGTGTCACATTTCATATTTGACTTCAAAATCAATATTGCATTCTATAAAAAATATAATATTCTATGTATAAAGAATATCGACAAAGATCATTTGAAATGAGTGCTAAATCGTAAGAACATAAGACTTAAGTGAAAATAATATGACACACGACAAAACTGTGTGAGGTGGCAGATTTGACCTTATCACTTGTCCCACAATAATAAAAGATACTTCTAAACATGTCGCTGACTTAATAAACTTTAATCTTGTACTAAACTATTGCAAAACTGCAATTCTTACATTTCTGTGATTGAAGAATTTTTGATAGCCATTATGTATGTATAGTAACAATAAACTTATAGTCAATGGCCCTGTTTTGATGATTTTAACAAAATTTAACATAATTTTTTAAAGGAAATAATGTTAACACAGAGCTGTTCACAATGCTTTAAAATAAAAACTATCTTGGGGGAATGGGTTCATGAAAATTTCGAAAGAATAAAATGAAAACTTCAAAATAATGGCATTATGGGGGTTATGAAAAAGAAAGTTATAATGAAATTTTTTAACTTTACAAAGGTTTAAACTGAGTGAAGTTACAAGAAACTTACAACAACTTCTTTGTTTCCATTAGAATAAGTGGTTGCACCTAGCCATTGGTTGTTCCTTCTCTCCCAACTTTCTGGTACTAGAAGGTTGTAAAACATACTGAAACCAAGTAATATATGGGCTCAAAAAAATTGCCACATGGCATTCTGTCAAGATGAACAATCAACTTCTTTCTAGCTGGGTCAAAGTCGTTTTTTGGACCATGTACTAAAATAAATAACTGTCACCAGACAAATAATGCAAAAAAAATATTTTTTTAAGGCAACAGTGACTTGTATTTGACATTACCATGCGTTTGCATTACCCTTATGTACTACATTATTAAAAGTGGGTAAGACATGAAAATATGAACAGTCAAAATGACCGATAGGACAAGAAGTTTGCTGTTCAACAAGAATCTGTGACAATTCATTGTCAGTTCATCTGCACTATTTTAGAACCCTGCATATTCTGTTGTACATTCAGTAACTCTCTCATCATCATCATTATCATAAAAATAATCTTACTAACGTGATTCAATAGATTGCTGTACAAGACGAACCATCAACCACACACTCAAACAAAGTCCCCTTTTTCCCATTTTCTTCAAACTCAGGTGCACCAACAAAATTCTGAAAAATTCATAACAAATGTGTTTGTCACATGCAATATGATTAGAATAAATATATTGAAACATAAATATTTTAAAGAGACTACTGAAACCACATATTTATTAGGCAGTCACATCTGGTTCTCATATTACAATATACATTTTGCCATGCTATTAAAAATGATAGTTATACTGAGATAGATTAATTCTGTTATATGAGTTCCCTTCTAGACAAAGAAATTTGGAGTGTTAAAATATTTGATATTGTGTTTGCTTATTTCCAAAAATGACAACACATGCTACAGAATCAAGGGGAAAGTTAAGTTCAAAAATGAGTTTAAGATGTTTTTATTTATTTAATAAATAGTCCAAATAACACATAATTGTAACTAAAATTTGAGTTTAGAAGATGTATTTCTATGGATTATGTTTTATTTTATGAAATTGTCATCAAGTTAGGGCTATTTTCATTAAAATACACTAAAACATGAATAATATTTAAATTACACAGCAGGGTTTGCAAAATAAAGTAAATAACAAGTTTCTTCTTTGTTGCATTTAACGTAAACGACAACTATTTTACATTTTAATGCAAACATTTTTCAAACTTATGCCATCTTCAGTGTGGTATAATGAATGAATATTTGAATGGAGTTAATATATAAAGAAATCTGATACAAGACATGTGTATGGACAAAGGGTGGAAACGGAAGTTATTTACAATTATGTAGTGATTAGAGGTTTAGTATTTACTAGTTAAAGATAGTATTGACATGCTGAATTTGTTTGTTAAGATTAGGCTTGAGTTTTGATGTACAGTGCTTCTTTTAGTTTTAAAGAAGAAGTAGTGTGGGCAATGTTTAAATCAAAAGCAGGATTGTGAGTATTTAGATGCGATTTATGATTGATTATATAATTGAAGATACAATTTATATTCAGAGGAGAGGATTAATATTTAGTTACAAAATTGTGATGCTTTTTCCACCTTAATTTGTAACCAGTTCACATGACATTATGTTAGAGATACAGTGTACAACATACTACAGAAAATCATTGTGAATCTGATTGTTTAGCTGAAGTCTAAAAGTGGTTTCAAATAAATCAAAAATTTACTTAGGAACCAGAAGTATACCGGGCGACTGGCTGAATGCAAGATGACAAGAAATGAAATGATCTAAATTACTAAAAATACAATACCAAAAGCCTTAACAATATATCTGTCTTTGAAATAATATTAAACCACCCAGGGCTTTCTAGCATTAAATAAAATTTAATGTTTCTGTTGTCAAATCATTCATTATTACACTTATGGTGATCAAGGAAATAAAGTTTTAAAGTTTATACCAAGTTTGAAATACATAAAAGCCATGGGCGTCATTTGTCATTATCCAGTCTTGCTAAAATTATTCAAAATATTTACAATTGTGCGGAAACAAATACAGAGGAGCTGAACTTGTCAAATGTATATGGAATTTTGTTAGTGTACAGGAACTTGGTCACATCCTCAAATATGACGATCAAAGCAATTAAGATATCAATGAAAGACGTTTTCTGTATAAGAATTGAAAGTAGCAGTTTTATAAATTATGTTATGGGAATGGGTATCACAGGATAGACATTACTTCGTTTAGTTCTTATGATATACTGAAATCTCCCATCAAAAGAACTTGCAATATGATTATACCAACAACCGGTTCTGATGAATGAATCAAGATGGTATTTTGATAAAAGTATCTATACGATTGGCTGGCGCCTCGCATATTTCATATAGCAAATAATACATAGAAATTTTAACACAATACAATTTACAAAGGTTGTACAGGGTCCAAATTAACAAAATTATGTGATGACAACATACTTACGTTGGTTGGCCTGAAAAATCCGTCCAGGAGAAACCTTTCCACTGTTAAAGTCAAACTGTAGCCAAACATAGAATCTTCCTTTCCGAAAACACCTTTGCATTTGTAGTTTTATGTCAATTTGCTCAATTTTATAACATAAGCAAAGTGTAAAAACCAAAAATATATATATATACGTTTAAAACAGACATTTGAATCGATTGACAACTTATAACGCATATATTGATTAGAATTTGAAATAAAGTCACTGCAACATGACACAATTCGCTCGTTTGCTTTTAAGATTATGAGTGTTCGAGTGAATTTGAGTTATGTATACTGATATTGGGCATGAAATAGAAGGTGTGGCGGATATCGAACGTCATCGGAAGTACTCGCTAGACTTACGGACGATGCCAAAACTGTCTAATCAGCAATATCCCGCCCATATAATTGTGACTTGGTGGTTTTTTCACATTTATGCTAAAATCTTGGAAGTTTCATGTTAGAAATAAACCTTAGTGCTTTTCTGAAAATTTTTGGTTAAGAAAATTTCATGAGCTTATAATTGCTAAAGAATACATTTAAATTTACTGAACAACTCGCAAATTTCGATTATGATTAGCACTGGTAGGGGCGAAACTTGAACTTTTTGTTAGAAAACGGTGGAAGTGGGAGGAATTAAATACTCTGCAAAAAATAAGAATACGAAACATCCTACAGAATTGCGACAGACCTGAGGGCAGGTGCAGGCCAAACAGTTGTTCAGGCAAACCTTTTCAGTAAAACTGAATTCACAATCAATTTTTCCAAAACTATTATTGTGTCAAATAAAATTCACTAATATGGATAACTGTTTTAATCTATCCAAATACATCGTTTTCAATTTTCCTGCAAATTAAATCTTTGTCATGTATCATTTTAACAGTGTGAGGTGAGGGTCAGTCATCCCTTCAAAACCATATCAAAATTTTGATGATTTGACTTTAAAAATGTGAGCACGGATTGCAGTGATTTTCCAGTTTACCTATACGTAATACAAACAATGTCAAACTCAAACCAAAGTAAGTATCCTGTAGAAGGTAACGCTAATGACATGCCAGGTACATCGATTAAAGAACACTGGATGGAAGCCAATTACCAACAGTCATACTCATGCGTAGAGCCATATATTGAGCCTTCCTAACACTTTTTTGTGAAATTATGAGATGTCAAGTCAAGACTCAAGATTTGATAAATGACTAAACAAACATTAGACTTTTTATGACACAGTTTTCAGCATTTCATCATAATGTCAAAGATAAAGTGCATCTGTTGTTTTGTTGAAAGTTGAAACCCATATTTAAATTTCGAATATTGTTCATGGAGTTTTTAGATCAGATGTACAATATCGATATATTTTGCAGTTAACTAAAATGGAACTTCTATGTAAAATTGTCTGGAATCCTTAATGTTTTATGAAATCGTTCACACAATCAGATCATATTTCAATATAAAGTAAAATCTGGTGAAAGTTAGGAGGATTTTATTGAATAAGCTTTTCTATATTCCAGATTTAAAACACAGAAATCGTTCTTCTGAGAGTCAAAATTATTTGGTTAAAATTTCGACTAGTAAACAGATACAAAAATAAAAAATTCTTTTATCTCATAAATCAAGCAAAATGCAGTGTTGAATTACTAAATGATAAACAGATGGCGCCCCATAGTTGGTCATGTTGTATCAATACTACGAAGTTCGTTGAAATATGCCCAGTAACTTCAGAAACAACCATCTTTCTCAGCAACCTCAATATAGATACTTTACATAAAACTTGCCTTTACAAGTTACAACAGCAAATGGCCAGCGCAAGAAAGAATTTCAGGAATTTATTGTTGATACAATTTTGATAGGGTCAACTGTTACAAAAGGCTATAATTTGATCATGCATGTTTTCAAGCAATTTAAAGTTTCAAACTTTTAACTGCTCAAAAGCGGAGGGAGCAGCAGACATTTCTCCAAAACATTTTTATGTACTGGAATAAATGATATCTACCTACTCCCCCTTCCTTATTCTTCAGGCTGAGACGACGGTGGGTATTTTTATGTAGACGACCGACGAGAAAGGAGTTTTAGGAGAAGTAAAACAAAGAAAACCCATCTTCATTAAAGAAAGAAATAGTAAATCGAAAACATAAGTTATATCGAAAAAGTTTTTTCGTATTATGATAAGTACAATACAAGAAAATAAAAAGAACGAAACGATTCTATTTTTGAATATTATTAATTCCCATTGAGTGGCCGATAGTCTATACAAAATAATGTTTTAATATCCAACATGACTAGTACTCGAATCAATACTATTCAAATCAACTGTATTCAAATTGGCATAGAGATGTAGTACTTCCAGGTTACTTTTAAGATGTAAGAGTGCTACTTTATATCCTTGGTAATATAACTCTCCATCGCCAGAATCCCTTTCCCTCCAAATACCAAGGAAAATCATTAGAAAAAAGCAACATAAATTGCAGTACAAGAAGACATACGCACAGGTGAAAAAGCTAATGGCGATGAAAGATTGGAATGGGAGAATGCCTGTGCGACTGATTGTTGTTTAGCGGGAACAAGAGTAAAAAGGCAAGATCGCTTGCCACAAGATATATTTGTTTGTTGGAGAACAAGCTTTTGTTGTGCAGAAAATCAGAAAGCATGCAAAATATACTAAGTTTGGAAAGCGAAGAGAGTAAATTACAGATGTTTTTTACAGGACTACATCACGCAAGCCTTATGTTGAGCCATAATCGCCAAAAGTATTGGTAACAATTGGCATCGATGAATCTCTGTGAAAGTGATTTGGTTAATCAATAAGGTCAGAAGAAATATCATCGACGTTCTCAGGTTTAAAGTTATCAGACGTCCTTTCATTTGCACCACAGTCATCGTTTTGCCCTTCACTAGATTCGATTAGGATAAATTCTTCCTTCTGCTTTTGAAAATGCCCGTAGTCCGCAAGTAGAGGAACTGGTAACGAGTTCGGTAGCTTATTATCACTTGAGGTTTTTGTGTTGGGTGTAAGAGATGTAATAGCCGTGTCGATGTGACTGAATTCGGAATCCTGTTCGATTGTTGAGCCATGAAAAGTTAAAGTTCCTTTCAAGATGTCACGAACCTGGAAGCACATAGTGAAGATGCAGGTTGTCAATATATTGTATCAGCATATCGATATATAAAAGACAACTTTCTCAGCTCATCGTTTTACCTGTTTTAGACCAGCCAAGGACAAGTATACAACATCCATACATTTCTCATCTTGAGTTATTTGTTCTTGTAGATGATCTAAATAATAAGCACATTAGCAAAGACACTATATTTTAGAGGTAAATATGTATCAAGAAACACTCAAACTACCAAGTTACGGATTTTCCAGTTTACAAGTTATCTCGTACAGCCATAACCTCATTTAATGCTATTTTGTAAATAATCATACAGGCATTATAGGAGTGAAAGCCAAAAAGTACATCAAGCACCAATCAATATTTTATATAAAAAAGTGATAAATGAAAGCATCGTACTTATGTAGGTGTCCATTTTAGAACCACAATAGATCGATATTGACTGAAGTTTATCTACTTCCGCTTTGAAATGAGAGACTTGATCTTGAAGACGTTCATGGTCCTAAAAAATATCAAACACACGCTTGTTTAAATGTTCCCTGTTAAATTCATAGACATGGTGATTCAAATAAAATTCTTAAGTAACGACAACTGTTCAACGAAGAGTAAAGGTGTTTTATCAAGTTACTAAGTTTTATACGTACCAAATACTTTTCAAAAGGCCGCAAAGATATTTTCAAAAATTTTTCTCAATCCATTAAAACTATTTAAGTTTTCACGCAGCTGTAGACGAGATTGATTTATTTTATGTAAGTATAATTTTTCAGCCTTTACAAAATTTGAAAAATAATAGAATAAACTTGATTTTATATAGCCACAAATTCCAGAAATAACAAATTTCTCTAAGAAAATAAATTACATGGCGTTTATTCGATTTATCTAATGTTTTTGTTTGATTTAGTCTAGTTTTGTCATGACTTAGCTTGTCGTTTTTGCTGAGTTCTATTCAAATAAAAATATTGGCATTTCAACGATTGGTTTTTGCATATGAAAGTAAATTAAAGTGCTTTGGAGCACATGCAAATAAGTTTTCATTCTGCAACAAATATGAAATATTCTGTAAAGTAGGACAAATTAGCACATCAGAAGAAAACAATTGCACAGTTTCTACACATCAGAAGAAAACAATTGCACAGTTTCTACACATCAGAAGAAAACAAATACACAGTTTCTACACATCAGAAGAAAACAATTTCACAGTTTCTACACATCAGAAGAAAACAATTGCACAATTTCTACACATCAGAAGAAAACAATTGCACAGTTTCTACACATCAGAAGAAAACAAATACACAGTTTCTACACATCAGAAGAAAACAATTGCACAGTTTCTACACATCAGAAGAAAACAATTTCACAGTTTCTACATACTTGCTGTAAAGCAGTGATATCAGTTCGACTTGGATGACGAACTTTCGATGATAGTTTTGATAAAAACGCCGTACTGGCAGATGTTCTGTTGGATCTTGGTGACATCATAAATAAATCTTCATCATCAGGATCACTGGGGAACATGTGGGATGACGGGGATGACTTGTTGTTCTCTAAATTGTTCGCAATATTACAACAATGCACAAAATTCTTCGTCAACAGTGATTAAAATAAACAAAATCATGTGAACATTCACCATAAAGAAAAATATTTCCAGACTCCAAGAAATTTTTGCCAGATAGTATAAATATTGAACAAACAACATTACACGAAAATAATTTCGTTCAAAGTTTTTTCCATTTCAGCATTATACTTTTTGATAAAAAAAACTGATGATGATGAAATCAAGATATTTACCCTTCATTTCAACTGGTTTCTTTTTTTCATTACCAGAGGATTTATTTTCCAATCTGTTTTCAGCATTGTATGTATCATTGATTTCCGGTCCTCTCTTTGATGGAATTTGTCTGGTGCCTCGCAAAACAGCCTGTAATCCATTCGTTATTCTTGAATGAAAAGCATCTTGGTTCTGCAATAATTCATTTTGATTGAATGAAGAAGTCGCGCATGCGTATTTGAACTATTTTGTAGATTAACTTTGACCAATGAAAGTAAGCACAAGAAAATTACAGACTTGACTGTAGTTAAACTATAAAAAGTAGCATGAAAAAAGTAGGAACCAGTAATAGTTCTTCGAGAAATAGGAAAAAACTATTATTTGTGAATATCAAAATATATTGTCTCATATTACACAATGCACCATTAAGTCTAAAGATAGAAATTTAACAGAAATACAAATTGTTCAAAATTCCAACAATTTCCACTTAAATTATTCAAAATAGGCAATACACACGGGAAACTCAGGAGCGACAGATGACTTTAGTTGTTCTTTTGCCAGATAATCCATTTTTCTTTTAGGATCAAGCTAGAAAAATATTCAAAATACATTAAAACAAATTCACTTGAGCCGCCAATATCTCAGAGACAAAGTTAAAGTGGAACTATGATCTTCGTGTTTTCTTTCATTTAAGAAAATTTGACTGCGTGGTGTGACTGTAAAAAGAAAAAAATCAATTCGAGGGACTATTTATCTTTTTATGGAGGTTTAAAAATGTCATTTTTTATTGCCGTTTTGTTCCACGGCGTGTTTGAGAGCGTGACGTAGATAGGGTAATCTGTTCACATCTTCAAGCATGTGTTTGAATAACAAATAGTTGGTGAAAGTGTTTTCTCGTTGAATTTCAAAGGTAATTATGCGAAAAAGGTTCGTGGCAGTTGGCTGTAGCAATTTTTCAGACAAAAAAAAAGGGGGTATTTCAGTTCATCTTATACCATTTTTTGGCGATGAGCGTGTCAAAATTTCACGAAAGACGTTGATTTTATTGAAAGCTGTCAAATAAACAAATAAATATCTCAAAACCTTCGCAAAACTGCATAACTGTAGTATTATTTTATAGATGTAAACACGTTTCGGAGCTGAAGTGTTACCCTATCTACGTCACACTAGTCGCGGTTTCCGGTTTTTAGAATAACGTTCATGGTACAAGAACGAATCGACTTTAAACGCTCACAAAACAGTAAAATATAAAAAAATTTCGTTGGAAATTTTGCGTAAAACACTCTCTGTGTTATAAAGTTTTACATCATAAAAAAATAAATAAAGTCATAGTTTCACTTTAATAAAATCGGTCAGAGTTACATTATTTCATTTTGTAAAAAAAACAATTTCAGTCAGTTAATAAAATGTTGTTGCGTCATAGTTAGTGACACGAAAGTCCCGCGGTTATTGACGTGAGCGCGGTTATTGACGTAAAACGTAACGGTTGGTGACGTCAATGCGTCATAGTTAGTGACGTAAAACGTCCGGGATCTACTACAAATCATCATGTGTCAATGAGACTGGATGCATGATGTGATACTTTACTCACTCTGGTATCTCTCATATGCTTTGCTTCTAACACTACTAATTTAGCATCTTTTCTACAATATGGTGTTTTCATCAATATAGTAATGCATCCAAAATGATCCGATGATAACACTATAAAAAAGATTTCAAACACAAAAGCGTCAGTAAAGTGAGTTGGTAATTCATTGTTAATACAACTCCATTAGTCCGTTAACAACTGTTACTGTAATGGGTTATATCTTAATAAAGTGCACACAAAATAAATAATAAGTGTTGTTACATTTTCTTCTTTGCTGCATACCAACGATAAATAGACGTAGTCGACTAAATCCAAAGAGAGACCATCAGCAAATATACCATCCCAAAGGGTTAAAATATCTTCCATCGTAGTAAACTCACGACCATACAACAATCGTACCCATCGTCTAGAATAAATCAACCAGAAAAACGATATAAAGTCTACAAAGTCGTTCTCGATGCAAAGTACAATCTTAACACACTTTGCATTTTCTACGCCTTTTAATTTGTCCCTTCTAAACAAACCCCGCTAAAGTTTTCTCAAAACCGAAATTCTAACAATGTTTTAATTGCTTCGTGTACTGGCTACGACTTTGAAATTAGAAGTTTGGAACTATTACATATCTTGTTATATTAAATACATTTCAAATGAAATCTAGTTTATTAATTAACTTAATTAACTTAAAATAGCTCATTGAAAACATTTCTGATTTCTTTGAATAATTTCGCTATATTACTGGAATAAAATCAGTATTACTGGAATAAAATCAGCCGTATTACTGGAATAAAATCAGCCGTATTACTGGAATACGCGATAAAATTAACACTTTGAATGATTAAATGATAAATGATGTTGCAAAAGTTGGAAAAGGACAATGGATAGCATCTGACTTTGACCAAAAAAGAACGGAAACATTATATAAAAACACTGAGTATCTTATTTATTTAAATTTTCTTGAGGGAAAATAAAAATTTCATTAATTTACGTTGTTGTTAGTTTACTCATTGAAAATCTTGAATAAACAAGACACGCTGTTTACCTCGGTAGCATTCAATAAGTGATGAATAATATTAATTATAAAGCATAATCCATGTGGATCCTATAAAGCGCAGTATACATAACAAAATTTATATAAAGCGCACATTCTCGAAGATTTACTCAATATTCACGTCTGAATTGCATATACATTTGAAAGCTACACACTGCCTCTCGCGCCTTCCAAGATTCGTGGACTGATCAATGGTTTTGATATATAACGCTTTTCGAAAAAGAAACGGGTGCTCCAGAGTAAGATCCTTTACACAACCGGCATTCAAATGTCATATGATTTACCGTAAAAACAATGATTTCGGAAACTTTCCATGACCTTGACAAAATGTCTTAAGAATTTCTGAACAAGACAACTATAACAAAGTAAATGGTTTGAACCCGGGAGTATCGTTACATGTTTGTAAATGTAGATCGTCCAGGTGGGTATAGTCTCGAGAAGGACTGTTTTGTCGTTGTTGACTGACGTCAGGACTATAACAACCTGGACGATCTACATTTACAAACATGTAACAACTATAACAGCCAATAACATTTCGCCACTCGTCACAATGCAACAGCAAACATCAAAAACCATCAAGGTAATTGCATCATTATCGATAATATATAGATAAACTATTATCTTTCTATAGTTCTATTGACGAGTCTGCATAATATACAAGACAAGAAAAAGTTCAAGTAATACGTACAAGCCATAAAGTTGTGGTTCAATATTCATATCTCGTAAATGGTTGTAAAGAACCGTATCATATTTTTTGAGCATATTTTCTTGTATTCGATTAAGTTTTCGCACGACAGTCGGCTAAAGAGAAACGAAAAAGTTATACAAGAAATTCAGAGAAGCCGAGAATCATTGCTCAACTGACTGGTAATAACGGTTGCTCCTCCATAAAAGGGACAATACTAGGATCAAATGTCTGCAAAGAAAAAATTTGTTTAGAGGAGGAATATCATAGATTAACATGAAGATATGGAATGCTACTGAAGGGATTCCCAACTACCATGGCTATTTTTCATTCTCTTCCTACTGTCGTAAATAACGAAACTCGCACGAATCTTGGTTAAAAACAGCATGAATGTCTGCATGTTTGTTCACATAGCGGGAAAATAATAAACAAGAAACGATGTACAATATTCATAACAACATGATGGGAAGGTAGTTTAAAACATACTTGTTAATGGTAAATTTAAAGAAAATCCTACCTGCTTAGATGGAATGGAAGGTAAGTCTCCTCGTGCATACCACGGCTCAATAACGTCCATCAAACGCTCAAATAAACAGCTGAAAATTGCAACAACACACATTAACCCTTTAATACACAACGTCCAACATATCGGACCATCACGAATTTCGAACAAAGCCCTTGTGAGAAAGTATTTGGTAGGAAGGGGGTATGTACTCTAGTTTTTATAAGATGTTACCCGGTCAGCTTAGTTTAGATTAGATTTCGGTGGCTCCCTTGTGGGTGTCGTTGGGTAAATATGTCAGACTTTTTAATCGAAAATAAATCGATGCAAAACTCATGCTAACTTACAATGCATCACTTTCGAGGAACTCGGGGTTGATCAAATTCTTCATTAATTTACTAAAATAATAAACAAAATAAATATACGCAACAAGAAAGTAAGGAAACTTTAGCCTAAAACTGATCATTAAACTTAATTTTGATCAAACTAAGCCACCGGATTTTATTGCAATTATTTTAGATGCCGCAACATAAGAAATTCCATTAGGTTTATCTAACCAACAAGATGATCAAGCTAAAATATTCTCGTGTTCTGCAAACTATTGCTTTTTAGCCTTGATGTCCCTGAAGATTTGGACCATTGATTCAAAATGGAACCCCCAGTTCAAATCTGCAAGCTAATATAGACGGAGCAGTGCAAATCAGCAGGCGAATATGAGCCTATGGGGTTCAAATAAGGCAGCAGGTTTGGTTTTTCGTATTCGGACTTTTCTCGCAAATTGTAATGGATTGTGTTCATTTTGTCCCATTGTATTTTTATAAGTAACAAAGCGTTATGAAACCATTCTCATACTATGATTAGGTAAATCAATTTATGAAAATAGGTAATTGCCAATTTGGTAATTGCTTATTTGTTTAATGCTCATTTCAAATGGTAGATTTTTCGATTACAGCTCATGCTGTTATTTCATATGAATAGTGATATGACTTTTGCCTTTACATAGTTCTTTAACTCAGCTCTTACCATGCTGTTGTATAGCTAAGACATGGAAATATTTTCATTGAATTTTTTAGTCTACGTATTTTCAACATGAATTATTTTAACGTGTTTCTTTTGCCAAAATTCAAAATATGAAGTCGATCGTAAAAATATGCTCAATAAGTGAAAATGTAAACCAAACAGCCGAACTCCGATCTTCAACACACAGTACAAAAATATTCTTAGTTTCCAAGCCTCGAACGCTAGCCTGATCTCGTCACTTACTTGTCCGAACTATCCAGAAATTCATATACTTCCGATCATATTCCAATACAAACACGATAGGAGCCAATATTTCATGCATTCCCTTAAAAAAGTCAGAATGAAAACAAACAGGGAAATTTCAAACCAACATTTATAACAGCATCATGCGAAAAGATGACATGACACGTGACAAAAAAATGAAACTACATCAAAAATGATTGATAAAAATCTTTGTACAGAAACTCCTGTCAGTTTAAATCAACCAATCAATCATCAAATGCTACATCTCAACTTCACAAAAATCTTAATCAACACGAGATTTTTAAACACAAGATTTGCCAATATGTTTTTGTAAAATTTGTCGTCTAAAACAATTGTACAATGGTTTACAACGTTTTCTATTTACGAAAAAATCGTGTGCATGTAAGAAATATCAGCAAAAATGCTATCATTTTTATATGTAATTTCTCGTGCATTTATAAACATATCTAAGTATAAGATCTCGTACATTTGACGGTAAAAACATACTTGTTTGTAGCCAACGTTAGGATTCGTTCTTGCATAACAAAACAAAATATGCAGCAAAATGTCTCTAGAAAAGAATTACGTAAGTTTGAGAAACAACTCAATATAAAAAAATCTGCTATTAAAGGGCGAACGCAGACAACACGTAATGAAGAGATCTTCTACTGATGTAGAACTCTTTACGACTTACTTTATTTTTTAGATTGGAGTAATGCATTCCAGGAAATCTATGTATAACAAACAAAAGTCAAGCTTTTTTATGTAGCTATAGCAATACAATCATGGTTTGGATATGGTCGAATATACTAACAGCCGATCAAGGTCTTGATGAATTACTTCATGTAACTTTTTATCTTCGAAGTATTGAGTCCAAGGACTCTGCAAATGTACTATAATGTATAAATTGGTTTCCCAAAAGCATAAAGTGCATTTTTATTATAAAATTATTTTTATAGTTTAATGAACAAGTTGTGTATCTTTCATTTGCATCTTTTAACTTACATCACTTTCTTGAGACAATGGATTAAAAACTTGTACATTTTCTTTACTCAAAACGTTAGAATATGGATCAACGAGCAACTGAAAAATCAGCAAAGAAAAAAATTACATTACATAGAAATTTCATTACAGTTTTAAATATTTCATACAAAAAACGTTTCATTATGTAAGTTTTTCTGCTTTTCAATCCTCTCTTATTTGGCGAAGAAAATATTTTTACTGATTATGAACTTTAATAAAACATTTAATAAATTATTTTGGATATTTTAAATTGAAATTTGAAAATCAATCAAATACTTGTGACAAGCAAAACGTGTTACCTTGGACTTAAGGTTTTTGTATGTTTTTCTTGACTCACTAACTGCATCTAACCAACAATTTGAATCCTCAGGAAGACACTCTAGAAAGATCTAGCAAACCAAAATACATTTAATAAAGAGAAGGTTAAATCCCAACATGATCAAATTACAGTACAAGGGAGTATACTGTATGAATATCAAAAATGTTGGGATCACTTAATGTCCCAACACAAACACGCTATACTAAATATATTATATCCACGATGTAATTACCATTATTTACAAGTTTTAATAACAATTTCAAAAAAAATCAGCTACAAGTTTCCTCTTAAATCCCAATTTAAAATTTAACACATTCACTTTCAGCTACATAGAAACAAAATATTTTATTGCTTCCAATTTGATCATTATCTTAGAAACTTCAACTGTCATTGTGAGAATTTAAATCACATTCTGAAACTCAGGAATCAGTATTATTAGTAAAGAAAAAATGTTCATACTCAGTCAAGCAACCTTATACCAAACTATATGTATGGAATCTAGATGTAATCAATAGAAAACTAAGTTGACTACTCAGACAAAAAGTAATATATATTCTATTTCATCATCCATAGGGATACAGAAAAAATAACTAAACATTATACTGTAAGGATATCAAGATACCATAAATTTCAGACTCTGCTGTCTGTACATAGCACAACACAACACAAAACATGTCATATATTACACTCTGTGATATCTTATCTTAGATGGCGAATAAAGACTCTGACAAGCTAAGCTGATAATGAAATGATGGAGAGGAAAATTGGCTGTGAAAGAAACAGCTGCAGTTGTTGTGCACAAATACAGCCAGAATACAATTGCAGTGAAGTGGAAGATAAGACTGTGTGTTGCTCAAAAACTTCTGAAGAAAGTAAAAAAACAAGAATGGTAAATGACCAGTGGAGATAGCTCAATTAAACATCTTTGGAAAACATTCAAGAAGTTCAAAAGTAACATTGCATAGAAGTATTCAAAACAGCCATCTTTGTTGTATGGAATTGTATTGATGGCCATGAAACATATCGACTGGTTACATTATTGATAAATGTCTTAGTACCATAGTAATCATTGCTTGCTTGTGTGGAATAAATGCTTGAACAATTGCTGAATGTAACATGAAAAATGTATACAACTGTGAAGAGTCATAAAATACAACATTTCTACAAAATTATAGTATTTAGGGACGACCAAGAACTTTGCACAGTACTGTGTATATCATATATTATCAAGACATATGTATGTCATACATACACTTGTAATCATATCAAATGAAATATTATCATGTATGGTTATGACTGATTTCTACAAAGAATTGTTCAATACACATACCCTCCAACATACTCCACGAAATCTAGTACAATCTCTTAATCTGCCATCATAAGCAAGATTTTTTAGCTAAAATAATAAAATTCAAAATCAACTATCGAGAGAGTACATATATTGTCATTATTGTGTAAAATCTACAGAAAAAAAATGCTACACAATTTTGGCATGTGATTTTCAAATCATTTACTTGTGAAAAAACATATCAAAGTAATTGCATGCATTTTACCAGTACATTAAGTTTAAATAAAACATGATATTTGAGCATGATATTTGAGCTAAATGTCCACAAACAAACTAATATACTCACTCCCTTTTTGAAATTTTCACATCCGAATAAAGTCTGCCATTCACACCTACAAAGTTTTACTACAATTATGATTTTGTGTTAAAATGGTAAATAGCAGCTCTTCATCTGCATGGAAAACACGATTACATTGGACTGATATTTACAATGAGTCAATCACTAAAGAAAGCCTATTGGCCAATTTGATTAACTGCTTTCAAATTATGCACATTAATCGGCTCATTATTCAGCAGTACTGATAAATTGGCTCATCCCAATAAATAATGTTGAAAGACACACAGAAGTTTTTCTGCCTTGGTTTGAATAATCCTGGTAATATGATTTTGAATTCAACTCCACAAAGATATGTTATCTATAATAATAACTTGATTAAAGTTTTTCAAAGTTGGGTATATTTTAGGAAATCACTTCTTAGATTTACTTTGGCACATTCAGCAAAAAGACAAAGGAAAAAATGATAAGTTCTTTTCTAATGTGCCTACAACATACAGTATATCATAAGAAAACATCATTTTGGTCAGTTGCAGAGCTGCCAACTTTGACAAGTCTGAAATAAGAAGAAATTTCCTGATAACCTTGAATTAATGGTGATATGAAAATATAATGGGAAAAAATGCTGTTTAACATCACCAGTTTCAACATGCATGCTTCTGTTCATAGTCTTAACCTCTAACCAATTAGCCACAAAAACATTATGGCACGAAACACTTATATGGTAGTTGAAGGATTCTGCATAAATAAGGTTGTCAGATGTTCTAATCTCTTGGACGAGTTTCAAATTTGCTGTAACAAGGACACTATTTTGAATATTTAAGTTTTAGTTCAGCAATGAATCAGTGTATGATAGTCTAATGGAACATTTTAGCTCCCTGACGGGAGACAGCACCTTTCTACAAGGAGACTCCTGGCAGTGAAAAGATAGTTGGCAGGTCTGCAGTTTTCCTTACTTCAATTTAATCCCAAAACTTTTGATAATGCAGCCTTTAAAATTTCTTCTGGCAAATACCATTTGCAACAAGTATTTCATTGTTTCATTAGCAACCAGTGTTTTCCCTTAGCTATAAGATATCATTCATAACACACATACGTACTCTAAAGTGTCTTTCGTCACAGCAGGTATGTACATGTAACGTTCATGTTCCTGCAGTTCTTCATTTTCATTTGCAGGATCATTTAAGTCAAATTCCCCAAGTTTTGCACTCAAAGGATCATCCATACCAACATCTATAATAGCAAAAAATCAAATGTCAAGTATATGTTCATAGTCAAGATTTACTCATACCACTGCAATTTAAAACTTGTCATGTTTTTGATAAAATTAGGTACCAGCTATACATCATAATACATGTCAACGGTCTGCGAAGCCAAATTATGAAATGATATAAAGCACTGTAGCTTATATTTAAATAATATAATCCATTTAAAATAAATATTGCTAAGTACATCACGTATAGAAACATTGTATGTAATAACTATTATATCAAAGTAGATTAAACATACAAAATTGGTGCTTAAAACAATGTTGTAACAGGAAATACTATCCGATTTTTTGCAATAAATTGATCAAAAAATTGGTCACAGGATTGGTAAGTAAGCCATTGCATTGATTTTCATGTTTACCGAAAACATTGCATTCCTGCTTTGCAAGTCAAGACAATGTGAACTTCCAGCGAAAGTTTTTATCACTCGATTCATTGCCGAAGCACAGTGCACTCTTCTTGGTCTTCTAGTTATTTCATAATTCACTCTGTTTCGATTCTTATAAAGATTCGTATAGAAGTACTTGCAGCTATTTCATACCTTTTCGTCGACTTGCTCTTGTTTGAAACTCTTCGTACGTTGAAAAAGTGCCAAACTCTTCTGGAGCTTCGTCAATTTCTTCAGCAGATAATATATTTGATGAATATTCATGTTTTATTACTTCAGTCATATTTGATCAGAGTATTTTGATTCACCGAACCGAATCTCCATATCGGCCAATCTCCGCAATCTCTGTAAAAAATGTGACTTGTGTAGGATTAATATATTATATGTAGTATAAAATAACGTAAAGTTAAACATCATTCCAGCGATGCCTCATTAGCTCAGGGGTTAGAGCACTGGTCTTGTAAACCAGGGGTCGAGAGTTCAAATCTCTCATGGGGCTACCATTTCTTTTCTATGATTTTTTCCTCTCTTCAAGTGCTCTAAAAGTAGATTGTTTTGCCTTTTAAAAAACAATTGATTTTTTTGTACTCTTTAGCCATGATATAACTTTCTAACTATTTTCTCAATATGACAAAATGAATCAAAGCGTGCAATTTTTAACTCGAGTGACTCGAGCGTGGCAGCGCTCCTCCCATTACCGAACGCTTTGACACAGTCACACAGCAATGAATAGTTTCTTACGACGTTATGAAATATTTCTTGACTAAACCCACTAAACCAGGTATTGACGAAGCGCGTTTGCTTCTCCTTCGTCAATAATGCAACATTTGTTTTGCTGTGTTTGTATATCTAAGTTACAGGAAAAAACTTTGAAAATCTAGCCAAAAGTAAAGCTGAAAATGACGAGCACTATTTATCAACACAAACTCTGCAAAATAATGCCAACACAGTTGCCATTATGTTTTACTTATAAAATTTCTGGTCCTTCATCATAGAACGGGTGCTTTCAATAAAACTAGTAATTGTGGTTAATTCTTCAAATGGTGCTGAATGCTAGTAGTCAAGATCGCAATGTTTTCACCATTGATCTTCACTCTGCACAAAAAGTAACATTGTTGTGCCTGCCAGTGGGGTTAGCAGCACAACTGGCTACCCGTGGCAAAAATATTAAAAGGGGGCCTCCTTCGATAAACATATTAAAATCTAATAACCACCACAAGATAATACCATCTACCTCCTTAACCTTATTCTAAAAAATAAAGTAATAATTTATATAGGAATTACTGTAATCATAGTATCAGCTGTAAAGAACGCATCAGTCGAGACGCTAAGAGGTTACTCTAAATAGAAATTAATACAGATTGTCCGAGCTCGCAGTTTTAGGTTGTTCGTAAGTTTATGCTGAGGAATTTTCCTTGTTTTAATCCACTGTATAATAATCTTTTGATCTGACAGGGCCCCCCTTAGGCCAGGGGGCCCGTGAGCTCACCCATCTGGGCCCATAGTAGTCACTAAGCTGGTGCCCACATCTTTCAACTCTTGCAACTACAGTTTTAATATGATTGTTTTAATATGACTGTTTAATATAATTGTTCAAGGTGTAAGATAAATCAACCAGATTTTCCATGTTGTTCACTCCACAATTTTCACAATTACATTGGAATGACAGCCTCTTTTGGTCGGTACATGATCTTCTGCTTCTTTTTTAGTCCTGTTTTCTTCAGTGGTCTTTCCAAAATTCTTATTGTTACTTGGGAGTGGTACGAAGATTTCTAAGACATTCACTGTAACCAATAGCAGTCAGTAGCCACTTCTTTGATGCATGTAGTGATTTCTCACATTTCTAACTATATTACATCGTCACGTTTAGTCACGAATGTGTACTGAAATATACACGATATAGCAATAGCATTGAAATGCAAATGCGCTTCTTTTCAATTGGAAGAATACCACAACTATTCGGTTGATATCTAATTTACCGAGGATTTGCAGGAAATTGCGCTGAAAATTACCCAAACAAATTGTGCGAAATAGTTATGCTCTCAAAATTGTTTTACAGAACAACTTCCCAAAGCGAATTTTAGTCATATCTTAAAGGGAAAATTTTTCAAAACGAGCAAAAAATATTATAGTTAAAAATATTAAATTTTTTGCACGCCACTTCAACTCAATGTACTAGATTTTTGTACTAAAACAGCTAAAATCAACAAATTTGCGCGCGCTTGTTGAGAGAAGCTCACCGTAAATAAAAAAGTTGTATGTTAAGTTTTTCCAATATCCATTTCTATTAAACTGAATCACTGTCTTGCATACGAATCGCATTCTCATTGTACACCTCCCGGCCAAAAGATATTGTGAGGTGGCGAGCAAAAGCAAACAGCCGTGGATAGCATTACGGAAGGATAAGTTTTAAAAGAATAACAAGAGTGCGATCATAAGAACTTATTTACTATTTACATTTATTCCATCATTTTACTGATAAAAAGTATACATTAACTTAGTTTGTCCACTTTACTTTATATTTATACAGCTCAATAAGTAGTTCACCATTTTGACAAATGCTAGTATGGATCCTGAGGCGGGATGTTCGTACACTGTTCAGCTGAAACTGCATTTTAGATTTTCTTTTAAAACGTATAAATGACTTGTATATTCAAAATGAAATTGAAAACCCTGAGTGTTGTATGGTGAATGTGTGACAGGATAATGACATGCTTTGATAAATACAGCATTTACTCTAAACCAGTTACGAACAACCGGCTCTAGGCGTTCAAATTTGACCGACACTACTCTAGTTTTCATTGTGCTCAATGAAACAGTTAATTTTTGAAAAAGATTTATGAATTTGACACAGAAAAGCAAGACTGTCTTTCAACAACTTGCATTGGCCAGTTTAGCAGAAGTCAAATGTAGAATTAACTTATTCATGGTAGAATTTAATTCTCTATATACTTCAGCATTACGGTCTTTAGATATGCAAGAGCAAATGAAATGCAAAATTTTCCATGAGAAAAATTATACTCCACCGCACGTAGACGAAATCAAGTTAAATCAATTGGTTTGGCATACTCTTACAACGATAAACTGCATTAACGATTTGCATCATCGGCGTCAAGCTCACATTTTAAGTTTAAGGCATGTAAAATTTTCTTTTAAATGCCTTGATGCACTCTTTTTACAAATGAAAATCCTTTTCACACTGGAATTGTTAAGGCGCAGAAATTGTTGTCAACCTACATGTGCCATTGACTTGATAACATGAGATTGTTTTATCAAAGCTCAACATTCTGTGGACTCAAGATTTCTCTAATCCTTTTCAAATCCAACCAAGTGCGAAAATTTACATTTTCATACTATAGCATGACTGAAAATCCAACCACGCAAAGTATAATCTCTTTCTGACGTACGTTTAGTCAAGGTCGCTCAATAGACAAAAGAAATCAGGTATGGACATTTCAACGCACATCCATTTTCTGCTATTCGACGCAATCTTTCTTTTATAAAATTAAACATAGGCAATGAGAAACACTAATGTTGACGGCAGGATGTTGAAGGTTTATCAAGACAAGAAATGCTTCATTTGATCTTCCCGTGAGATACATATGTCGTTCATGTTTCCCAAGGAAAGATAATGCAGGAATTTAAAATATAGTTTAGTAAATAAAAATGCCAAGTGTAAAGTACAATGACGGCCAATTTTAGATAAATCAAAATCATTGGTGTCGTATTAGCGGTAAAGGTTGCATTAGGCGGATGCATGAGGACGTTGATGGTGAAATAGGAGTAATGCCGTGAGCCATTTGATGACAAATGTTGTGGATTGAGGTATCTGTGAGAGTGCAATATACAAAGATGCCAAACATGACTAAATAGGAGTGATGTCGTCTAGCAGGACAGGACATGCCTCTACATATGATTTGCAGTAAACTAGTGTGACGTCGTGTGTGCAAGAAAGTACAGGCAATATTCCTAATATATTTACTTTAGGTACGTGTCACGTGATTCCTTGACCTTTCACAGCGGGAGATCCATTTACTAAGCCCGGGATTTGATTGGGAATTTGGTGTATCGGACTGGTCAAAATGGTATCAACAGAATTACTACAAAACAAAATGAAAATATAGGAAAAAAAGTTTGTACAAATATTTTTACTACTACAAATATTTTTTAGAAAACACAACTTAATATAAGACAATTGAATATAACTAAATGATTACCTTCTATTCAGGACATTATTCGTTTGACCGTGCCGATTGATTGACAAACGGGAAGTAACAGGAATTCGACTATTTGAAAGTGCTCCGATTTTGTTATTCCCTTTAAGTACGTTATTTGTTAAATTGATATTCGTTGTTGTCGAAGGGAAGTTCAATGCATAAACAGCCTTCACAGGAGCAGTGGAAAATGTGTTTCGACTAGCGGAAGAATTGCCTTTCCATAATAAAGATGAATTGTTATTGCTAACCGTAGGTCCATTAGTGATTACATCATTCTTGTCTCGTTCAACGGGCGAAATATCATCTGTACAATCGGAGTTTTGGTGAACACCGTTGGATAAAGAAGAATTGAGTGTGAATGTTGAAGTAGGTTGGGTTGAAAATGTTCGTCTAATTTTACGACTAGGTCGATAGTCCTGAATATCGTTATGTTCTTGTTTTTCTATTGCAACATCTTTCACGCATTCATCAAGAATGGAATCATCATGAGCCAAAGTTATATCGATTGAAGATTGCATAAATCTAGGTTTTCGAGGTCGGTAGTGTCTCCTAAATGGTAAAAAATACACTTCAATCAGGAATTTTGTGTTTTCAATATTCAATTGACTTGATACGCTGCCCTGAGACGTTATAGCAGCATTTATAAGAGATTGGCTGAATACACAATGTCATATCGATTTGTAAGAGGTATAAAATCCAATACTCGAATTGTATAATTAGACGAATTTGTTTGACATAATAGAAATGTGGCACGAAATTCAGAGTTGAGGTAAGGCAAAAAGACGCAACTTATTTATCATCTGCACATGTAGGAAAAGTTTCCAAAGTTTCGACATGAAAATAATCCAGTTGTGCGATTGGGGGCAATAAAGTTGTAATATACTCTACAGGTAAATCGTTCGAAAACTACAAACTCAATTGTAATAAATACATCCTTTTCTAGGTTTCAAAACGCAATTATCAATGAAAATATATGACATTTCAAAACTTCTCAGTTTGATCAGACAAATCATTATTTTGTTCATTTATAAAAAAAAAATGTTTAAAGCATACAAACCAGCTAGAAGGTTTCTGTTCATCATTATAACGATCTGATTCGTAAAAACTATTTCGCAACGATACTGATGAATCTAGAAATGATCCAAGTTCTTCTAAACGATCATCAAGGGAGGAACTTGTACGATCGATCAGCACCCTAATTACAATAATACATTTGACCATACACAAGTGGTAAACCTAAAATGAATCTTTTTAGAATATTTTCTTCTCCCAAAGCTTTTATCAACATTTAAATTTGTCAATATTTACAAAATCAAGACATCTACATCGTAACGACTACATCACGGTAATAATATAAATAGAGGTTGGTTCAAAAAAAATTATTTCCTCAAACCTTCCCCCTCTTCCTAAACGTCTTCTTGCATAACCGAGCAATCTTGAAGGTCTAGATAATGACGTCAATGTGTATCTGTAGCGCGGATGTCCGGGACATTCCCAAGGCCAACTACCTTCGAGTCGAGGCTAAAAAAAGTTGCATTTTCATAAGCTTAACAAAACTTGTAAGACTGCATGAAGTCAAAGTAATAATGATCGGTGTCTTAGCGGAGGATATTTATTACTTGTACTCATTGGAAATCATTTTTAAATTGAAAAAGAAAAGCTACTGACTGGCACCTTCCACATAACAGTTGTCAAACATACATCATTCACAAACTTTACATATTAGGTATTAGAAAATTGGAAACGAAAATACATATTCGTACACTAATATTTAAAAGATAATTTCGTGAAAAAGAAATGAAATCAACGCGATAGTTCACAAAATATCACAGTATGTACACCTACCGCAAGGTATCGACAACCAGGCCTTCTTTTAAAGGAATATATACCATCTGGTTCATCTGAATCATCATCTGGTTCGAGAGGCAGTTCAGGCTAGGTAATGCAAAAAGTCACATGCATAATCAAAAATTTTCTAGGGATATCACACAATTTACTTTGAAAGTCGTTCTGTACATTAAGTAACGCCACGTTGTTGAATCACGTAACTAAGGGAAACGAAAAAGAAAGCAAATAAAGACTTACTTGATTGTACGGACTGCCAATATTTTGAGGTGTAAGTCGTTTTTTCCTGGAAGATAAGGATATAAGTTAGACTAAAGTTGACCGGGCAACAGTGGCGTGCTGAGAAAGTTTTATCAGAAGAAGCCATTAATAAATATACACCCAAAAATTGGCGTCCTAATGTTGCTTCAAAGTTGAAATAATATTATCGTTTTTTCAATAACGATCAGCAGTTTTATACATGGGCCTTGATTGATTCTGATGTGAGACTTCCAAATGTGGTAATAATCTGCTCCTTATTCAATAACATTATTCGTTCGATTTAATCATTATATAAAATTAAAAATAAATTGTCAATCATGTTTTTAAATAAAGAATCTCTTGTGTGGTAGCAAGTGCAATGCATTTGGAAAAAAACCGTTGGAAATTTCTTGCATCAATTTATCGCCTATGAGCGCTGTAAATACATATCTTTATATACAGTAACTTATCAGCAGAAATAACAGATTAAAATTCGGCACCTATATTGATTTCTGCATCCGCCCGCACGAAATGAAGCATTTCTACACACCCCACTGTTGGGCAAGAACCAACATTTAAGTACGTATAAGAAACAATGAAAGTAGCGAAACACAGTCAGTATGAAATACCTTAACTCGGCCAAAACATCTCTTCTCAACTTAACATCCTCTGTCTAAAAATTAAAAGACGATGCCATTGTAAATATAAAGTTATAAAATCCAACACAGAACAAAGCATTTCCAAATAAAGTTGCAGTGCTCCCCACCTGGCTTATGCTAATGCAAACCTCGGAGACGTTTGTGAGAACTCTCGAGCACGTACAACCCTCGATCTTCGGTTTCGGGCTTGCACTGATCAGCTCTCGAGTTCTCCCAAAGGTCTCCTCGATTTGCATAAGGCTGTGCAAATACAGTAAACATCTTTTATTTGCAAATAAATGTCACATGAGTTGTGTGACTAGTGTCCTTACCCGTTCGTCTTTTTCATGTGTTTCAGAGCCAGAAGAAACACGATTACCAGAAGCTGCTGTTGTTCCAGTGTAAATAGGAACATGATTGTGGTCTTGAATTTTCAACATCTCCAAACATTGAGTAAACAATTGTCCATCAAAGTCGCCGCATTTGTATCTGGAAGAAAAAAAGCAATCATGAAACGATGTTGACCTGCAAATAATGGCTACTGACGTGAACCTATTATTGTCGATTTCAGTTAACTTTTCAAATGGCGGTTGCCAAGTTATTTTCTAATGTTGGCGATTACATTTCCAATTATGGAATATTCGATATGAACTTGTCAACTTAAGTTCACAAGTTGTGTACTTGAGTACTGAAGTTGTGAAGTACTGGCATACGCGAAAGGTCTGTGGTGTAGGCAAGTAAAAGCTTAACAAATTGTTCACTGATAATGGCAGATGAATTGGAGGAGTTTCTTAATAGTTTCAAGGATAAAATTGGGCAACAAAGTCATGAAGTAATAGAAAAAGCTTTGAAAGAAAATGAATTTTCTTCACGACTGTCGCTGAAACTGTTAAGGAATGAAACCCTTGATCATTTTTTGAAGAATACGAACTTGCGCTTGGGACAAGGAAAATTTTAGAATTTCGTCTCGATTTGCTGCAGGAGCAGTCACCGTTATTAAAATTTTTAAAATCTCAATCGAAAAGTTGTCTTGACGTCACAATAAAAATAAATGTATAAATTTATAATGTTGCGTTTAACTATCTGAAATAGGATACATGTATACCCGCTAAACGTTCATTAGAAAATCGGCGAAGGACAATCGAAGACTCAATTCATCACAACAAACAAGAGTTGGAAGAGATGAACGTGCAATTAGAATCAATGAATTTAACTGTTCCTGAATTACCAATGATTGGTAATTACAAAGTCATTTGCAGCAACTGCCGCCACCGAGGTCATAGAAACACACAAACTAAACCATGCATTCTTGAAAAATGTTCCGCGTTTACTTATTGTGGTTTTAAAGACAAACATCCCGAATATTCTGCGGAGATGAATCGAATGAAGTTTAATATAAAACAAAAACACGAGACTATTAAGAAACTCCAAGAAGAATTAGATGGTGTTAATAATTTTCAAAGCCAGAGTGAGCACCAATTTATAAAAGCATTAACCCCCAGGCTGATAAAAATTAATGCTGAATATAAAATGAACAGACCATAACTTCTTCGCGCAGAAACTACAAACGACGCTGAACAACTTGGAATAACTCTAACGACATGCAAGAAAACTTTGCAAGGCGAGATTGGTGATGTAGGTGTTCTAGGAATTAAAGAATATGAGCAAATGCAACCGGGTGGCCATGCAGTAAATTTCAACGTTAACGTGAACCTAACGCCAATGAAAAACAAAGACAGTAAAAAAGTAAATGGTTTGAACCCGGGAGTATCGTTACATGTTTGTAAATGTAGATCGTCCAGGTTGGTATATTCCTAAGAAGGACTGTTTTTGTTTGCTGTGGACTGACGTTTCGACAACCTTAGCGGTATTCATCTTCAGAGTCAAAAAAAACAAAAAAAAATAAAAAAAAAGAAACAATTGTTAACTTTATATTATGTAATAAATTTACAGTAAATGTGGCACTAGAAGAGTATCGTTGGATTTCAAATGCAGGAGTACCCTGCCTACTGTGCCCTCGACGTCTGTTGCCAATCGTAACAACTACAGACGACTCATCAAAGAAATGCATTAGGTTGCAATCAATCAATGAAATATTTGCTACGTAAGCTTCTAACTTCTGCATAACGTCCGGCCGTTCTGTCTCTCGAGGAATTTGACTTATTATCTTGTAAGAGTAACCAAGATCTTGATTCAAAATTCTACTAATGGATGACCTGCTAGGTATGTTTGCTGGAAGGCAAACTTTGTTATTTTCTAGGTGTTGCTGAATCTCTTTTACGTAAATAGATGGTTTATTAATTTTTAGATATTCAGTGTATGCAATAACGTCAACTGTACGCGTGGTTCGAACATCACGTTCGCTCTGGCGAGGTGCAATAGAACCAGTGTCTACCCATAGATCTATTATATTTGATATAGTCTATACGGTAGGTTTAGTTGTTTCGAAATGTTTGTCAAACGCTCGTTATTTAACCACATTTCAAGTATTTCATTTCTTACTTCTATTGGTAAAGCTTTTCCTTGCTTACTGAACGGATTCATTGCCAAATGTCTACAGGGTACAAAGACCTTTCGCGTTTGCCAGTACTTCGCAACTTTAGTTCACAACTTCAGTACTCAAGTGCACAACTTGTGATCTTAAGTTGACAAGTTCATATCGAATATTCCATATTTGGAAATGTAATTGGCAACATTAGAAAGTAACTTGGCAACCGCCATTTGAAAAGTTAACTGAAATCGACAATAACTTGTTTATTTCGATAAGAGATTTTGAACATTTTTTGGCCAGCAAGTTTTGGTCGTGGTATGTAAATTTAGGTCATTAATATAATTTATTTCTTTAGAAATCTATTGTTTTTACATTCGGTGAACATCGAAAAATTAACATAGCACGACCAAATCTGCGTACTGGCTACACCACTGGTGAACAGACTCCAGATTTGATTTACAAAGATAGTTCTTTCAGACAAAAAAAAGGAAACAAATTAGCTAAAACAAGGGCTAAAGTAAAACAGCTTTCCCACACATTCCCAGCTGTATTAGGGACTAAAACAACGGACTTTCTTGATAAACATGTGAATGTACAAACTAAGAAAAACGTAATCTATCGCCTAGCTGTAAAACTGTCACACTGTTTACCTGTAATCAAAAATGTCAACTGTAATTTTCAAAGCATCCTTTTTATGTTGTTCTCGCCTTTTCACCATATCAAGAATAGTACTAGTAAAAATGACACGGCACAATTATTTAAAGAGCATATTTTAAATAAACATTAGGCTTTGCCAGCTAAAATGCTTAAAAACCTTTGAATTTTATAGGTTGAAATTATCTCAATGCAGTGTTCTGCTGTTCTAAATTATGGGACTACAAGAATCACTAAATTAAAAATAATTCTATACGAACAATAATAATGACCATACCATGCAGTATTTAGATCTCTCCGAAGTTTCAGCATTTTCTCATATGACAGTTCCTCGTTTTTCCGGTTCTAAAAGGGGAAAAAACGATAAAAATAGTATTGATCATTGATTGGAAGTACAAAACAAATAAAATAAAAAACGTGAATTGCAACAATAGAATCGTTAATGACGCATGCGCAAAAAATAACAGATTTTAATGAGCAACAGGCTGGTATTGATGGAGCATTTTTTCTGAATATCGCACAGATATCTGTGTAAAATTAGATATGAAAAAAATTGTTGCAATTAATTTAAAATAACTTATTAGATTTCATTGAAATATTTGAAAAACCTCACTGTAAGAAGCAAAAATAGATTCAACAAAGAAAAACAGACTAGGACTCATTACATTGACAATGTCGGCATCTTATTCGTACATTTTCATCTTATTCGTCATCTTATTCGATGTGATAATGAAAGAATCTTAAAAAAACCATCACCTTACATACCTTACGTGTCTGCATTTTCTCAATTCTACGTCTAAATGCAATGTATGGATCATTGGGGGATGACGCGTCCTTTTTCTCTGATTTTAAAGTAGGAATCAAGCCATTCATGTTGCTTCTATTGTGTTTTTTAACCCAATAATCGTACACAGCTTCCAAATATTCTTCATCTTTAATTAGAGCTTTGGCTGCAGTTATTGACAACACCTAAAAAATTATATACTTTATGTAGGGTTTATATAATGTATAACAATGAATAAAATTATATGAAACGGACAGTTCCATATTAAATTCTAGAAACGGAATTCATCTTTATTAAGTTAAGGGAAAGGAGTATAGTTGTTGAGACTCATTATGCAGCGATGTTAAATTGCCGTCGTTTACTCGATAAAAAGTGACACCACATTTATGGCTCTTTCTATCTTAAAAATATATATAATACATTAGAGAAGTCTGTGAGTTTGATCCGAGTCAAGACGTTTGTGACCAATGTTAAAATTTTAACCAAGAATATGGCCTCAAATTCTATCAATTTGAATGCTTTTATCTAGCAATATACATCACTTTCTTCTGTATAATTTTTCAATTTGGGCAGGTTCTTAAACTGAGCGCAACTAATTTAAAATTCGAGTCCTTATAGTTTTTAATGAAAAGCTATACAGCATATATATTAAGATTTAGTATCTGAACATCGTTTTCACGTTTAACATAAAACCCACAAAATTATTCAACGAAACAATAGGCTAAGAAACATGCTAACATTTATGTGCGTATTTTCACATTGAATATACGTTGAAGAGGTGAGCTTATATAGTTTGTAATTATATAAAGCATAAATCATTGAAAGTCAAGAAAATATTGAACACTACAAATATTTCTAAGCAAAAAAAAATGCAAATTCGACAAAAATGTTGAGCAAACTAAAATACATCAGAACTAATAAAACTATCAAGGGAAAAATAATGGTGGATCTAAACCTCACAAGCAACATTGCTCTGCGATCCCTGCAGCCGATACAGTTAAATATTGAGATCAGTTTAAGATAAAAGATTTTTTTCAATAGACTGCATTGAGCAGTCATTGTAACTAAAATATAGATTTGAAGTAAGAAACGAGCAGTAAATACCTATAACTACACTTGAGGATTTTTGAAATTTGACTGTAGTGGTTGATTAGAGTGTGACCACTAGCATTTCATACATGGCTAAACTCCTTGAAGCAGGAGAATCTTTTAAGTCTTAGTGAGTGTGCATGTCCTTACCCAAATTGTAAAAAGTCTATGTAGGCAAGGTTGCGTTAAAGATGAAAACAAACTAATTTTTTGAATTTGACTAGGGATAAAACCAACAAAATTAAAGGGGTTTTTTCTGATATAGATGAGAACTTATTTAGGGACAAGAAAAAAGTTCTTCTATCACTGTTTTATGCCTGGGGTTAGGGTTAGGGTTAAGGTTAGAACTTATTTAGGGACATGAAAAAAGTTCTTCTATCACTGTTTCAAGGGTTTTAGAACTTATTTAGGGACAAGAAATAAGTTCTTCTATCACTGTATTATACCTGGGGTTATTACATTTAGGGACAAGAAAAAGTTCTTCTATCACTGGCCTGGGGTTAGTTTTAGCATCATGGTGAGAAAGCCTGAGTTTGAGACTGTCATGATGACAATGTATTACATTTTAGAGTATTACATATGTAGTACATAACATGTGTCACTAATGAGCAATATGATATCTTATGATAAGATAATAAACAGTTGACCATAATAACGACAATATGTTGTGCTAAATCTAATGACATAATTATTGGTAAACATACCTGATTTCCTGAGCTCTTTTCCAGTCTATCAATGATATGCTCAAATTTGTCACAAGACACCTTTTCCTGTTTGATAGAAACAGAAAACATTAAAAAGTGGTGAGCAATAAATTTTGAAATGCATAATTTGGTTCTAGCCATTACTTTATCTTTGTTGAACCTAGACAACCATTCAGAATCTTCCTCATCCATATCATATTCTGGTTGTTCATCTTCCACACCAAGTGCTGCAAAACACACCACAAGCATTATTTTATGCAGAACAAAATATATACTTTATAAACACAATAACATGAGAGGCAGTAGTATGGCAAGTCCAAAAAGCAAACTTTCGTATAAACAATTGCAGTGGCATAGCCACTACAGCCTGACTTTTTACTCATGTCATGCATTTTTTTATTTACTTGCTAACTGTATAAACATGATTCGAAATTTACATATCTAAAGTAAATATGCAAATTGGATACCCTAATGATTAGTTGTATAGTGACCAGATACATAACACCAAATGAATAAGATGCTGCTTCAAAAAGAAGCATCAATTCAGTAAAATCACATGGTTTTGTAAAGACACTATCATCTCTAGGACTCAATCCAAAGTGACCTATGTGACATCGAGTACAGTTGTTGTTAACTATTCAATGCATTTCGACTTGCTATGCCATTATTCATACCATAGTAAATGATACAAAAAGCAAACAAACAAGATTTATACATTATTACTATTGCTTTAACCTTGTATATGAATATACTGCTTTGGCATTTTGAAGTCGCCTTCAATTCCACCAACTAGTGCAGTTTCAATATCGATTGGTTTGGTTTCAGGTGTAGGGATGACAAGTTGTTGTTTGTCTCCATAGACCTGCTGGGCAGAAATAGCTCGCTGAAGGTGGTGCTCCTAAAAACACATTATGATTTATTAGATATGAATTATATAATTCTACAAAATTAACACAATAAATGGCATGCACTGATTGATCAATGGCTGTATTTGCATTGGTCTGTGCAAAACAAATCTGAGCTCAAACAATTAAATCAATCGAAAAGAATTTGCAAATCAATCATATGTGAGGAAAAATTAAAACTTTTGTCTTAAATTTGTCTTTTTTTGTATTGTTACTTTATAGAAAAAAATAAAAGATATTTTTATGTTTGTACTGGCTTATGCAAACCTTGGAGACATTTAAGAGAACTCTAGTGCTGGTGCAACCATCGACCTTCAGCACTTCAGTCTAGAGCTTGTACTGATCTGCTCTCAAGTTCTCCCAAAGGTCTCCTTGGTTTGCATAAGGCTGTTCAAACAAAGTAAACATCTTTTATTTTATTTCTTACATGTAATTGCAGGTAATCAAATATCAGAAAAATAGCATTTTTATGGGAGATACAAGACTTTATTTCATTTATCAGGGCAGTTGAAAAAGCCTTGTTCAATTCTGCAAAAATATTTTAAAGGATATTTCATTGTCTGTGCAAATCATCATGGCAGAGCTGCCTGTTTACTTTATCACACCACGCAAAAAATTTCTCGAAATTCACTCAAAATGATGACAGATTTTTAAAATATGAGTGATGGCCAGCTGAAATTATCAAATAATCTTGCACAATATATACATTTTATTTCATTCATTTTAATCATATGGTCAGAATGGTCAGTAGAGAAGCCAGGCTATTCACTTAAGCCACGCTAATTTTTTGTGTTTGTTAGGAAAAAAACTAGAGATAATCGACCATTGCACAAACAACCATTTTCTTTCTTTGCTAAGTTGTTAAACTAAACGAAAATGTATTCAAACCAATCCAATCATAAACATTTTTTTAACAAAAAACATATATTATGACTTTTATTGAAATATGTTTGCAACTCAAGCACTAGAATACCACTTTCATCATTACATCAATAAAAACATGTAGTTTTGTCTTTTTAATAAAAAATAATACAACAAAATACAAACATGTTCATTCACATTGTGCACAAATAGTAAACCAGTTAATTAATTGTCCAGACCAGTTTTAAGGAAGAAGTAATGCAGCAATGAAGAGCAACTAAAAGCTACAAATTAAAGTCTTGAGACATGAAACAAAAATATTCAATTCACATGTATTTAATTGAACAAAATATAAGAGCTGTTGTATATACATTTTCAGAAGCTGGCCACTGGGTTCACTGAAGGAGAATGGAAATGCTTGTGAAAAGGAATGCAAAGGGAACAATCATGTCTTATACAATAAATATTTATATTGTCTATTAAACCAGTGTGACCATACATGAATAATTAATCATCAAAATGTGTTGATCCATACAGAATGCTTCCCCCCAGTTCAAAATGTTGCAATCATGGGGTTGTATAAGCTCACCAGAGCAGATCTGGTAATAAAAATTACAAAGGTAACTCAAAAAATACCGATAAGATTAATATCATATGACAAACAAAATGAGAAATGCTTTACAATATATAATATAGCTCATTAGGTAAAATTTAACACACCATCTGCAAAATGAAATCTTACTTGGAATGCACAACATGTGGGTGTCATCTTTACCACATACATGAATACCAAGTCTCCCTCAACACATATACCAATTCACATGTAACACATACACCAATTCACCCTTAACACCTACACCAATTCACCCTTAACACATACACCAATTCACCCTTAACACACACACCAATTCACCCTTAACACCTACACCAATCCACCCTCAACACATATACACATTCACCATTCACCCTAACACCAACCACACATTTACACCATTCACCCTTAACACCTACACCAATCCACCCTCAACACATATACCAATTCACAACCACACCAACCCTTAACACCAACACCAACCACCCATAATCACAATTCACACCCTAACAACAAATTCATATACAATACACCACTGATATCAACATAAATTCACTTAACACAATTTTCACCCTTAACACATATACCAATTCACCCTTAACACATGCACCAATTCACCCTTATCACATGTACCAATTCATTCTTACCACATGTACCAAGTCATCCATGCCACATAAACAAGTCATCCATACCACATGTATCATCAAATGAAAGATAATTTGTGAAGCCCTATAGTGACTTTATCTATTAAAACTGTTCTTTTTCATGTTGAAAATAAGAATAATTTGGATAATTTGTGTGACTTTTACTACTTGCTACTTCTCAATGTGCCTGATAAACATGTTTTCCAAGTAATGTTGCATCATCACTAGGAAATGGCTAAATGTTAACCAAAGATCAGGAAGCATGAGTGATGCTTGAAAAGCACTTTAACTACTAGAATTAGGTAGCAATCAACCTCCAGAGCTTCAGAATAAAACAATTGTAGATCTTCAACATAACTGAAGAGCAAAGTTAAGGAAAGTTACAACACCTCAATTGTCATTGACAATACTTATAAAACAACATTGGCGAAGAACTTTCAAACAAAGTCAGAGCTTTACCATTACAATGCAAATTTTTGGGCAAAATTATCTATCATTTCTCTGGAAATTTAATTTTATTCAATGTTTTTCCAGGGAATGAGCAAAAAACTATTTGCATTGTAGACATACTAAATTACTACATAGCTACTACATTACTAAATCCTCCAAGGAGTAATTCAATTAAATAATTGATAATAAAATCATACAACAAATTTCGAATTCGAATTTTCCTTTTGGCGCGAGATTTTACTACTTCCAAATTATGATGCAGGTGAGTAAAGTCACGTGACTCCCCAAAACAAACTTGTATAAACTATTCAAAAATACTGTTGTAAAGTTGTGAAACATCTAAGAAGTAGTAACTTTAGGAGGTAATGTATGCACCAACTACAAAAATATCAATAATATAATTTTATAACAATGTCCGACTTTTTAAAAAATAACTTACGGTTTCCTCCTCTTTTTCCATTCCAGTCGGCATTTGAGGTACTGCACGATTGATCGTTGATAACTCACTTAAATCTGGCAGCTCCTCAACCCGATAAACGGGAAGCGGTTTGCTGGAATCCAGCTGACGAGCTCGAAACGATTTACTCATCCTGATTCTGTTTTTCCAAGATGAGTCGAAGTTCGTAGCAAGCTTGCCGTCTCCACTCTCGTGGAGCTTCGAAAATTACACAGTGGTGTAGAATTTTGGAAGTTTTTCTAGCGCATGATGTACATTTGATTCGTCATTTTCCAGGTTTTTCAATCATTCTGATAGAATTTTATTATTGATTGCTTATTTTGAAAATCCATCATGGCGGCAAAATACTGTTGCTGTTGTTTTTTCCCACAATGCATTCGTGTGATGCGCACACATGCGCAGACGATCTTAAAATACAATAACTTCGAATTCACAAAGAAATAGCATAAAGAAATGCTAAGAACTTTTATTATTCCGCCCATTTAACAATTGAGACTTCGGGATGTGACCTCTTTTTAAAGGTAGCAAAATTTTGATACGATTTTCTTGAAGCGCTTCTTATGATTTTGCAAAAATCGTCAGAGACGACATAATTCAAATTGTCATATCAACGATTTAATAGTACTTTCGGCACTCAAATTGACCAACTTATCCACAACTGTTAGCGCAGTTGCAAATTACATTAGCAGGTAGTCATTGGCAGACCGTTGACGACCGTGGACAATATGATACCAGTATGATATGACACTAATGATAACGACCGAAAATCTCAATAACCTGAATTTACAAAGTATATTTTATTTACATAGCATGGTTCAAAAAAAGCTAACACAACTGAATTGAAATCAAATGCATAAAAAATAGAAGTCTATTAGTTATTACTCAAGATCAAGACACATGTATAAGCAAGGATTTAAACAAACATGTTCTGAATTTTGGTTCTAGGTAGAGGCCATCTATATTGAAATCCTTGAGTGTCTACAGTAGTGGCTATATATATTGTATGCCTAGTCTTGCCCAGTTAGGCTACAACGATCAATTTAAGAGGAAGTGTGGGAAGGTGGGAGTGCATAGGGTGCCGCCCCTCCAAATATTCTTTTCGCCCTGCTGTTTAAAAGTTCAATCTTTTCATATGACACTTTAACCTCCCTCCTATGATTTTACAGCACTTGCCACAAGCTCACCTACCAAAAACCTATGGTGCCACCCCAGAAAGAAATAAATTCCTTCTGAGTCCAGCCTAGGTGAAACTCCAGGTAAGATAAATGTGTTTAAACATTACATTACATACTATTTGTTAATAGATAATTCACAACACTCAGAATATAACTCTTAGGGGAACACAAAAAAAGTTTAAAAGATTGAAATGTAATTGACATGGCATCATTATGATACATAGTAAATGCATGTTTTATGTCATTTATGAGAAAAGTTACAAAACTTTAATAAAAATGCACATGAGCATGCTGCATAGCGTATTCTTTACAGTGTAAAGAAAAGAACTATTGACCACCTCAACTATTCACTTGTATGTGCTATGCCTTTCTTAATTATGAAAAATTTACATCCATGTTGCTGTTTGCTTTTCAGTAAACAAGAGTAGGGCAAAAAAATTTTGTGGTATAACATATATTTAAAACAAACATCTCAAAAGATCATCTTAAAAACATAGAAAATTCAAACTATTCATCATTGCTAGTTTCCAAAAACATTTGTGACAAGAACTAATTTCTTGCTACTTGAAATGCCAAGTACATGGCTTTGGATCACCAGTTGCATCACTTTGTCAAAGAGTAGAATGAAATCTATGGATTAGTATATTCTCCAACTATAGTAAACAGAATGGCTCCTTTTTCCTGTTTCAAGTGCCTACTTGCAATGACTTCTTGTGCTAACAGATACATGACAAATGTCAAGTTAATGTTACCTTTACTTATCAATGCATGAATACACAGGCATGCCATAGACAACAGTTGCACCACCATTTAAGTATTTGAATGTACAAATATCACGTGATTTCACCACACAACGAGTGAGAGAAGAATTTCCTTGGAACCAAAGTGCAAGTAAATTGGCTGTGAAATTGTTAGTGTCCGTTTCTTTGACGTTCCAAAGGTTCCCAACAACTGCAGGACTGCAAATAGTCATAAAAAATCACAATTTAGTCTATGTTCAAGAAATTCTGCTTGGTCAATATTAAGTATGGCATGATTTTGAGGAATAGGAAGAGTTGCTACTTTAACCCAAAAATTTAAAAACACTTATTAAATACTCAAAAATTTCTCATGCTACTAATGTGCATCATTTTATTATTAGTAATAAAGAATTTTTGTTGAAAGTTAATTTTTATCATTAAAATTTTACACATTTTTAAGCTTATGATGTTTAAATATCCTGTACTTGATTCTTGGGTGCATGTACTGATGAACAACCTAGTCACAGAGAATGTGTGGCTGTGTGAACTCACCTGTGTCTGTACCATGTATATATGATTGAAAGATTGTTAATGATTTCATAATACCTTGGTGAATTATGAAAACTGCTTTTTTAATTTGCTGTTTTCCATCTAACTTCAACATGTCTGTTTCTCTCATTGCAAATAATTGATCAACATAAATAAGTTAAAAATAAAACGATATTTGGCTCACCTGCCAGAGAGGAGATAGTTGAGTACCATTCCCTTTGGTTCGGAATCACCTTCGATCTAGAATAAAGAATACTAAATATTTCAAGATACGAACAGCAGAATTTAAGATTAAGAAAAGAAGTAATGTGCAAACTCCGCAGTTTCAACTCCAGCCCTGTCTGAGGACAAAAAAACTTCAGCTTTGTTAGAGACTTTCCAAAAATCCATGAAATTTTTCAGTTACTGGAAGTTTCAACTTTTTCATCAACAGTAAAAAGACCGCAAATAAAAGTATCAGTAATTATTAAGCAAAACGCGTGTTCTGATTAGTCAATCCAAAATGGAAATTTAAATTGATGTCGTGAGAATTCTGAAAACAAATACAATATTTTGCCTAAATTTACTTACAATGCATTTCTGAATAAAGCTTACTACACTACCCTCTTGCTATTATTTTATAAAACAATTACCAAACGCTTTCAAATGTTTAGATGGCCTCATCCAAATACTAGGTATGTTGCTCGCCTTCGTCGGCTCTTGTTTCGCGCGTTTTTCTTAATTCTCGTTTAATTCTCACTTATTTGGACCAAACCATCAAAACACAGTAACCGTTTAGTAATTGTTTAATGAATGTCTAATATTATTCTTTCTTAACGTCATCATCTTGCACAAAATGTATGAGTTTGATCAAAATTATAGTAATCACCTAAAGTAAAATGATAGAAACTAGAAAGCGAGCTTATATTTTCACCTAATTAGAATGTACCTATACAAATCACTACGTAGATATAAAGACATTTTTACGTATATTTATTTCACTAAAATATTCTTTATTTTGTTACTCGAATGATTTGTATTTTGAAAGAGATAGGCATTCGTTTAACTGAAACCCAGAATATACTCACAATTAAACTCCCGCTGCTACATCCCATAATCAAGGCTACTGCACGACAACTGAGTCGCTTTATGTCATCACCATTAAGAAATTCACGTCCACAGCCATGACCAGAGTATCTGAAAATAAATCAAAAATATTGCTACATTTGGCAACATTTTACATTGATCAAACTTGCTCCAGTTGCAGAGTGCTCACGGAAAGCGAGTTCACTTCGTTTATTGATGGAATGATTTCCATTTAGGATGTTTTCCTGTCAATAAACAAGTTGCTTTTCACTAAAAAAATTTTTCCAGGAAATTCAGAAATATTTCCATAATTTCGTAGCAGCACGATAGAAATGATACATTTAACGTAAACGACAATTTTTTCAAAATTTTTTATTGCAAACATGTTTCGGCAAACTTATGACATCTTCAATGCGGTATAATGAATGAAGAGATCATAAGATGGCATAAGTTTGCCGAAACATGTTTGCAATAAAAAATTTAAAAAAGTTGTCGTTTACGTTAAATGCATAAGTTCAGAAATATTTCGTGTTTATGTTTTGGCTACATTACGGAGCACTTTGGGTTGGCAATGTTTTAGAGACTGTTTACAAGAAAATGTTTGACCTAATGTAACGTCTAGGGTTATTAGCTTATTTTAGTTTACACAACTGCAGAGTTGCAGCAGAACGCAACCATCAGCTGGCTATCGCCATTGCCAAAAAAGAGTGCATGTTTCTTGCAATGTCACGTCTTGTCCAAAGGCCAAGGCCAAAGCCAGCTTTTGCCGCAAGATGTGACAATTAATTGTCATAAGAAATAATTGCAAAGACCTTACTAATCTTGACTACGCTGATTTTATTTTGCTCTACAATTTTGTGAAGGTTGAGTAGATAAAATACTGTGTAAAATATTAAATGTACTAAACGCCCACGTATTTGTAATGGAATACTCACAGGAAAAGATCATAATTTGCAAGAGCTTCTTTAAATTCCGATGCTGAAGGAGCACGACCCGCGATACCTTTCCATTCTTTATTACTAAAAAATTTTCATTAACTAGATTTAAAAAAAGGTGACAAGCGTTTAAAAATCATTGCATTATTAAGGAGGATACCGATAAACTGGATTAAAATCAAAAATTCCTTTAAAATAAAAAAATCCCCCTTCTCCTTTGGTTAGCATTTTCACAAATGAGTTAGGTAGATTAATCTCCACTAGTATAAGAAATATTGAAATGCTTACATGGTTGAAAACCAGCTATAAAACCATTCCTCGGTGTTTGGAAGATTATCTTGCGGATTGACGACATAAAATGCCTTATTTGTATCAACTTGTAACCTCTGAGGAAAAAAAAGTTATGAAGTGTAATGATTTATAATTCTCCGTTAGATTGATTCGAGTAACGGACTGGATTAAATTGCTTTTGATTTTGATGTTCAGCCAAATTTTACAAAATTGTACACGCATAATAACTAATAATCACAGAGCTTCTTTACAAAATATGTGCAATAAGTTTATCCATTAACTGATCAATTGAGCAGATAAATGGATGGCGGCAAAAATGAAAACATCACGTGAGTTAAAAACAATCATACTTGGTACGTATTGTTTGCGGGCTCATTTTACTATTACGATTAAAGATAGAGTAAACAATTCATGCCGGTAACATAAATCAACAACTTCTATCTTTTATGGAGGTAACTGCATCCGAGCCCACAGATCTATTTGTCTGCGTAACATGAAATGCGAAAGTTATTCCATGTTCAATTTATCCCTTGGTGCAATAAGAAAATATGCTTTGGGAATGAGATAAGATTCAAATTTAAATTTAGATGCGGCAGAGAATGAATCCCACGATCGTTACAAATGATAATGTACCTTATTTTTATGGAAAAGTAGATGTGCATTGACAAATTGAAGAGATGGCATTCTAGATATTTCTTGATCACGAAGAATTGGCATAGATTCAAATGGTAGATGTTGTATTATCTGCAAAATAAGCGATGCAAAATATAAGATAAATATTTGTCAGTTATCAGTATTAATGAACATGGGTGTACGACGATCGACACTTGTGTGTGTGTGTGTGGGGGGAGGCTCATAATAGAATATGTATGCTATAATCCGTTGAGAACAATAAATTTCGAAAAAACCTTATCAATGCATCCCATACATATATGAATATAACCACGATAAAACTGCCACAGAAAGTTTCAGTTTTTTGTGACATTCACTATGCATCGGGTTGTCCTATACACATTTGTTGTCCCATAATCCAAATACATATTTGTGTTATTTTTTTTTCACGTCAATGCCAAATCACTCATTCCGTTGCTAACGTTTCTGATCTTACAGTTAAATTTCACGCTCTGTTAAAACGAATAAAGATTCGACGATTTTAGAAGTAAAATATTTAATAATGTTAAGCATTTTTGTCAAAAGATACATCGTTCCGTTTGATAGATAATGATTATACACTTAGCAACGTATCTTTACGTGCATGGAAACGTCACTTTTCAACGGCCACAACGACCGTGACAAACATTTCCGTTCAACCCTCAACCAGAATCTGCTGTATCAAACGAAAACTTTTGACGAACGTTGTGATATAATACATGCACACAAGGAATTATTTCAAAATGTACCTTATCAAGAATCAAGACGACTGGACCTCTAAATAATTCATCAGCTTGGTCATCACTAAAATGAAAATTACACAATCCGTGGGTAATTTCACGTGAATATCAAGTTGAACTATAATTAGCTAATGTACATTTTTCTCATAGCTGTGTTATTCTATCATGAACCTGAACATGATGTTTTAATAAATATTTTTCATCAAACAGCTTCGTATTTTTGGTTCGACCCAAATTACTTGAGCAAAAAACGTCGGATATTACCTTTCGTGCTCCTCGAGAAAGCTTGATAACGCTTTTGAAAACTTAAAAAGAAAAATCCATTCGAGTATCGTACGTTGAAGGTGTTTGCTTCTATTTAACAGCAAACTTCTCAGACATTCTTAAAACAACATTTTACCTCAGCAAGACGTTTAGAATCAACTTGAATGCCAGTAAGTTCTTCCAAATTCTTCATAACTTCTTTTGGTAAAAGATAGCAAAAACTATCACATAAAACCTAAGAAAAAACTGTGATTACTGTTTTGCTTGCACCATTTCAGCGTAATCACTTGCATTTCACATTAAATTCAGCCTCTATCCCATACCAATAATCGTCACTTAAAAATGTCTAAAATGTTGAAGCTCTCTCAAGGAGCAAAATACTAGAAGAAAATGTTGTAAAAATGGACAGTTAAAGGAGTGATTACACTCGTATTCTGCCTATATTGCCCAGTTATTCGACAAAAATTTGTCGGGTTATCGGATGTTCTAATTCAAAATAAAACTTTAACAAGGTAATCTAACAAATTGAACATAAACTGAATGCTCATGCTACTAAACTTTGAATGTTGATTTCTCACATGATACAATTTGCAGATAACAATTATGTTGAAACTTCCACCTGCCCCTAAAATCCAACCCCACAAACTCTCCGTACAACAACAAATTATACCTCGAGTAGTTGCTCATTTTCTATTTTAAAGCCCAACATTTCAACTGCCATTTCCTGAATACGATGAATATATGAAGACATTCTTAAACGATCCTTTTCAAGACGACGTCCGGTTAACACACCACGCCATGCTCCGAATAATGTTCTCTCCATTTTCTCCACAAACCTCTACATCGAAAACAAAAGAACAAGATAAAAAGTACGTAGATAAAAAAGCACCGCGATTATCATGATGAAAACCATCAGTTAGCTAACATTACGATTATCTTAAATCCAGCACAAAACGATTGTACAGCTGTGATCGTTTCATTTTCATTTGAGTGTATATTTTTAAGTGTACAAGTTTAGGTAGTTTCACTCAATGATTCAGTGTGTAACATTATGTGTACTTATTAATTGATCTTTGTGTTTTTAAATTTCAAAGAAGATGCACGCTGTTTTTTTTGCATGCAAAGACGTTCGATGCTAATTTAATCAAGATGACATTATCTATACACAGTTTGCTGATGATATAAATACACTTTATTTGCATCACGTGTATTTTTCTATAAATGCTTAGTATATTGTGATGACGTTGCTTTGACGTTTTCAACTGACATAAGTGGGATACTGTCAAAGAACTTGCAAAAATTCAGGAACAAATTGCGTTCAAATGACGGCAAAGTCATCAAAATAACTAGTTTGATACCGGTTTATTATCAAACAGACGTACACTCTGTATCTAAAATAAATTCTTATTCAAATCAATCAACAAAAAGGGAAACAAAGCAATAATATGTGTATAGCTATATCATATAAAATATATATAATAGAATACTTCATAGGAAGACGATTGAAATCTGAAAGCATGTGTAGCAGCTACATTTATATACACGTAAAAATGATAAAGTATAAAGATGCCTCGAATTAAGAATTGATGTTTTTACCTTTAGTTTCTTCTCAATTTGTGTACGTTTTCTCATGTGTTCTCGTCTAGTCTCCAATTTTGAACATTCAGTAAATTCTTGCATGATGGTGGAAAAATCATTTAATATACCATTTTGGAATATTGCATTAAAATCACGAACGACATTGTCTTCGTTCTGTCAACAAAAACAAAACAGAAAGTGACAATACATCAATGAAAATTAATCGCACTTTTTGGGTGCAATTCCCTTTTAAATTTGCAACCATCGCAACTCATCTCTCCTTATGAACAAGGCTCAAAATAACGGCCAAAATATGTTTGGTCAAGATCATCGTTCAACTTCATTTTAGCTCGATCGGGGCCGTAGCTAGAACGTTAATTATGGGGTATTGATACATTCAGGTGTGCCCAACTGATTTTTTAGATAGTGATTCAGCTTTGTAAAAATATCAATCGGGCAAAACTGAATATATATGTCAAAGTAGGTTTTGGCTCTTGACTAACAAACATGACTGGCACAAACGAAAGTGAAAACTGACTACAGATTATGGAATTTGACTTTTCGAGCGCTCCATACGTTAGGATGCATCGCCTTACTGTAGTGATTTTGGGAAAGACATGAAAATATGGCAGATCAAAATAAACGATTGGGTAAAAAGTTGGCTAGTCAACAAGCATTTTCGACCGGTCATGAGCCTTGCCTATGAAACACGTCACAATTTTCTTTCAGCAAGAGTTTGCGTTAAAACCTCATGTAACACGAAAGCAATAGTCATTATGATTGAAAGAGAAATCCAGAGCAGGTTAGGATTGGATCAAGCTGATTTAAATATGCTGGAATATTAAACAACAGATTCTCTTTTACATGCATTGAAAACTTTACCGCCAAATTTATCCAATCACATTCATCATCTTCTCGTGGCATGGCCAGCTTTAAGACCAAAGGCTCACAGTCTTTGCGTAGTCGAGTAATTACCAAATACTTCATGTTATCCGTCGCAGGAACTCGTACAACAAACAGTGTACATACAGTTAAGTCTATAAAAACGATGATAAGTTTATGTTAAAAGCTACAGCCATAAAATTCTTGTTTCGTATTATAACACACAAAAGACGAACGTGAATAGAGCTGCATTTGGCCTGCCAAATAAATTTGTACTACATTTTAAGAAGATTCAAATGACATTATAGTACAATCTCTAGAGTCAAAATTCAAGAGAAATGGTTTGATATTGACTTTTCAATATAGTTGAGACAGACATGGTATTGTAAATTTATTGACTCTTATCTCAGTGTGACTAAAATCGTAGAGATGAAATTTGTTTTAGAGCATAAAGGATAACTTATGAGGTGCTTTTGGGTCCAGACTAAGTGATTCATGTCGACTTCAAATGCAGTAAGTTCAACTGTGTTGCATGTTAATTTTTAATTTTCGAATAGATGTTTCCCATAACGAAAATGAAAGCTCGATTTCATCGAATATCCTTATAATTTAACACAAAGTTTGAGTGTATTTTGGTGAATGTCTTACCATCAGGTAACAAATGAATGGTTTTCATAAAGCAATTCATATCTTCTACAGAAGATTTAGGAAAACCAATACAATCAACCATTGTCTTCATTTGTGATATTTTGTACTCCTCATTATCCAAGCTTCCCAGTTCCAGCATATTCCTCTTTCATCTTCTTCCTAAATTTTAAAATCGCTTTAAAAACAGGGTTTTTTCATATTGAACAGTTGAACACAAAAACTTGATCAATTTCTTTAATGTGGGTGTATGCATTCGTCAGACCATAATGTTTTTTGCTAATAACAAGAAAATGTTATGCTTTCTGCACGTATGCTGTATGCGGTCATTTAAAGGTAATAACGCAATACAATATATGCTAGTGACAAACTTTGGCAAACTAAAAATTCAAATGATGGCTATGAAATGAAAACTTGTAGTGATTTTTTATGAAATCGAATTTAGCTTTTAAGATCAATTTAATCAATAGCTCGTTAGAGATGTTACATACGAAATTTGTCTACAGATAATTCTTAATGTCTTGCCATCAATAAAACATTGAAAATCAACCCTAGGTGACGTAATTTATTATGTGACAACTGTAAACACAAAAAGTATTAAGGACAGAATCGTGCTCGAAACTTGCAAGCGTTTTACAAACTGTTTTCGCTCGAATTATTGAGAACAAAGACGTCGATTCTTGATGTCTTGCTCAACATCATGCAACAATTGTTAATTTATGTCGCAAAGTAAAAACTACCATAAATTTGTTCTTTTGTACAAGTTTAATCGAGATCTACATCATTATATTGGATAAAAAAGAAAAGGTACATTGACTTTATAGCTACATCGATTTGAAACTATCATTTACGGCACTTGTCAACAAAATTGTACCCAAACAATGACCAGAACTACAACACATAAACAAATACATAAAAGCGCAAATGTTCAAATTTGTTTTAGCATTGTGTTTCAAAACGTACCTGTTTTTTACCACTTTCCTTTCCTTTCTTTCCTTTCCTGAAACGTATAATCACATGGTTTATATAGAAAAAGTCGCATACTTGTTAATGTAGCTAGTATTTATCTTGCACACCCAATGAAGAGCTATTTTTGACGTGATACAACAGGCAAATAAGTTCCTTCATTGATGAATATATATTCAAATTAATTATATGCATTTCGGAAATTTCCATAAAGTACAACATGAAATAGCAAACCAATTCCCAAAGGTATAAATGTTGTGGATAAAACTTTGTGTGAAATGCAAAAATATGATAAAAATCCAAGTTTTAAAGATCTCAGGTTGGCCAGCGCTTGCCCCCAATTGCTTGGAATTTTGATAGCTTGTACAACACAGTCCATGTTTTGACTTAATTTTTCCGATGATTATTTTTTGCGCAAGAACTGCATGTTTTGAAGGACTTATAACAGCAGATATTTCACTGGTAAACATCTTGCATTTTCAAAAATTTCTTTGCCAGCTTTACCAGAGAACTTGCTTAAATAACCAAAACCAAAGGTTTTTGCTTAGTCTGCGCGCGTCTTGTTTTAGGGGCTGTTTACATGTACCTGGCAAGCCGGGCTACTTTTTAAAAAACTATTTCCGAGAGTCTATTTTTTTACACAAACTATATGCATAGACATACATAACTCAATACATGTTTCATCCGAAGATATCTGGTGGCAAAACAAAAAAAAAGAAGGTTTTGTCTCGCGCAGTTTTGAGATTTCAAATTTTATGTTTCAAATATGACTTAACTAAACAAACGATTATTCGCCTCTAGATTAATCGATCTTCATCAAACGACGGTTTTATAGAAATATATAAAAAAAAACTATCTATTTTGTATGCGTGTGACTGTAGCTAAGTAAAGGTACCTTATTTTCTGGTTACATCGATGTAGTGTTTGATGTCGTAAAGTTGTAGCCATTGCCATATTCTGATAGAGTGCTGCTTTCTTTGGACTTCTTAACCCTGTGCATAAAACCAGAGCTTGGCAGATACGAGACAACAAAACTGGACTACAGTAAGGAGGCAGATACTCCAACGATGTGTGAAATGAATTCAGCGCGTTTGACATGTCTTTATCTAAAAGCAGTGTACTTATTAGTTCCAATACCCGCGAAGCAGCTTGGATAACATAAAGTCATTCTAGCTGACTTCGTGAGAAAATTCATTTAAACTTTAGCAATCGACTTCAGAAATTCCTATGTCGGGTAGAATCAAGAAATCACACAATTATAAATAAATTATACAGTTACCTTCATCATGTAAGTCATTCATATCAATGCGTTTCCTGAAAGGTCCATCTTCGTTCTTTATCCCATCTTTAGGGGTACAATTCTTTGATGTAATTTTGGTTGATACATTTGAAGCATTATCTTTGATACAAATGTCAGGATCTTTAACACCTCTACGTCTTGAAGTCGCGGAGTTTTTGGTACTTTTGCGATTTGATTTCTTGGATGTCCTTGTCTTACGTTGGTTTTGCTTATCGCCATCAACATCGTTCTCACAATTGGGTTTTTTACTATCACAAAATTTGTCTGGAGTCTGTGGTAAACAATTTGAACTCTTTTTTGAAGAGATGTTTTTTTTTCTACATCGTGTAACACTTGGCTGTTCTACCTTCATTTCAATTTCCGATTGTCTTTTCTTCCTCGTCATAGCAGGACTAAATTTAGGTCTAACAACATTTTCAAATAAATCATTATCCTCATTGTCAATTTCTATTGATTTCTGCACTCGTCGTGTTCTAGTAGTTTCAAACTCTTCAGGAATGGAAATATCCAAGTTAGAAAGCAAATTAGACATGTCTTTTACGTCAACGTCTTCAGTTGCAAAGGGTAGAGAGCTCCCCGCAATTCGCCAAGAATCGAAACCATCATTGCTTATCAATACATGAGCAACTCCCTGTAAGTAATGAAGTAACGATGTCGACATCATATCTAACATGAACGTATCCTTTACAATATCACGGGCACGTTCAAACATATTCAAGCCGTCTTTAACGTTAGCCAGAAGACGGGGGAAATCTCTTTCATTTAAAGCATCATCACCGTCTAATGCATGGGTTTTTAAACCACATTCAAAGAACACAATGAAAGCAATATCATTTTTACGAGGAATTAATTCAACAGTTGTTTGATTTCCACATGTTTTGTGATTCTCCCCTTTCTTCATCATTTTTGAAAATATTTGTTCAAGATAACCAAGCGTCTCTTCATATTTCTCAATATATATACGTCGTAAATCGTGTGATAGCGAGTTAATTGTTTTAAAACAAGAAAGGTCATTTGTCAAAGACAAATACAAGCAGTAACCGTTAAGCAGGTCGATTTGAAGCAGCCCAAGAGAAATTTGCAGATATTCATTCGATGCAAGACTCCTTTGCTTTTGCTCAGACTTTGTCACTTTGGACCATTGCCATCTTTCGACGATATCAACCAACGATGATTCCGGTTCAAAAACATTTAACGCATCTTCCAAATATTTTTTACATTTATGATCACGGTGTAAGAAAGCATATAACTCGGCCAATCGAACATTGAACTCTGAACACCTGAAGCGACAGCATTATAAATTGAGCTACATGCACTTCTTTGATAGTGGATATATTGAACAATTGTTGTAACATTAATCAAGAAAGATAGCGGGAAAAGAAAATGACACAAAGCGCTGGAAAATTTTCACACCTCATGGTTAGATAAATCTTTTCAAATGAAAACACAAATACCCACCTGTTGGCCGATAAAAATCGTCCAGCTGCATCCTTCCCATCGACAAAATATCGTTTGGCTTCCTTCACAGCACCTTGCGACAAACATACTTTACCCAGTTGAAGAAAACAACGTAATAACTCCTCCAAAAGCGAAAAGTCGGAAACTAAAACATGTTTTCCTCTTTCCATGGAAAGGCCAATACCTACAACAAAACAATTGTCAAATAACGAAAATTAATGTTATCGTAATAAATCACGGGGTCTTTCACCATGACGACGTTAACTAATCATCTTTCACCATATTCATTTTATCCAATCATCCTACAGCTTGTTTACGCTAACTAATCATCTTTCACCATATTCAACGAACATACGTACAACTTATTCATGCTAACTACTCATCTTTCACATTATTAATGTTATCCAATCAACCTACAACTTGTTTATGCTAACTAGTCATCTTTCACATTCATGTTATACAATCCTCTTCCAACTTGTTCATGCAAACGAGTCATCTTTCTCCTTCCTCTTCCCTAATCATTTTCATCCTAGTTGATATTATTACCATCCACCTTATTCATGCTATTCATTTATCCTTCAACTTGTTCATGATTTAACAAGTGATCTTTCACCTTATACTCCAGCTCATGTCCAACCATGTTTATACTAATTAATTGTGTAATTCCATCATCCTCAACCTTGTTCATGATTTGCATGTTCTCTTTATGTAACAAACTGATCATACCTTCTCCGCATTGCACAATAATGCTAACTACCTTCTGAATCTTTTACTCTTAAAATGCAATGTTCCACCAAGGCCTCGGCGTGCTTATACGCGTCATCAATGTAATGGAAATAGTCACTAGCACCTGAAATTTCAAAAAAGTAACATTTCACTCAGGTTTCTATGAAACATGCCTTAAAAATAGTTTCAAATGCTTCTAAATTACTGTTGTTCAAGAGGCATGGAAATGGATTGAAAAATAATAAAAAAAAGTTGTTATTTTTTAAGAAAAGACAGGTTGTGATGATTTTCTAACCAAGATTTGGCTCAATTTTCACAAAGTCTTTTCGATAACGCAAGAAAACTTATGAAGTCCAGTTAATTTAGTCCTGAAGCGCAAATTTTTCTGTTCACAAACTTTGAAAACAATAGATTTTGAAATGAAGAACAATAATGTTCTAAAATTAACACTGTACGTAAAACTAAACATGTGGGTGGGTTACTGCATGCAAAAATCTATGAATAAAAATATCAATTTACCTTGAAAATTCACTTCGAGCAAAGATTTTGGAAGTGATAGATATCTTAAAGCGATCAAATTTACTTTCACACGAACAAATTGCGATATTGCTCTTTTAGAGTCTTTTGTTTCTTCAAGAACTTCATGAACATCTTTCCATCCTTCTTCGTACTGTACAATCAAAACTCAACTTGAGATTATAACAACAATGAATGAAAAAAACTCAACTTGAGGCACTACGTAAAACTACCTAAATAATAATGTAGCAAAAAATTTAGTTTATACCAATCCTTTGCATAAATAAAGGTGACTCTTTGCGATTAAAAAGACTTGTCGGTTGGTTTTACAATCATCAAGTGCTGGCATTATATCGTGACATTGATCTAACATCAATTCCGCAGTTGATATATTTCCTTGCTCACACAAGTTCTGTATTGTAATACAACTGGCAACCAAAGCAAACTGTAGGTTTTCTACTCCCCCACAACATGTTGCAAAAGACGAGATAAGCTGCCCTGTTTGGATCTTTGATAATGGCTAAAACACAAATGAATGCACTTCGTATACACTTTAATGTATTGAACCGCGTTAAATTTGAATCACAATGAATCAAACGATTGAAAATTGAGTAACGTACGTACCATATCAAGAAAGCCATAAAATGTGAATGCTACTTGCATCATACGACACGTTTCATTTTCAGAATGGACGTTGATCTAAAGATAAGCAGTAAATTGATAAGTGAGGAATATGATTATCGTTGTTTCGTTTTAAAAAAGGACATTGATCTAAAGACAAACAGTAAATAGATTGGGAAGCAAGAGCGTAGCAAACTGGACATTTCAGTTTTTACTCCCGGTATGCAAATATTTTGTGTTCACAAAATATGAAAAAACAATAGATTTCTAAAGAAATGAATAATGACAATCCTTCAGAATTTACATAGCAAAAGAAAATCTGCAGCATATGCAGTATAGGGAATATACAGTAGGACCACTCTCTGTACATCTTGCTGCTATATATTTAATTAGATTACTGGCTCTCGTTTGCCAGCTCAGCGCTCCGACTGGTCAGAAAAAGCAAATACTTGCTGCCACTATGTTAATCACATGCACAATGAGATATGCGTGGCACAAAAAATTCAATGGAGTGACTCTACTGTACATTCTCTATACTGTGATATGCAGTGGTTGGTTACGCTACTGTTGGTAAGGTACATGATGATCGTTGTTTCGTTATATACGTTCACACAACGAGACATAAAAAGACCATCACATCGTCTTTATTTACATTCTGCATTCTGCACGATTCAACAAAATTGCTTGTTTTTGATCCACAATACACGTAAAAACAACTATTTTTTCTCCCGTTTGAAAATCGTACAAAAATCACATAGTGATGATATTAATTCGGGTGGAAAAATCTAATTAGGAGGATGAAAACTGTAGAATTTATAAAAATATCATGCAAGTGGTCCTCTTGATTGCATTTTTATCGTGCTATTACATGTATAATGATTTTTAAAATGTAGTTTACAGTTCTTACATTTCCCTCTGATTCCGCAATCTGAATCATCATATTGGTCCACGTGTTCACAGCCAAATTCAAACGAGAGATCCATTCAGAAAATCGATTCTGTAAGAGATCATCGGAAAATTTAAACACGTGAATCTAACGGACACGATTAGGGAGTTTGCAAAGAAATATCTACAAAAAATTTCCATCCAGCAAAAAGACATGTGTACTGAACTTTCATAAGTTGTATAAAAGTCAACTTCAGTGGCATATTCAAAGAAAAAAAGAATTCAAAAATTATGGCTCATATAAAGATTTGTCATGTGTGTTTCATAGTTCCTGTTGCCCTTTTGAAATTTGTGGGGTGTTAAATGCACACTCTGTCATAACTAACTCCAGTTGATCTAGTTATGAAACTAATGTCGGAGTAAAAGATTTGTTTATTTACTTGAAAATTTGGCACACACGTTCCTTGCATTCAATATATCATGAACGTTAACGCATGAAGCTCATTATGTTGGTGTCCTTCCTATAAGGTACATAACACTCCAAAAATTATGGATATCCAGACACGCACACATCCACGACTTCCCAAGCCCGTGGAGTAAATCACACTCCAAAAATTATGGATATCCAGACCCGCACACACCCAAGACTTCTGAAGCCCCTGGATAAGCTGACCGCATTTCATAAGAAAAGCATATAACGCCTAAACTTTTGTTAGGCTCAGGGGCTTTGCAAATTTCATATATGATTGGTATTTATTTTCCTTCAGGAGTCTCAACATTTTAAGAATATAGCTATATCCGTAAGTTTACCGAGAGTACCAACCTGTCTCCAAGTAGAAACACCATCAACGCTTTCTCCATTTTCTTCAATGTAATCATTGCTAATGTCATTTGTCTCATACTTTTGATTGTCGACATCTTGTGAGTATTGAAGAATAAAAAGCCAAAAATGAACAGAAGCCAGTAAATCTTGAAGAATTATCGAGTCAGGTTGTCTTTCAAGAATCGTTTGTATTTGAATAAGACAATTTTTAATTTCTTCTTCCACACACTCTCTGAAAAAAAGAATATTAATCTCCATTCGCTGCACATCCTACAACATCAAGACAATCATCACTTAAAGATGAAACCCACGATGTACATGTAAATCAAGGAAACACGAGTATGCGTAGTGGGCGCGTAATTTTTGCTTCTGCTGCAAAATCATCATCCGAGAGCGGATAGTTATATCATCGTTTTCTTGCATAACTTACATCAAATCGTCATTAAAGAATCAGTTCTTAAGAGCAATCTATCTCTTTGTCGAAATCAGAGTCTTTTTAACTGATTCTTTGGTACGTATGTAAAATGTTATCAAAGCTTTATATAACCTTGTAACAGTAGTATGCTCTACTATGTTGTCGACACGTCAGTCAACAACAACAAAAACAGTCCTTCTCAGGACTATACCAACCAGGACGATCTACATTTACAAACATGTAACGATACTCCCGGGCTCAAACCATTAACTTTATGACTTTTTATCAACGTAAATCATGGATTTCGATGAAGGTAACGATCTTCAGAAAGTGGGCCGCCACAACATTTTCAAATATTATATATTACTTGCAAGAGAAAATGTGTCACCACTTTCCAATACCACATACATAAGTTGCAAGTCAACGATTCATCGTACCTTGCTTCCTGAGGGTTTTTTCTGAACGTATTTCCATTTGGCACATCACCTTAACTTTTTCTACACCCATACATAGGACATTTATTTCATCATTCAACTCCAAATATGCAATCTGAAGCTTCTCGACTACAAGAAGTCGGTCAGACAAAGTGAAGTAACTAAACGAAAAAAACCGCATGATATTACATAAAAACATTTTGCAAACGTACGAGTCGTCGCAAGCACTAATCTGGACGATCTATCTACAAATATGAAACAAAATTTATGGACATACAATTGTAATACGTTTAAAAAAATAATTGCTTGTATTCACCATATGACTAAACAGTCAAAGTAAAGAAAACATCGAGGAAACTAAATTTTTGAGCTGCATCGGTGTAGTGATTTACAATCCGTGCCAGCACCGGGCACAAATTCTTCAAAACACCTTTCAACAATAACTATTACCTTGTTTCCTTGAGAGAATGAAGTTCAATTTGCAGCAGTTTACATTTCAGTTCTTTGGTAATGTTTGGTCCTCCATTATTACCATCTAGATGACTAAATGAAGTTTTTCATTATTTTTAAAGATTTTTCTTACTTCTAAAAGAATTAAGGCGATCGCATCAGCAAGACATCATGACGTGCGTCGAAATTGCATCATTCGTTTTAACTACACCATTAACTTATACGTTATATTAAAAAATAGTTCTAAATGAATATCTAGCAATACACTGTAATAAACTTGCCAATTTTCAATTTTGGATACATCCCCTTCAGCAATAGCTTGTGTCAAGGCTTTGTGCTTTATACTTGCCCAGTTCATAGCATAACTCAACATCTCATCTTGAACTTCTGAATGTTCTTTTCCACATGCAGCGTATTGACAACAAACAGTCATAGTTTGAACAGATTCCAACCATTCATATTGCTTCTCCAAACAGTTTGAAAGAAAGGCGTACTTCTTGTATAATGCTACCTATTTAATGCAGTCAAATATTGGAAAAACAGTTAATGTCAACTATATAAGTTTTTGGGTTGGTGTTTACCATACAGAAATTTTTATGAGGGTGGTGTTTACACTACAGAAGTTTTTATGAGGGTATTTAAACTACAGAAGTTTTTATGAGAGTGCTTACACTACAGAAGTTTTTATGAAAGTTTTCACACTACAGAAGTTTTCATGAGGGTTGTTAAAACTACAGAAGTTTTTATGAGGGTTGTTAAAACTACAGAAGTTTTTATGAGGGTTGTTAAAACTACAGAAGTTTTATGAGGGTTGTTAAAACTACAGAAGTTTTTATGAGGGTTGTTAAAACTACAGAAGTTTTTATGAGAGTGCTTACACTACAGAAGTTTTTTTGAGGGTGTTAAACTACAGAAGATTTTATGAGGGTTGTTAAACCTACAGAAGTTTTTATGAGAGTGTTTACACTACAGAAGTTTTTTTGAGGGTGCTTAAACTACAGAAGTTTTCAAACGGGTGTGTACATGACGGTATTCCACCAACGCTTTAATCATGCACGTGTAAATCTATAAAATGAATCCCCAGGGTCTGTTTGCACGATCATGGTTAAAAAGATCTCGTACAGTACTCGTCGAAAAAAATGATAAAATTAACATCAACCCATTACATTAAATCACATCTTCGACTTTTTTTGAGATTTTGAAGGGAAAGAATCCTTATCATATGGATAATTGTGTTATGTTTGCACGATCATGGTTATGGTATGTGTCTGATAAATCTAACACAGATAAGCGTCAAAAAAATTCTGACTAAAAAAGTCAATTCTGCATGTAAGTAATGAAATCGTTTGTCCTCAAAACTGAATCATCTGCGTCAAAATTCAAAACATTAAAATCAATAAAACAACTCCTATGACAATAAAAAATGACGATTTGTCCGTCTCAAAGCGCATTTCTTATTTTTTGACGATGTTTCTTAATTAACTATAAACTTTTAAGTACCTACGTATATAATGTGAACTTATGCTTCAAAGCAATCCTTTCATCTATATAGTCCTCCTATTTTGAAGGTTTTTATCGGTGAATATTTATACCTTTTACCTTAACAAAGGCGTTATCTTCATGAGACGATGCTGAATACCATTTCTTGCCTGATACACAAGCAACACGAGCAAGAGAAGTGGCGCTATCTATTTCATCAGCATTATGGAGGGTTACAGCAACATTATATGCACAACAAGACAAACGCAGACATTGCTCTAAAGCTTCAGGTCTGTTTCGATCCTCTAATATCACTAATTCATTCTTTATAGCACGCACATACTCTCTGATCCTTGATGATTTTCTGAAGTGGAAAAATATACATAGATGTATCAACATGACCTCCATCAACATTCAAACTCAGTAAATCATATATTCCATTTTCCTTTGATAAAATTTGGCTTGAATTTCATGGTTTATTTTTTAATCACAACAAATTGTAAAAGCCATTGCTACTGTAAATTTAATGTGCAATAAATGTCACCATATGTTTATGTGACTTCTTTCATTTAAGGCAAACATGAAAAATCCTAAAATACACATTGCTGATGGTAAGATTACATTTAGATACTGTCATGAGGATATGTCAATAGCAATCATGTTTACAAGAAAAAGTTGGCAACTTCTCATGCAAACAAACCTTGCCTATTCAAGTAACGTTTCAGAATAAAGATACAGTTTGGTTTGCTAACTATGGTATCATGTGAATGCAAACTTGAAACTTGTCACACAACTCATGAACAACTACCATGAACAACTATCATGAACAACTACCATGAACAACTACCATGAACAACTATCATGAACAACTACCATGAACAACTACCATGAACAACTATCATGAACAACTACCATGAACAACTACCAAGAACAACTATCATGAACAACTATCATGAACAACTACCATGAACAACTATCATGAACAACTATCATGAACAACTACCATGAACAACTATCATGAACAACTATCATGAACAACTATCATGAACAACTATCAAACAACCATCATGAAGGTGAAAGTTCATGTCTTCTCTATGTCACATGTTTTTCACATGCAATTAACCATGTTGGACTTGATTTTCTGATACTACAATACTGTTAATACAATGCACACGTAATTAAAAACACAACAAGAACAATTAATGCACATGCCAAATTGTTGTAACATATTATACCTTCCATTTTCAAGAGCTTCCTTACCACGAGCATCTAACATTTTCCTCAGGAAGGAACTGATAAGGAAAAGCAAGGCCTGCCTTTCACATGCATATGTTTCCCTTTTCAAGCCTAATTGATCACTTGGTAACTTTGTCTTAATCACCGCACAATAAACAGAGTAAGTTACAAGTAGAAGATTATATAGCAAAATCACAACATCTGGAGGGATATCGAAGGTATCGTCTGAGGAACCATTTGATCCTTTTAAAGTTTTTCCAACGATTATTCTAAACAACATGATAGTCTTTAACAATACACTATTAGCATACACATTGGGATCCATGTTTCTTAATGATTCCGTTGTGGTATTCAGTTGTTTTGATACCAAATTCCAATCATGGCTTCCCCCCTCATTCCATACCCGAAGGGATAGAGCACATAGCAAGATACAAATAATGCCATGAAAGGTACTGTGGTCCTTTGACTTTGTGTTCCTCTTCTTCTTTAAACTCCTGTTGTGAAGTTGATTGAAAAGTCTTATCAATTCTTGAAGATGACTTTGACTGGTGATAGTTTTAAAACACAAAATGCAAAACTCATCAATTCTACAATTTAATAGCAAATTCTCATCTTGTTGCTCCTCAACTAATGTAATAACTTTATTCAAGAGCCTCAGGAGGAACTGTTTCCCTTCCTCTTTTTGTTGAGAGGCATCTTTTTCAAATTGGCAAGCTGTTGATAAACCACGTTCAACTATCGTTCGAAGATCGTCTGATTTGGTCAGCATTAGTAAATCAATAGAGTGCTCTCGTATAGACAAAGCAAGTGATGCTGTTTCTTGTTTTTCTGTTTTCTTAGAAAGTTTAATAGCAGCATTCCATAGATGGTCTGAAATTTGTTTAGACAAACCAGTTGATTCTGTCTCGTTTGATTTTCTAGCTTCCCGGATAATATCAACTAAAGAATGACTTATTGATAGCAAGTGCTTGACATTGTTCTCTTTTAAAGCATGAATGACGAGGTGGTAGAATAGCTTAACCACAACAGAAGTTGAAATTTCTGGAGGTAAGGGAGCATCACTCATAATAATTCTTGAAAGCATATTACATCCTCAAAAAAAGAACAAAACAACTTTACCACTATGATAATCAATAGACAATAAATATGAAATTGGCAGATCACATCTGATGATGACAACTGATTAACTTAAACTCACCAAATGTTGCACATCTAAAGAGGTCTTCTCTTATTTCATTTCCAATTAACTCTTTTTGGTTTTTGGAAAGTGCTTCTGTGCAATATCGTAATAAGTTAATACAAAAACAACCAAACGAGCACAATTTCTCATAATCAACAGATTTCCTTCCATTTGACTTCAAAACTTTACCCGTCAGTATTTTCTCGATAGGGGACGATAATTTCTAAAAATTTAATAAAATTCACACAAATGGTGTAAGTTTGGCAAAGTTTGAAAAATTGTGATTGACTGTAAAAACCTTCAAACTTTGCAACTGGCGAGATTCTCCTTTCCGTATATTTTGTAATATTCTTTCACCTTCCATTGTTTTATGCACCTCTTAAAGAGCATTAGCAACATACTTTAAAAATAAAAAGAAACGCATCCATAGAAAGCCGTCCTGCTAAACCTTTGATAAATAAAAGTGTACCGTCACTTATGTTGCCTCCATGATTTTAAAATGACAAATTAAGTTTGGCGCCTGTCTTTCTGCGCATGACCACTTTGCTTATAAATGAGCTTACAACCTAAAAACCAGTGTTTCGCCCCATACCGTAAATGATAAACAAACTTTTTAGAAATATAAACCATTGTGATAATTAAAATTTTATTCTGAAGTGTGTTAAGAAATAAATAGCTTTCATGATTCAAATATCATTCACAATTCAAGTCCAAAGTACTAATCGTTATTACATAATTTTTAATTCATTGAGATTAGATATGTTCTCAGTTGACAAATAAAAAATAATTTCGTCCATGGCCCAACGGTGATTGTAATGGGCGCATAAACGAGTGAATTGGAACAAAAGTTCTTTATATCTTGACACTCATGTCTTTTTACAGAGAGCAAAAAGTTCAGGTATTGTGAACTAAACGAGCCCCATGCACAATAAAAGCAATATACTTAACAATTATTAAATACAAATTTACATCGCCGAAGATATCAAAAGAAAAGGTTTCTGTTTTTGTGCAAAACCTTGTTGCTCTCGCTCAATGGATACTTTCATATTACAAAAGAACAGAACAAATTTTAAGTTCGCCGCATTAAAGATGAACTTCGTGACTTCGTGTTTATTACAATCGTGAAACTGCAACTTTCTTTGATGCGACAAAGGGGATAAACACATCCAAGTCTGTAGGACTGGCGTTACAAGTCATTGGACTTGTTTCAACAAAGTCTAGGCAAAAACAGTTTAGAGCCCTACGTACATATAAACTATAAACTTTTGGATAAAGTATGAAATTCTGGTCCATAAGCTGAGATTGCCACCAGTCTTAGTACATTCGTACTATAAGTAGCTTTTTCATTTATATTTAGTGGTAGAATCGTCACCAAGATAGATAACCAGTAAAGACACTGTAGCGGATAGAATGAACGCCTACATAGCTATCACAGTATGAAGGGAAATCGAAGATAGATCTTTTCCCTATCTGCAATAAAAAAAATTTCTTATATTTTAAAATCTTACTATACTCTACGTTTTCATCTTCTTCAAGCCATTTATTGTGCATGAGATTGATCAAGTGGAACTGTTGGTGACGAAGTTAGTATAACGTCTCCATCAGATGTATTCTCTTCCAATCTTTTTCTTGCAGCTTTTTTCGCTTCCGCCAACCTTTTCCGAGCTTCTTGTCGTTTTTTTGCCTCGTTCTCTTTTGACTTCTTGTTAGGGCTTGAAGTTGCCTTCGTCAGCGAGCTCTTTTTCTTGGGGGAAATTTTACCATCGCTTGCGGTTGTACTCGATTGTGTCTAAAATACATTAAACATCAATTTTAATAATAAATAAGACAACTTAATCAAAGTTATAATTAAATCTACTAAAGTACTTGTTTCAAATTCTCTTCATGGCGCACGTCGCTAAAAAATTTGTCAAACCTTTAAATGATTGACTTGAGGCTCAACATCAATCCAATCATTTTTTCTTAAATTTTCAATCTTCTCAAACTGTGAATCCACATCAACAACCTAAATTTTATAAGTTAATAGGTTATACGTAGCATTGAACAAGACATTCTTTGCAACTGACTTCACTTATGCATAATCAAGTTCTATCAACAAGAAACAGTGTGGCAAGTAGTTACAAATTGAAAAAGTTTGAACCTGAAGCATAACTAGGTCCCAAAAGCCTTCCAAATCTGTTTTTGTAGGAATTTTTCCATCAGCAGACGTGACTATTCCCTTGAATAAATTTCAGTAAAATGACATTAAGAATGCACTTTAAAAATTGCAAAACGAAATACTCATAATTGAGTAAAATTTCAATATTGCATAAATGTATGATTATGTATTATTAAGTGACCAGCACACAAAATCTTTTAAAATCATATAAATGATATCAAGAATGCACTTTAAAAATAGCAAAACAAAATGCTCGTAATTGAGTAAAATTTCATTATTGTATAAATGTATGATTATGTATCATTAAGTGACCAGCACACAAAGTCTTTTAAAACCATATAAACGACATTAAGAATGCACTTTAAAAATTGCAAAACAAAATGCTCATAGTTGAATAAAATTTCAATATTGTATAAATGTATGATTATGTATCATTAAGTGACCAGCACACAAAATCTTTCAAAATCATAGATTTATAATATAAAGTACATACAACACACCACTGTACATGCATATAGTATGGACATATACAGAAAAACTTATGAAGCACTTGACATTAATTCATACTGTGCATTTTTTAATGAAAACATTGCAGAGAGAGCATGTTTTTCATAACAGTTTAAACTTACTGCATTCAAATCACACAAGTTCTTAAATTGTTTGAACTTGCTTGACATCAAAAGTCTTGCTTTTCCAGTTGCAGCTCTAATTTTACCTTTCACTAGAAAGAATTGAAAAAACATTATTTAATTAAACTAAACAGACAAAATTATAAAAACAAACTAACAAAAATCTGCATTGCTTTTTATTTTAGCAAGTTTACACTGGAATACTACAAACTTAGTGACAAACCTCATAATTCATAGCAAAAACTTATAAATAATAAAAACAGGTTACAAACAAAACATTTCAAGAAAAACATTGTTTACAAAACCTGTTTCTGAATTTATGAGGAACATATTCTGCAAGAAATTATCAAAGTTTGCAACAAGGTTTTTTATACCTATTGTATAAAACATTTAACATTTGTAGAATTTATTTTCCGGACAATGCAGCTGGACCATGAAAAACTATTTTTGTTCAAAAGTACTATGAATACTAAAAAAGCTTTTTTCTAGAAAAATATTATGAATCAATAAAGGAGTACACTAAAAATGTTCATTTATGCTATAACCGTGACAAAAATAGCATTTGATAGACACGTATTGAAAGACATGCAGCAGTGAAATAAATGTCGAATAAATTAACAAAAGCAGACAAATATACATGAGAAACAATTTTACACCATGATTAAAAGAAGGCTATAAGAATATCAAATTTTACACATTGTATGTATATCCAACAACAAACAATGTCTCATTTAAAAACATCTATAATTTTGATGAATTTTCAACATATAAATTGCATATGAAGCGCAATGTGAGATCATGTTTTGAACTTGAACACATCAAACATCCATCTAGAAAATCCAATTATTTTGATAATATAGAGCAAAATTAAATTAACACTGTTAAATAACAAATATTTTTCTATAACTTTCATCTCATCAGTTTCAGCTACGTAATTGAGTAATAATCCCATTTAATACTATACTTTTTAAAGATCAAGATAACTCATCTTATACTATACACCACCATCTTCACTCTGGCTTTAAAGTCAATGAACAAAACTTATCATTAAAACTCAATTTATGCACAGCATTAATTCATAATCCAACATGCACAATTATGACATCATACAGAATTTGGCTAAATAGTAGTGTTCACTAAATTGAATTATGGTGTCAAGAAAAATTATTTATATGTCAAGACATGTACCTTCTTCAGGTGGACTTTTCTCCCACATTTGCAATTGAACAGCAAAACATAGCTTTGATATTCTTTGTTCTTCTTCATCAAGCTTCTTTGCAAAATAAACACCACTACTTTCTTCCCCAATATAATTGCTCGTGTCTCCATTACAAAGAGATGAAGAGCCTCCTTTAGGGGGAGTCTTTAAAATTTTTGATCGCACAGAGAACATTTCGTCGTGGCGAGGTTCACTGCCATTGGCAATGTTGCCATTATTGGCCATTGGTTATGATAATAAATTTCTTCTCAAGGCGTCTTGACCATAAACAAAGACACAACATTCATGACATTATAACAACAGCTCTTAAAGAATTTAACTCTTAAAAACTCTATGAACGCTTCTACAAGAGGGCGCTTGCTCTTTGACAGGAATATGTATAATCCTCAATTTGAATATCGTTTGAATGTCGTATATTTACTTCCTGTCCGACAGTCCGAATCTAAGGGGAAAAGATAAGAGTAATGAAATACCGTCGGCTGATAATTTCAGTCAACGATACAATTTTTCGTTTCGAATATGCGATTTTTATCTCAAAGAATGCACCAAATATTTAATAGCAATATGGCATGCCATCGTCTATGTCAGACTATTGATATAAATGCCAATCGATTTATATGACGACGTGAATAAATATACACACGATATGAGAAAACTGAAAATAATAATCACGTCAGGAAATGTACTAAAAATTTTCCAAATGTTGAATTAAACTTCTTACCAGTGTTTGGCCAAAAATGATAATGCACTAATTGCAGTATTTTAAATCAGTATTTTTAATGTCATGTATATGATTTCATAAAAATGAATATTTCATTGGTTTCAAAAAGCAAATGATCGACTAAAAATAAACGAACATCAAAGAACATAACTGATCACCAACATAGTATTAAAAATGGAACAACTTTATATGACCTATGTCTGCATCTGGCATCTGCAGCTCAGTTGTGACGTGCATCGATAGTACGAAGTTCATAAGTGTCATCATCCTTTTCGTGGGCGGTTTTGTGTATGGGCGTTCTATTGAATGACGTACTATAGTGCCTTACCCTGAAATAGGAAAAATGCACGAACCACATAAACAATCTTCAGAAATCAGAGTCACTAACAAACGAATATAGAATGTCTTCATACTTTAATACGAGTTCTTGCAGGTATACAGTAAATTACACATCAGAAAAATGAATTACGTTGTTTCCCTAAATTGTCAAGTGAGATTACATTGCGTGATGTTTTAATACTTTTCATTTTAGTGACGTATATATCTAATGTAAATTCATGAATGTATGTTTTATGAATAAATTGAAATAATTAAATATGAGTAAATAATTAGGCGATGCATATGTTTTGTAAAACTGAGAGAAAACTGGGTCAAAGGTAGAACTTGACTTCTAAGTCAAAATTGATTTTTAAGTCGAAACTTTTCGGTGAATGTTTTGCACGAGTTGAAGAAGAAAAAGTTCTTTTATGAAGATGTTTCATGAAAGTGGAAACACTATTTCTCATTTGCAAAATTAGTTATGGATTCTTGGAAAAATAAGTCGAGCAATTTCGAAAGTAAAAGGGAAGCGAATAGGCTAGCTGTACTGTATTATAACTTTTATTCTTAAGCAACCACTGAACTTTCAAAAATTCAAATTGATTATATTTTCTGGTAAAGAATGTAATACCGTGGCATCAATTTCGGTAAGTGGCATTTTACATATTCAAGTTAACGCTATATCTGGTTATAACTAGGCTTTAAAACCATGGAAGGCACTGCGGCAATACTGGGTTTCAGATTTTCACTGGTCATTTGATTATGAACTTAAAGATAATTGATCGTGAATTTTTATTGACTCTATACGTCCCTAGCAGGGCTGCAAAGCAGGTTAAGTCAATGGGGGCTATACTATAGCTATGTAGATATATGCATGACAAGAATTGAAACAGAGAAGTTGGTGTTATATCATGTTTACTTTACAAAAATTTTGAGAGCTCTAACAATGGGTTCGGTGTCGGCTTCTGTTCTACTATAAAGGGTAATTGTAATTATTCCTGGCTTTTCTCCATCTCGCCACAAAAAAATAAATATACGTGAAATGTTATTTCATAGTAAACCATGGACAGAAGATACTATAGAAAAAGTTATACAGGCTTTGGTTCTAGTTATCGAAGGTCTTACTACGATGCTGGTTGCATGTTTTGTACGGGAGTTTCTGAATTTGAAGAGTCTCATAAACGTCATCAATGCCAAGAGTTTCGGCAGCTAAAAAAGAACACCTCGTACCTTCCTTATGTTAAAGCAACGTTAAATGATAATGACGAACTAGGCTTTGCTGCAGCTGGTTTTTTGCTATGGAAGAAAGTTGACAAAGACGATGCACAGGTATTAATGGCCAGAGAAAACAGAGAGCGTGGAGATCTTTTAAATTTTCTCGGTGGAAAACGCTTGAGAAAAACCGATACTGCCATTGATGTTGCTTGGACAAAAGTTAACGCGGAAAGTGGATGTCAACTTAGTAGTGAATCGTTGGAGGGAATGAAGCATGCGCCATTAGTTCACTGGAGTGGCAGATCGTCAAAATATGCCTTATATCTTTACGAGGTAACCTCGTGGAGAGATAAAGAGTTGATGTTCTTGCTGCAGGTTTAAGAAAAGAAGGCGTCAAGAGACTTGAATGGGTCTCCTCTGAAAGTCTCAATTCAAGTTTCTTCACAAATCGTGAACTGCATGATTTTGCACAGGAAATGGTGCAAACGTTGTCCGATCCTTCATGCAATGTTTTAGAAAATTTAAAAGAGTTGTTTGAAACAGCAAAACGTGCGAGTAAAGCTACAAAATGCGCAGATGATACATCGTCCGATGTTCTTTTTGATTTTGACATTATCACAGCAATCATATCATCAGCGAACAGGGTAAAGAGCTTTCCTCCATGTAGAGACCCGATAACTTGGGGTTATTTAGCTGATGCAGTCAAATTGCTTCCTAAAAATGATATTCGTAAACTACAACTCAAGTTCCACCCTGACCGTTTGGGAAGAAGTCTCGGGCGAGAACCAACGGACCTAGAGAAAAAACTTGGTTTAAAAGCAATGCAAATCTTTAATAGGATAATGGAAATGACAAAAGATTCCAAATCTCAACCATCGCGTTCCGCATGCACCGGGGATCTTTTCAATACCATAAAAGAGCTGAATGCTCTCATTAAAAAATACAATGGCAATGATGATGTTGATTGTAAAGAAAAGGTTGCGGCTGCTATTACTGCCAAACTATCTGAAATAAAAATTAAATGAAATTTACGATGTGAAATTACGCTGCGTTGTATTAGAAATAAAGATTTTGTTTTGTTAAGTTGATATATTTTGTCAATTTGATTGCGTTTCTGACGTTGAACAATTTCACTGCCTTTTAATACAAAGAATATTCAACCTGCTACGATAGCAATCCGGTATAGTGTAAACGGGGCCTTAAACTTTATATGCTAAGAAAGGAAGCCTTTGCTTTGATTAACACATCGTGTTAAAGAGATAGAGGAAAGTAAAAAAAAATTAGGGAGGTCAACAATCATCGAACTTCTATAGAACAGCAACAAAGTTAATAATCAAGAATGGGAAGTTGTTGGCACTGATGGATTTGGTATTGTTGTTGGATTGTGCGTGTTAATACGAGCAAAAGAATTTATTAAAAATGTTTCGCCAACAGATTTTAAATCCAGAGCTAATATATTTGCCCACAAAACGTAATGCAACTGCATTGTCACATGAGAACTATACTGTCCACAAAACCATCAAAGAAATAAACATGCATCAAATAGCTTTTATCAGTATAGCTTGTTAAATTAAAAATTTGAAAGGAATGCATTTACATCGGTACGACGGAATTTACATCAAGAACTACTGGGTTGGCGTAATGGCGTTGTGCTGTGCGACAGTGCCCTTAAAGAATAGAGTTGAAATATGGGCCATGGCGAGGGCCATTGATAAAATAATTTGGGTGAAGATATTAGTGCGAAAGACAGTAAAAAGGATGGTGAGATACATGACTCGATATACATTAAAACATAGGAGAGCCGTCAAACTTGCAAAAGAGTCAGATCAATAAACAAGATAGCTTTTTCTGGTGATTTATGCCCGTGGAGCCTATTTTTGAAAAGTTATTTTTATTGACTTTGCAATTCATATTTTAGCTTTATCAAAAAAGTAAACAGCAAATGACAAAATATATTCACCGTTTTTCACTGCACATCTTCAATTCCATATGTGTAAACATTTGAAGTGGTGGCCACAAATGACAAATTTTGCCCCTTTTGCCACCTGCCTTATTGGAGCATTTGTCTCACTTTCAATAAGCGATACTTATAGAAGTCCCATATATGAGAAAATGCCAGTGGCTCAGCAAGGTTGCAAGTTTGTTCATGCTTTGTATGTTGTACGATCATTATTTATTTCATTAGAAATCTATTTGTTTTCACAGTGTGTGAGCACCAAATCACCAAATCTACATAGCATGATCAAACTTGTGGGCTGGATATGCCACAGGAAAGCATTTCTGAACCTTTTTCTTCAAGATAGAAACATCAGCTAAAGTCGATCAAGTAAAAGAAAAACTCACATCACGACTTCATTTTATTAATTTAATGATTATACACATTCACTATATGACAGAATCCAATAATATACACCTCCCTTTAACTCGTTTAGTAAAATAAATATATTTTCATAATATATTACATTAACAATGCCAAACTGACATATAGTTCTGTACAATCATATTCCACCCAATCAATATCCTGCTGAATAAAGAACTCTATAGTCTAAGAAGTATTAACTGACAGATACTAGCAAGAAAAGAAATCTCACTGATTATCATACAAATGTTTTGAAATCTCATATCCAAAGTATGCAATCCCGTCAAGGCTTATCAAGGCAAAATCTCACCACAATTCAGTAGAATGAATGTAGTAACTTGCAAAATCATGATTTCATACTCTACAGAGCAAGAGGTCACTTGAATTTACCATGGCAACCAATGACATATTTCAACACCACCGGCCTTTTTTTGGTCTTAATGCACAGCACCAAATAATAATAGATATCATATGATGTGATATCATTCAAATGACTTGGTGAAAATTGAAATATTGTCAATAAAAATATACACAACATTAACTCTATTGCAAGTTTCCAAGCCTCTCAAGCTTTTACCTTCGGGCTCTGAGAGATAGACACAACAAAATAAGAGCAATGATAATGATGAAAAGGTTGTTTCACCAAGGTTTCTATCAAACAATATAGAAGATCCTGCGATTTCAGATGTTGTTTTGCATAATAGATGCACATATTGTACACAAGTGGTATTTAGCACGAAACACTCTTTACATATCGGTGGAGAGCCACTAAATAGTAATTTCAAGACCAGTCCATTTTCATCATACGTTATTTCACGATGCCTTTCAAAACATGAATCAAAGACAATGCAAATATACAGTAAAATAGGAAATATACTGTAATGATATGACACCAGCTGGCTGTCTTTGTTTTAAATTATTCAACAGGGCATGTAATTTCCCAGCTGCTCGAAGCCGTAAAGGTTGATATCCTCAGAGAAATAGATCAGTACTTGTCAAACATAAAGTTCAATTCCACTTGCATGTGATTCTGTGATATTTTTTGAGCGTATTGAGTTATGCCTAGTGGCAATATGGTGTCGCAATCCACTCTGGTTCTTGTAGCTTTTACCGCAATGACATTTGTGTGGTTTCTTCGTTTTCCCGTCTTTGCAATGTCCATTTTTAGCATGATATTTAATGCCATTCGCATTCTTGTATTTCTTACCGCATCCTTTTACTGGACAAATATATCTCTTGGAGTCTCCGTCTTCCATTGTAACGGAATTTAGAATAAATTCGCTTGTCAAGCCATCTGAAGTTGTCCATGAATCATCGCTATTATCACTAATATCCCCAACATCATCACCGTTCTCCGAAGCTTCAGGCGTTGCCAAACATGAACTGATATTATAACCAGATAAAGCTCTTTTCTTCTTTGGCGTATAATCCAAGTCAAAGCCTTTTTCACCATCACAACTAATTTCTCTGATTTTTTTATGAGCAGAACGGGTCGCCTCAGAGAAGAAGCAGTTCACGTACGACAGTGGGACAGCAGCAGGTTGAGCGGCCTCTTGTTTTTCAAGTATGCGCGGGTCTTTCTCTATATGAACAGCTTCTATATGATCTATTAGATCGATCAGAGACGAACAATGTTTCCCACAATGATTCCATAAACAAGAATATTTGAAAAAAGCTGCCATGTTTGCATGTCTTCCCTCAACGAGTGATGATGTTAAAATGACGTCAAATGATGATATTATTTGCTAACAATTAACGCGCTGCAGGGAAAACCCGCATATACTATCAACCAATAGAATGGCTATGACGTTCATACAAAACTTCCGCCGGCACCGAGCAAGCCGACGAAACTAGCGAAACGTCTTAAGTGCTTCTTCAATCTATGATCAGCACTTTTTTTAGGGTTCAAATATTCAAAGTTATAATTTAAAGATCCTTTCCAGCGATGACTATATAAGGTTAACGATATTGTATATGTTGTTGACTATTCGCGGCACAAAGTACAAACAAACCAACCCAGGCACAGCAAGAGATCGAACTTTACTTTGTCAAACCAATGAGGGCAAACACTGAAACACACACGTTTGTGTGGAGTCACAATGTTATAAAGGTCTCATGTTACCTGATGTTTTATAAACGTTTAGTAGTCCGGTGATTTGTTGTTGAAATGAAAACATAATCATCGCGTTTACGTTAACACGTTTAAATAAATTATAAATACACCGACATTCTAGTGACAGAGCACTATTTTAATGGCACTATAAACAGTAGCCAGTCTAGAATGATCTTTAAATATCAGAACATTAATAAACGATGCGTAAAAAAGCATACGTGTTTGTAAATACGTCTGTTTCTACAATGAACAGGCACTTGACGTGGTAGCAGAATTAAGCTAATAAATAAAATTGGAATAATTGCCATGAGATTTTACTGCTGATAGTCACACGCACAACAAAACCAAGTTACGTAAGGTGAAAGAAAATATGCGACTAACATCAAGGAAATATTTTTGAATGCAACTTTCTCCTTACTATAAATAATTTCGATTCCAAGGCTGAAGCATGAACCATTAATTTGAATATTCTAATGTGGCCTAATATGCGTTGAATGAAATGAAGAAATAAATGAAATAAAAGTCCCAGGAATATATTAGCTCTAGGCAGACAAAGCTCTTCAACATGCAGAATCGTATCATATTCACGTGATCGAAAACAAAGACTTCTCACGCACAGTGTTGCCAGATGAATTTTAGGTAAGTTCATGTCGGCATGTTCAAAAGTTCACACATAATCCACCAATGTTCACAAATCGACAAAAATTGCATAATTTGCACCAAATAAATGAAATAAGCTAAATCAAATGTAAATTGATGATGCACATTGCACATTTGTACAAAATAACAAAAAAATAACAATGAAAAACAATTATTTAGTTCGGTTAAGATTTGTCGCTTGAGTCAGAGTCTAGAGCATAAAGAATGTGGGGTGTCTCACACGACTTAAAGCACTTGTCGAAGTAGAATATTTACCACAGCTTCCTGAATCTTTCACTCCTTGCTTAACTTTTAGAATACCGTTGACTGACTTTGTGTGCAACCTATTTCTTCCTTTAGTTTTGATTGCATTCACAGAAGAAAAATTATCTTCACATCAACATTGAAGAATGAATTATGATTTGTCTCGAATCTCTAAACCAGTGTATATTCATTGTAAACAACCTTGTCTTTTATAACTGATAAGTTCATAAAAAGTTTTTAATTTTTAGTAAAAGTTCATGAAATGTTCACAAAATTCTTTTTGTTCACAAAAATTCAAAATAAAAATCAAAAGTTCATAAATTCATGAACTTTGTTCACAATCTGGCAACACTGCTCACACAAAGACTTCTCCACGTGAGGGCGCTTTTACCTTTTTCTAACCACAAACGGAAGCGATTTTCACTTGATTGTCAAATATTGACAAAAAGTATTATTATAATACCTAAATTTAAATACGCGCAATTCGATTGGTCGAGAGGCGTGCGGGATAAATTTGTGTAAATGCAAATGATTGAGTCAATGCCGGATTTATTTATTGGACGAACAATGACTTTCTAAAATCATTAGCTGATAACTTCGTAACAGAAAGTCAACAGGAATAACACAAACTCAACAGGACTGAAACCTGTGCTCGTCCCTCTTAAACATCGTAAAAGTTGATGAACGATGCGGGATTGGTTACCAAATAATAAAACATAATTCTTAGTTTAGAAAAACCAAAATACTGAGAATAGCAGCTTAGTCGGCTCATTTAAAAAAAATATTTAACAAAACAGTCGCTTGTTCGTGTATCAAAAAGAATTTCTCTTCTTGTCGTACAATGTCAACTAAGATATGACGATCTTATTTGCTTATGAAAGTCGTTTGAAGTTTTTTGGAAATATCGCTAAGGCTCCGGAAAGTTGGCTTTTTACAAAATATTAGTAAGTCAATTAATGCATCTACGTTTTAGCATGCTTCACAAACCTATTTATTCATTACATTTATATGTTTTTCGTAAGTAAGATAAGATAAAATTGAAAGAGACCAATTTTGTGCTCTGTACTTCGTAGTCATGTTTCAGAAATTTGTTCATAGAGTAAGACTTGGAAATTGAAGAAAATAACTAAAACGTTAAGCTAAGTTTTGTCAAAACCCGGCAAAGGAAATTCCTTGGCAAACGTCTCCACTCTTTCCTTCAGCTGACTGATTTTCTCTTTCGACGTCGAATTTTCTTCAATATACGCTCGAAAATCTGCCAAAGAGGTTCCTAAAATATACAAGATTGTCAAAGAAACATACTTGATGAACTTGAAGTTCTCTTTGTGTAATAGAGTATTTCCAATTTTTTCCTAATATTCGGTAGACTAGTTTCTGAACTTATTTACAAAAGTTTCGAATGCTTCTCCATTAAATTTTTAGATTACAGTTAGTAACATTGATTATAAAACCAATGAAAACATGATCTCTAACTGGTTGTTTTGTGTATACTGGCCTTCAGAATATTCCTTCAAAAGTTACAAAACCAAAGGATTCCCAAATAAAATTGAGAATTAGAAGAGGACAGAAAATTCGACAATAAATTATGAAAAACCAAAATACAAAAAGTCGTCACATAACATCAATTTCAGTTACCAGTCCCACTTTGTGCTTCAAGAGCAATTTTAACACCATCATCCAGGAACTTAACAACTTGAACAAAATCGTCTTCTTTAAAATTTCTCGATGTCAGTGCTGGAGCACCTAAAAGGCAATTGATTTTAAAACTAGCAAAGATTTCATTGGAAGTTGTCAGTTACAAAATTTAGTGTTCGCAAAGTATTGGTTATTCTAATTAGAGTCGTTCTAATCGAGCGAATGAAGCTGAAAAGCAACATGGTTTTCCAAACGAATGATGCTGCTTGACCAATCAAATTGCAAAAAGTGTAACGCCATGCGACCAAAATGTTCATAGTTTCTAAAAGGCGTCATTACTGTTTCTAATAAAAATGTACGAGCTTCTAGTAATAACGTACGAGTATAAATGACAGGAGTGTATAGAAATAATTTCTAAAGAAAATAGAAAATCAAAACACTTTTCAAAGTGAATATTTTCAAAAACCACGTTGATGCGCTTCTATAAGACTCTTACCACGTGACTTTTTTGAGCACGAGATCCGTTTAAGGCATACAATATGGGGGTAGGATCCGTAGGAAACTTTACGAAAGCGATGTACGAACTGTCATTTATAGTGTTTTAACGTATTGCTTGAACTAGAAAAAAATTGAATGTGTGGTCCTATTTCAAGTAGAGATTTGACAAATATTTTCAATAGAAACTTGATTTTCCTTAAGACTCGTGATCCTCGTGAAATTGTCGTAATCGTAAACTTCCAGCGTTGAATTTCAATAAATTTTCGGCTATTATTAAATATGACTGACTTTGTACCTAAACGCAATCCTCCTGGCACCAACGCACTTTTGTCTCCGGGACAAGTATTCTTGTTAGTTGTTATGGCAGACAATTCTAACACGCGCTCGACACGCGCTCCATCAATACCCTTAACAATAAGAGCACAAGAATTACCGTTCACAACGTAAATGTATTCTTCATATTTCTATGTATATCTACTCCTACGCACAATTGTTATGGACATTGAATATAAGACAGGCAAAGGCTTAGCAGGTACTAAAGTATAAAAAACGATCAAAACTTTAACATAGCGATACGAAAGACAAGTTTTTAATGAATTTGGGCCTGTAAATGCAAGAATATTAAAATAATTGTTTACCTTTGATTTCAAATCAACGAGAACAAGATGATTGTCAGTTCCACCTTAAACAGAACGACCAAAAAGGTGCGCTGTCACGAAAGAGACATTTTTATAAAAGAAATTGCAGTCTCTAGCAGAACAATGGCCTCGTGCTGAATATTTACCTGAAACTAAATCGTAACCACGATCGATCAACGCATCAGCCATTGATTTCGCATTCTTCAAAACTTGAGTTTGATAATCAATAAAATGTGGCTCCATCGCCTGCAATTAATAACTAAACTATTGGTGTTGTGGTTGTAAAATGGTTGGGCTTAGAAACACTCATTTTTGTCGGTTGATATAGTTTAAATTTTTTCAAGTATAATTTATGAACTCAAAGCAAAGAAAAAAAAACATTAAGTGGTGAGAGTGACGGTGTTGAGTACATATATATGGAATTATGGGCTTAACTTTGAGGAATTTCAATTCGGATATTTATCGTCGTTTACAGTGTTATAGAAGGAGATTTCAATACAGTCATAACCAGTAGGGGTTAGATTACATAAGAATAAATATGTTTTCAATTTAAAAGCTTTACAGCACATCCTACAGTAATATTTTAGTGCCCAAATGTTTCTTCAAAATTTCTAACTAACAGCTTTGTTATTGTATTTTGAATTAAAAAGGTCCGTTTATAACCTTTTGTGGAGAAGACGACATGGACTGTCGGACTATAGTCCAACTGTGCAACTCTGTGAGATTAGCCAACTAAGCGTTCATATTTGTCGGTGCAATTAAACTGACTGTCTGTTTTTATGGTAAAAACATGTGTAACAAGATATGGCCAAACAAAAATTTCAACAGATTGGGTTTGTTGCTTTTCCGTCAGTGGTTAGTGGATGTTTAAATGTGCAGTTAATGAAAAATCACCCAAAATATCAGCCAAACAACGCTAAAGACAAAAATAGGCATCAAAAACATGACTTATGGTAATAGTTATACTTTCCTACTTTTCGGTATGACTGCATATAGTGCGTTTTAACAAACGTTTAGGACATGTCACACAAAAAATTAAACATGGTCAACATGCAGATTTGATGTTAGAGGGTAATTAACAACATTAGTGTTATAAAAGGAACGATCTCTTTGTTAATATTACTTTCAAATCTTGCAACGAAATCACAATTTCATGTTCAACCTTGTAACAATTTCGCCCAAAACACTGAATGTTGGAAAATACAAACGACATTGTAAATAGCATTGTATTAGAACTAAGATAAGTCAGAATGTATTATGAAAAATATATTTAATTAAAATTCATAATACTTGAAAAATAATCATATTGGTAAAATTTTGGCGTTTTTTTTACGTAAAATTTTTCTTCGGAAATTTCAAACCAACAGTTTTGATGTTGGTTGGAAATTTTTGACAACGCGTTTTGAATTTAAAATGGGCCGCTGTTGCCATTCATGTAAATAGAATTTCACAACGAGAGTTATATAATAATTATTAAAAAAAAGAAACAGAAGCACTTAGTAGTTTTCAATTCCCTACCTGCTTCAAAGCAACACCAACACCAGCAATAGCATGGTTATGGGGGCCTCCTTGCAGCGAAGGAAATACAGCAAAATCGATCTTTTCTTTAATGTCATACATGATTTCTATGGAGTCTTAGTGAAGGAAAATAATAGAAACACAAGCAGCTAAGTTCAAGTAAAACTGCAACCACCTACACAAAAACACATTACTATGAATACACCACTTAGAGAAATCATACTCTATGAGCCTGCTTTTCAAAATTCAAACATGCAGACTTCCACATAGGCATAAAAAATGGAAAATTTTAAGATTTATTTGGGGATTTAGAAGGAGTGCCAATACACGACATAAAACCCATATAAACGACGTAATTATGTATAGACACAGGATACTTTTGCCAGTTTTCTTGTTTGTACTTTTTTCCCCAATACGATAAAAGATGATTCCGGAACTTTAAAAAAAATCAAAAGTTTTTCAAATGAACTTTTATCAACCATGCAAGAACTAAGACGAACTTTGTTATGGCGTAGATAGTCCATGTGTTTCATCACAAATAGAAACATACCGTGCTCCGCGTAATGTCTTGTGTGTTGTAGATGAGACAACGTGAGCATACTCAAAAGGACTGGGTATAACCTGTACATAAGACGTGAGCATACTTAAAAGGATTGGGTACGACCTGTACATAAGATGTGAGCATACTTAAAAGGACTGGGTATGACCTGTACATAAGATGTGAGCATACATTAAAGGCCTGGGTATGACCTGTACATAAGACATGAGCATACTCAAAAGGACTGGGTATGGGTATGACCCATGGTATGACCTTTAGAGAGAATTTTCCATGTTGGAATTCTCATAGGAAACATTATAGCAGTAAATATAAAACAGTTATATGGGATAAATGAAACTCAAAATTATTTAGTTTACACACCTTAGCTGCAATTAATCCACTGATGTGTGCAATATCAGCCAACAAATATGCATTCACCTGATCGCAAATCTACAATAAATGTGATCAAAATTTAAATTTATAATTAAATATTTCATATTAACAAGAAATAAAAAAAGCAAAACTGCGATCAAACAAAAATGTTTAAGTAATGGAAGGCATGTAAAATGCGCAATGTGCACACACTGACCTCTCTCATTCTTTTATAGTCAATGAGCCTGGAATATGCACTTGCCCCAGCAATGATTATTTTAGGACGAAATAATTTAGCAGTCTCTTCTAGTTTGTCATAATCAATATAACCAGTCTCCTCCTAAATATGAAATGAGTGACGAATGAAGGACAATAGAAATATGTACTGTTTTTCAGGAACTGACAACAGATGCCTTAAACTATCACTTGTTTATATAGCAAAATAAAACACAATCCAAAAACATCTTGTAAACTACAATTTAAGTTACAACCAAAACAAAAGTTTAAAATTATATTTGGATTCACAGTAACATACATTTAAGCGATAGGGCATTGACTCAAAATATATGGATGTTGCTGATATTCTTTTCTTATCTGTCATAAAGCCATGAGTTAAGCTACAAACATAGAGATAAACAATGGCAAAATAATAGATAGTACAATAAACCTCTGTTATATACTTCACTTAAAGTGTTGTACATATTATAAATCTAACATGTTTATCATGAATGTTGGCATGAAGCAACAACAATAACAAGAACAATGACAATGACAATAACAATAACAATAACAATGACAATAACAATAACAATAAAAATAACAATAACAATGACAATGAAAATAACAATGACAATAACAATGGCAATAACAATAACAATGACAATGACCATAACAACAAAAAAGACAATAAAAATACCACCAACAATACCAGGTAACTTGAATGAAATTAATAAAATCAGAATACTATTTCACTTCTCCTAATGTGAAATAAAAAGACTATTTAAAAAACATAAACACATACTGTCCACCGTGAGGGAGATCTTGTCCCATAATACGATCATGAGGTTTGAGTAAGCCAGTATAAACTGCAAAGTTTGCAGGAGAGCCTATGTAAAAAATATATTTGTTAAGGCTTCAAATGAATGCAAATGGTATAAAAAGTAGAAAATCCCTCTTGCTTTTATAAATAAAACAAGAACTATTCCTTCAAAATAATGAGATTTACCAGAATATGGTTGAACATTAACACCCCATTTTTGGGATCAAGGTTAAATGCTTTCAAAGCCCTTTTCTGCACCAACTCTTCAATTTTATCAATAAATTCATTACCACCATAATATCTCAAATAAACAAAATAAAATTGCATGTAATGCACAACACTGAAAGGAATTCAAATGTTTCGAGATTTAAGCCTGTTTATTTTGATAAGGATTGACTTCATTATATTAATTGCAAAAACGACAGATAAAGAAAATACAAATATGAATGAAATACCTTTTCTTAGGATATCCTTCAGAGTACTTGTTATTCAAACACGAACCTAAAGCTTGCAAGGCTGCCCTGCTGCAAAAGTTCTAGAAAATAAGAAAACTAAAATTCATAGGTATGTGCACAACAATATGATTAGTTCAGCAAGCAAATGTTTTATTTCAGTCATGTTATGTAAATTCCTCATCATTAACATTATTCTTTTCTTTAGAAATCTATTTTTTTCAATGTGCAAAAGCCAAAATATTTAGAAACTGTGAGCAAACTTTCAAGCTGGCTAACTTTGGTGACAAACTAAATGAGGATCCACATAAATAGAAAAATTGAAAATACACAACATTCTACAACTCAAAACACAAATTTTTTTGACATAGGTGGATATATGAAGTGTGAGGAAGCATTTAATGTGATTATCGTCATACTATCTATTTAATATGAAATATACGTTGAAATCAAAATGTCTTGTTGACACGTTTTTATTTTCTAATTCAGATTACTTCATCATTTAGTATTGCTCAACAGATAAAAAATGAATCAAGTTGCAGGTTGGTTTTCCACACACGACTCGTACTTTTCACATTAAAAGCAAAGGAGGGGGCCCGCAGGCTGGCAACTACCCATAAGGGTACAAGAAAGATCTTTGGAATCAACAAAATTATATTTCGAATCACTATAGCATATTTAATACACCAAGCAACTTTCTTACACACAAAACATCACAACTGCAGTTGTTGTTGAGAAGAGATTCATATACTTTATGTATAATTTGGCAGGAAGGAGAGAGTATTGTTCAGTTTGTTCACGGGTCCCCGTTATTTGCATAATAAATTAGCGCGTAATGAATGTACCTCTGATGCAATCAATTCCAAGCCATTTCTCTGTCTTTCCTTCTCCCGACAAATCAAGGCATACATTTCAGGATCATCATTCTCCAGCATTTCGTTACCTGTCCAACTATAGCAACGTTTTACTGAAAAAACGGTAGCATTTACTGACCGACAGTTTACTGGTAACCGACGACAGCCAGCATACTTCCAAATGCATCTTAGGAAACTCTATCGGGATAAAATAAATCCTAAAGCAAGTCTTTGAGAGCGCGCGAACGATAGTAAATTATTTGAAGTGCTTCGAGAGTGCTTACTTGTCTAATAACTCGATCCATTTACTATATATCGAGGCGAAGAGAAGCATGCAACACTTAATTTGTGGCAGTAATAAGCATATTTCGAAGAACTATTTTTCATCCACCAAATACGAGTTTCACTTGCTTCGCGATTGCGGTCGAGTTGCTGTGATACAACCCGCGGCAAGTGCAAAGTTAGGTAAATTTACTTATGGTAAAGTTTGTTCATGTTCATTTGACGTGTTATCATGCCATGAAAAAGCCCTAATACGGTGTATCACGTGACTGCATTGTTTCCACAACACACACATAAGTGATGGGGACGTAACACTCGCTTAAACAAAAAGAATCCAAGAGGCATGATGTTTTCCAAATTAAACATAGGTAAAATTTAAAACGTCATCAGCCAAGAAAGAAATTTTCCAATCCATATTTCGACATTTAGCAAAATCATGGCATCACGCTCAATGTCAAAAAACCACCAATGTTGCAGGTACACAACTAAGCACTGGCGGATCGAGGGTTTTATTCTTGGCTTCATCATTATTAACGAAGTATCAACAAAGATAAGTAAAAAACAGGAGAGTGAAGGAATATTTGAGCATTGACCTCTATTACGTTCAATAAACAATCACGTTGCCAGGTGTATTTTACGCAAAGCAATTTCCTGTAGCACCTTAAAAAAGGGCAAATATTAGCAATATGTGCAAGCAACAGCTGATTTTTAACAAATGACTAAGTGAGCACTAAATTATCAAAATTATAATTTAATTAAGAAACCAGTATCGTTTCTTTCAGTTATTCGAAGAGTTGAAATATTTCTGAAAATCCGAACAAAGCAGATTTGGTTCAGCTCGAAAACTTATTTCGAACTAGCATGATAATCAAAGCACATCAGCATATTTCTCAATATATTCTTCTCCAGTTACATCATACCACCCATACCTCCCATACCACCCATGCCTCCCATTCCTCCAGGCATTGGCATATCTTTTTCTTCTTTCGGTGCTTCGACAATTGTAACTTCAGCCGTTGTAAGCAATGAAGCAACACCAGCAGCATCTGTAATGGCGGTACGAACTACTTTCGTTGGATCAATAATACCAGTTTGCATCATATCAACATATTCGTCGTTGGCTGCATCGTAACCCATACTATGATCCATAGTAAGTACCTACGGTTGGCAATGGTTCAATTACAACAGCAAAAAATCGCACTTAAAAAAAGTTACATTTCTTATTTGGCATTCCCTTAAAAACCTTTTTTCGAAAAAAATGTCGTGTCGAAATCTGTTACAGAATGGAGTTGCATTAATTTGGAATTGTGAATTGGAGTTGCATTGATTTGGAAACTTCACAACAAAGTTCGAAAAGTTTGAATGTAGCAAAGGTTTGTGGAATAATAACTTTGCATAACAATTTTCAGATTGAGATTATGTGATCTACAATTCATGTTATCAAAAATGAATGCTAACAATAACCACACAGAAAATCAAAAACTTTACCTTTTCCACAACTAAAGTGGATTCGACACCAGCATTTTCAGCAATAGTTTGACAGGGAATACGCATTGCTCGTCGCACAATTTCTATACCAATTTTTTGATCCTCATTCTTTGCGTCTAAACCATCCAATTGTTTAATACATCTTAACAAAGCAACTCCACCACCGGGCACAATACCCTCTTCAACAGCAGCACGTGTGGCGTTCAGTGCGTCCGTCACTCGATCTTTTTTCTCGTTCACTTCAACTTCACTCGAACCACCAACCTAAAGTGATACATTATATAATATGATCAACTGTGACGTGAGATTAAACCTAACTAAATCTATGTGAATGTTATCAAACTGCAGTCATTTACCAAAAAAATTTGTCATATTCATCAAAACTAGTCTTTCACAAATAACTGTGAAAATCGTTGAATATCCTTGCTTTATATACAGCAACCGGGTAGCAACTTACAAACCTTCAAAATAGCAACGCCATCTGACAGCTTCGCTAAACGTTCATTTAACTTTTCCTTCTCATATTCAGAACTCGTTTCCTCTATTTCATCTCTTATTTGTCGACATCTAGCATCAATATCTTCTTGGCTGCCTTTGCCTTTTAAAAGAAGAGTGTCATCTTTGTTGATAGAAATCTCACCAACTTCACCAAGATCTTGAAGTTTAATGTCTTCAATTTTTGTATCCAAGGCATCGTCACCAAAAACCTTTAAGTATATCAACCAATGATAAGAATCAGACTATTTCACACTATACCTCAATGAGCAATGTTAGCAAATGCTATTTCAAACTCAACACTTACCATTCCTCCAGTTGCAATTGCCATATCTTGCAACATGTTCTTTCTGTTATCGCCAAATCCAGGAGCTTTTACGGCTGCAACTTGCAGTCCAATCTTTAACCTGATGAAATGTGAATAAAAACCCTATTCACACCACCAAACTCGTTTAAAAAATGATGTACAAGGACCAGAGCACTTCTATGGATGATCTTAAGTTTATGAAAGAAGTTCTTTCGAGAGAAAATAATACCTGTTAATGACTAATGTGCTCAACGCTTCCCCTTCGATATCTTCGGCAATTATAACAAGAGGCTTCCGTGAGGTGTTTGCTAACTCAAGCGCTGGAACAATTTGCTGAATGGTCGAAATCTTTTTTTGACACAAGAGCAGCAAAGCATCTTGATACTCAACCTTTTGTCCTTCAAATACATTAACATTCAATCATGTCAATGACGTTTGTGACAGAAATGCACGCATTTCTTTTCTTGTTCCACGTCTGTTATACATGATGTAAGTGACACATAATCGTAAATGTACAAATTTTCGAATCACTGCTTGTCTAGCTGACATTAAGCGAATGATATCATGGCCGTTGTTAAGAGAAACGCGATTCAAACCAATCACCAAATACCAAGCATGTGAGAAGAGTTAAATGTCAAATTTATGATATAATTCCCACCAACAATCAACGGAAATCTTACCTTTTGTCGTATTTATAAAGTAAGGAGAAATGAAACCACGATCAAATTTTAGACCTTCGATTAATTCTAATTCATCTTGCAGAGTTTTTCCATCCTTAAAACAAAGAACAATTTGTGCAAATTGATGATTGAAAAAACAAGACCAGTTCTACTCATAAAATTTTTGGTCAGGGGAATAGAAAGACCTAACCCAGCCTAAATACTTAGAATACTTAATAAAAGGGTCACTCTTTAAGTTAATTTGTTGCGTAGCAGCATGCGCGGCGCCAAAAACATCAATGGTTCCGACAATAGTGGCCTTTCTGTATGGTATATATTCTGTGCTAAATAATTAAATTGAACGAAAACTACTAAAAACATTAACTTTGCAAAAGAACATATAAAGATAGGTAAAGCAGCTTTTATAAAGATGTTCTCCCTATCTTTCTAGTGATTTAAGTAAAATGAAGACAGTCAAAAAATCTATGTAAACTTGCGCGTGTCTAAGGTAAAATTTTCAATAATTTTAAATTCCATTGACGTGATACAACGCTGCCAAGCTGGAATGAAGGCTCACATATAGTTTGCCACAACGGTTACTTGTGTGAAATAAAACTACAGATTCGTCAAATTTTGCTATTTGTACGTAAGTGCGCAACAAGAGCTGAGTTTAACAACATCAAAATATTTCCGATATACCCACCTTTACGGTAATTACTCCATTTTTACCAACTTTTTTCATAGCTGAAGAAATAAGATCACCAACAGTCTTATCACCATTAGCAGATATTGTTGCAACCTAATTGAATAATAGAAATGAACAAGCGCTAAAGTTGTAAGATTTCCATGATAACACACAAATTACGAGCATTATTTAAATCACTAACTTGAGCTATCTCTTCAGGAGTTGTAACTTGTTTGGACATTTCCTTTAGTTGATTGACAACATGCTCAACTGCCAAAATCACTCCTAAATATTCACATTATTTGTAGATTGGCTAAAGCAAAATAATACAAATAACCAAAGCAATCACATAAACATACCTCGTCGAACTTCTTGCGGGTTTGCACCCCTAGAAACTTTCTCAAAACCTTCCTTAGCTATTTGTCGAGCTAAAATTGTTGCAGTTGTTGTGCCATCACCGGCTTCTTCATTTGTATTGTTTGCTACATCTTGAACTAATCGAGCACCAAGGTTTTGAAACTTATCTGCTAAATCAACAGCTTTTGCTACTGTCACACCATCTTTGGTTATTTTTGGCCCACCAAATGATTGTTCAATGATCACATTACGACCCTAATTGATATCGCATTCAAGTAACAATTGTAAAGTTCAACATGACAGAAAATGTACCCTACAATTACAACAAAAAATAGCTCCCCAATGAATTTGTTTGTTAATTTCGGTTTCTATTCATTCTATCCATGTTGTACTGAACAATTTTACATGACTGTAACATGTAATTACCAAACTATCAAAATTCTTTATGTCATAGCAAAATATTACATTAATTTTACCTTTGGGCCAAGTGTAGCAGCAACTGCTTCAGCTAAGATTTCAACACCCTTTAACATAGCAGATCTTCCATCTCTACCAAGCTTTAATTCTTTAGCATTACAGCTGTTTGATGTACTTAAAGATGCAGCTAACTGTGGATTCAAGACTCTTTTGCAAAGGCCAGCAGTGCGTAAAACATTAGGAAGACGATACATTCTGCAAAACAAAGGCAGGACACTACATAACAGTAGACCAAAATCAAGTAGGGAATATTGCATTTCTTTGAATTAAAAATTTGATTCAAATATTGGCACATTGATTCATATGGTAAATGATCTAACAAATGCGTCAAATGTATCTTATAGACACTCCCCTTGAAGCATGGATTTGCCTTAGACACCTCTCTGAAATAAAAGACATTGTCTCTTACAGATGCCCACCACAACATCACCTTGCTGACAATATCATCATCATATAGGTTCATCAATTTTGGCTCAGAATGCATACTACATTTAGTCTTTGTTTTCATTTGTTCTTAGAAAGGTGATAGTCAACATATTAATGCCTTTCCCTTTTAAATGCCTTGAACCCCTTAGAACCGCTAGAATTTATTAAACATCCTGAGTTTATTAAAAACCATGACCGGAGACAATTTAAAGAAATATAGTTAAACCAAATCCTCAGACAGAATGAGGATGACTTTGAAATAAAGTCGAAAATTTACAGTTCACTTCTCGTCTTGTTTTGATGCATATTTTCCAATCTCAAGATGTCTTGCTTTTTCGGAAGTTGCTTTATACTGTGTTTATTAGATTATTAAATATATGTATTAAGTGAAAAATTCAAAAAATATTCAATTGCATTTCCACTGATTTACTAGAGATCCATTGACTAACAAAGTAGCCAATAGTCATGCATGAATAATTGGTAATAAACAAAGGCATAGCAAGGCAGGGGTAGAAGAAGTGCCAAATACCTTAATCATCATTCTGTTGGCAAAAATTAATTATTAACCTATCAATAAACTGTAAAGCAATTTTCATTTCTTTTTTTGGCAAATATGTCCAAAACCACAAACATGCCATGAGAGGCTTGTCAGCATATTTGATGCTAATTAGTCACCCCTAAAAACATAGACTTTGCTATGTCCCTGGCAATCAATTACACAATGTTTTTTTTAATTATTAAATATTTTAACTCCAAACAGGCTTTTCCTCTTTTATCTAACACAAATAATTGAAATACCTCTTTTTAATGAATTTGCCAGAGTTGCATATCCCCCCAAAACTGGGGGGGTCTACATTCTGGAGTAAACCTTTCTAGTGTCATTTTTCATGGAGAATCTCCAACTTTTTCATGCTCTATCAGCTTATAGATCAAATTTTAATATATATAAGACAAAAGCAGTTAAAATATGGCAACTCCCCACATCCCCTTTATTGTTCACCCCTGAATTTCGCACATGGCAAATGTAAGTTTTGGTGTTTGGAAAAAGAATAAATAAAATTGTTCACCCTGAATCAATAATAGTTCGTTTATAATAAATACTGAATATTGATTATCTCTTTGTACAATTTTTCACAGTACCTTAAGTTTAATCCGAACAACTTTGGCAAAAACGTCAATATTAGTATGTTAATTTCTATAACAGTTCCATTCAGCCATTTTAGTTCGATATTTACGGGTTTTACATAAATGCTACGAATTGGATCCCAGCAAGTTGTTGCAAGTTGCAATTCACCACGTGTGCAGACAAGCACAAAAAGTGCTGGTCAGTATAGGATGCAAACGTGTGTTAAAACCTTTTCCATGGTTGTAGGTGAAAGCAAATTCTTCATGTTTAAGTATTTCACAGACACTTAATCATAAAGGATTTGTTCTTTTAATGTACTTTAAAACAAGATACAATTTATACTATAAAACAATGTAAATTATTTCAACTCATCACGAACTCTTATATCGCGTACGCTGTTATTACTTTATAATAAACAATAGATTAAAATAAAACATCAACTTCTAACCATGAATCTTGATAGGCAAATACATTTCCAATTTATATCTGAAGTTATACTTAAATATTGTCAACTGTTGAAAAGGATTGTCGTCAATGTGCGCTTTAATCGCTGAATCATAGTCAAATATAATAAACGAACATCACATAACGATCTGTGGATTTTATAAATGAATGCCAGTCATTGCAAAAACTTGTACAGTACGAATTCATACCTGATGTTTGAAAATTTGAAGAAATTTAACCTCACACTTCGCTACAGTTCCAAACGAACAAACCTCGGAGCACGTGTCACAAAAATCGTGGTGTCGATCAGTTCGGGTTGCATGTGCATGCTTGCATCATGATCAAAATGACGAAATGCTTGTGCGTGTGACGCAATACGATTGCGCAATACCACGTACCCATTATTGCATACATTGAAAGTTGGTGTTATTGTAAATGTAACGAGCTCGTAATGACATCATTAGGCAAACTCCAGATTTGAATTTTCAAATAACAAGAAGTAAGATTTTGGTTGTATTTCTGCTTTCTTTCAACATAATTTTTTATCATTTTATATCATAGTTTGCAAAATGGTGTTATTTGATTCGTCATTTTCTGCTTATTTATTTTGTCTGTCGATGAAGAAATTTATTCTTACATATTGTATTTACATTTTAAAGAAAAAATCTATTGAAACACAAACTTATCTATTGAAACTATAATATATTGACTCAAGTTCTTTCCTTTTGAATGATGGAAATTCGTCATTTCATTAAAGAGTTACGCAAGGTCATGGCAATATAAATTATAATATTGTACTTTCTTGGTCTCCACGTGGAAAGAACCATTGGCGGATACAAATTTTTGTACAGAAATGGTGAGAAATGAGTGTAACTTTATTTTACGCTATCAAATTCACTTATATTTTTAACATAATTATTTAACCTGGGATAAATTTAAACAAGAAATCAAGAAATTATTAAAGGTCAGCTCGTTCGATGACCGACAGCTATCATCATACTGACTGACTTATCTTTACATTCGCTCCATATCTTTTGTATTTTTTACTGCAAAAAAACTTGTGAGGCTAGTTATTCTTACATGGGATTAGTTGAAATCATGTTTCATGTTGCGGCTAATTTTATTGGCAATTAAATGTGAAACTATTGAAATATTACTGAATTCATTTTGCAATTACAAGGAGCAACGAAATGCAACATAATGCACTATTCGATTGAGAAATGGGTATACATTTTTTTGTTTTAGGCTTCAGCTATCCAAAAACTACGTCCACTGCTTGACCGTGTCATTATTGAGAAATTTATGCCAGAAACTGTTAGTGCAATGGAACTTACCTTTGAATTTTCCTACTTAATTTTTCTCAATTAAACTATCCAATCTATTTTTTTCTCACTCCAGACTACTAAAGGAGGAGTGCTTTTACCTGAGCAAAGTTTGGGAAAAGTTCTTAAAGGAACTGTTATATCTACTGGTCCAGGAAGCCGAGATAATGTATGTGGTTGCAATCAATGACATTAATTGCAATAAAAATCTGAGAAATATTGCACTTAAAACAGTTCTGTGTATTGAAAATTTTTGGTTAATTTACCTAGAGTTACATAATTGAGAAGTGTTTTTTTTCAGAATGGTAATGTAATCCCAGTGAGCGTTAAAGAAGGTGACGAAGTATTGCTCCCAGAATATGGTGGCACAAAAATTACTTTTGAAGATAAGGTTTGTTGTGTTCTCACTTTAAAAGCTTTTTTTTCAAATTTGGTGTAATTTTATTTTCAAATGTCTGTGTCTTTTTGTAGGACTATCATATATATCGTGATTCTGAAATCATGGCAATTTTCTCTGAGTAATGCTATGACAAAAGCTTGAATATGAATATCAACTGCTGGAAAATATTACATGTAAAATTATGGAGAGGATTTAAACTATGAACTATTTGCTTGCTTATTACTTCCACAACAGTCAATCAAAGATAGTAGATTTATATAAAAGTTGTGTATGTAATCTTTCTATTTCAAATGGTTTGGTTCTTTTTTCCCAACTTTAAATGCTTTGCTTTCTGTATTTTTCCCATATATGCTCATCTAATGAATTTAAAATGATAAATGTTTGAAACTGGACTAAGTTTGAGAAATTATTTTTTATTATCATTGATAAGGAGAGTAGAAAAGGCAAAGTGGAGGAAATCAACAATTGTGTGATTTATTTATGGTGCTATAATTACTTTAATACGGAATAGTACAGATGATTTGTGACCAATTTATTTATGATAAAAATGTTGGTGAGAAGCTCAGGTATTTCTTGGACTTTATCCTAAAGGAAGGTTAGTGTTATTTCTTGAGAACCATTTCTTTCAAGGCTTCTGTAGTAATACTTTTAGGTCTTTCAATGGGTAAACCAAGTGCTCTATCCCACACCAGTGATGCCATAACACCAATCGCTCGAGATACACCAAACAAGACTGTATAGTAATTCATTTCTCTCAAGCCGTAGTACTATTGAAAGAAAATTACATGTAAATGAAAGTAGGAATCAAGAGACCTCTTTCATTAAATTTGAAGGTGTGCATTTTCATATGAACAACTGTTACACATCGTATTTTACCAAATGCCTTGGCCATGAAAAACATCACTGAAAATTTGATCCACGTACGTACCGTTAAAAGTACTCCACTATGAGCATCGACATTGGGCCATGGATTTTTCGCTTTTCCCTGTTCTAATAACACGTCAGGAACGATATCATACAGTTTACTAACAACTTTGAACAAAGGATCGTTAGGCATATGTTTTAAACAGAATTCTCTTTGACAGGTGTATCGTGGGTCAGTTTTACGGAGGACAGCGTGTCCAAAGCCAGGGATAACCTAAAAAAAATAAGATATTTTATCACGTCTGGAACAAATACAAAGAAAAAATCGATTTGCAATTAAGAAGTTGGTGTATGGCCGTTTGTATCCAAATATCGATACACTTGAACTTCTAAAATTCTGCTTTATAAAAATATTTAATACAAAATCATAGAAGAATTTGTTTAACGGAACAATCGTGCTTCTATGTCTACTTTAATTACCGCATGGTAGACGTACTTACTCCAGTCTTTAAAGATTCAAGACAATATTTTTTTACTTCTTCCTCACTGGGGTCCTGACCTAGATTTTCCACAAGTTTAGTTAACCAAATCAAAACTTCCTAAAATAATAAATACATCATGATATTGGTAGCATGACGAGTGAAAAAACTAACGAAGACAGACAAAAAGTTTCAAATTGGTACTAAGAGAAACACCTCTCAGATTTAAAAGGAAAGACACAAAAACTTCAAAACCATTGAACTACAAAGATTCGTACCAAAATCTAAAATCTACAATTGCGTATGAAAGAACTGTAATCATTATAATTTCACTGCTGCAAAACCTTCTCCCTTTCTGTGCTACCAATGGTTTGGTGACGGACAAAATGCACCGTGGTAAGAGTAAATATGCAATCAGAGTCATTGACGACTGAATATTACAGCAGTACGTATGTTGAACTTTAATCTCAAATGTTGAACTTTCGACTATCATGAATACCTGGTTAGCAAGTCCATGTAGAGGTCCAGCAAGACCATTCATTCCAGCAGCAAAGCAAAGATATGGATCTGACAGAGCACTACCAACAAGATGAGTACAATGAGCGCTCACATTACCACCCTCATGATCAACATGTATTGCCAGGTACATTCGTAGCATTTCGGAAAACTCAGGGCTATCAAAACCCAGCATGGTTGCCAGATTTCCTGACCAATCCTTTTGAGGATCTATGGGTGCAACCTTGCCATCCCGGTATACATTGCGGTATATAACAGCCGCGACGGTCGGCAGTTTAGCTATAAGGTCCATAGCGTCTTCGAATGTATACTAGCAAAATGAAAATGAATTAAACGCGCATATATTTACCATTGATGTTTACATTCTCATCTGTTAAACTAAAAGAAAGTTTTTATCAAAACATTGACAATGTGCAAACAAGATAGCAGACATGTTTCAAATCAAGCATGGAGTGGGATGGTCATCCGTACACTGTCACAATATAGTTGAATAAAAAAGAAATCATCCACGAATTTAGGCAGTTACACACTAGATATCTAGTACGATCTAGACGCAGCAATTACCTCCCAGTATTCACTTTTCTTTATGCCATCACCATATCCTTTTGCAAAATGACTTTCAGAGTTCATTGCTGTAATTGCAGCGCTCAATTGACTCATAGGATGAAGTTCTGAGGGAAAATCATTCAATAACTGGACAACGTGTGGAGGAAGATCTGCTCTAGATGCCCATTCATCGGACAAAGACTTTGCCTGAAATAAATGAACTGAGTATTACTGAACTGTGCTCATAAGAAAATGCTATCTCTGATATGAATTTTCATGCATGATTTCATTGAAAATAAAATAAATTCCTTAGAACAAAGAAATTTTGCAATATGGTGATACATGCTGTGGGACAGAATTATAATTTGAGATGAATTTTAAATATACAACTGCTATATTTTCGATCACAAATGTTTAGGAACAACATAACTGTCAGTGTGAAGATATTCCTGCAAGACAAAAAACCCCCCACATAATGAAGCAAATTGAAATGCAAAAGAATTTACACGCTCTGTTGAATGTAAGAACTTTAAAATATGTATAACCACAGCATGGTCACTTTCACATTTAACATAAACATAGAGAGCTCTCTTCATTTGTTGATGTTGTCAAAAAATATTAGGAATGGCCAAATGGGTACAAGTCACTGCAAATTCACCTCAAAAACAACAAACCAAATTGCTATTTAAGGCTAAATGTTAAGAATAAAGCTGTCATAGAGCAATGATGTTTGAAAGACTTAAAACATGATGCAAGCCATTGATTAAGAATACAATGTTGCAGTGTGCGAATTATTTCAGAAAAAAAGATGTGCAATTTTTTTGACATAAGTGTTTCTTTATAGGCATAATCAAATCGATATTACATTAATTATTATAAAGCGCTAATTGCTAAATTAACATTTTCAAATGTGAAAAAATACATATGATTTACAGCAGTGTTTTTCATTAAAACTGCTGATTTTTGCATATTGTTTGAGAAAGTGATATGCAATTGTTTTCATTTTAGCTAAAATGATGTGCAAATTGCACATTGCACACCGTTAATTTTCACACTGGAATGTTGCATTCTTACATTTTATAGGCAATGATATCTTTCATGCATGTATAGTATTACACATGAATGGTCCAAAACTCTGTAAAAATTTACCTGTTCAGTTGTAGGTATTTTACCAGTGATTAGCAACCAAAACATGGCTTCAGGTAACATTTGTGTACCACCTTCGACTGTAGATAAGAGCTGAAATATTTCAGAATCAGGTATAAGAAATTGATTGCAAATATTCATATTGCATAGTTCCTTTAAGAAAAAATTGTAAGTTTCAACTGGCATTTGCATGTTGGGATGAAATAAAATAATGCTTAATGTTTGCATTGTCTTAAACGAAATTTAACAAGCTTTAAAAATTTCAGTTCATCAGCATAGATAATGATCTTTCATGTCACAAGTCATAAAATATCATTTGATAGGTATGATATTAATTGCACTTGTACAAATTAAAAAGTCAACATTTTAAAAGACATCCTTTTACAACATACCTTCTGGCATTCTGGGATAGAATATCCTCGAAAACGAATGCCCTAAAACAAAAATATAACAATCTTAGATTTGTTAAACTACATATATATACATTAAAAACAAAACTTTGCTCTAATTAGTTTTTTACATTCTGAGATTAAACTTTTGATAAAAGCAACCTGTTTAATAGGACTACCATCCATAGACTATATCTCTATGGATTGTGTAAATAAGTTAACTATAGAGTACTGGTAAATGACTTGATACTTCATTTTAACTGTTAATATATCATAAAAAACTTCACTTTTGCTGAAAAATATCTCATTTTTAATATATACCTCTTCTGGATCCAATAATGATGTCTCAGTGACAAGGCCAATGATTCCACGCATTCCACCATATATCTGAAAAAGAATCCTCACACTATTCAAAAATTCAGTAGGGCTTATAATGTGAAATCTATATAATTAGATACCTGATCAACATTATATTGCGCAACAACTTTATCAGCACATTCTTTTCTAAATTCTGCAACTTCTTTCTGCTTTTCTGGAACAATTGCCTTCATAACATCCTTCAAACTCTAAATATATCATAAGAGAACTTGATCTAAGCATGCATTTTCGTAAAATTCAAGCACACAAGCTGTCTATATGGACGTAAATTCGGAGGATATGCAGAATTCAAATGAATGAAATGCTATATTTTTTGTTATAAAAAACAACCACAAAATAACACATCTCTGTACAAAAGTATAATGTTTTACTGTTGTTTTAATAGATTTAACAGGCACATCAAATCTCATATCTTTCAGTCTTGTTGCCATGAAGCAGGTCTGATCAAATGTTTTTATAAATGGGTAAGCTTTGTCATAAGACAATAACTAAATGTTGCAAATTACATTCTGATCAAAGATCATTTTTAAAATCAATCAACAACTTCACAAACCAATCACAATTTAAAACCATAAACCATTTCAGTTTAAATATATAATCAAGCATTCTTGTACAAGATCCAAACCATACACCAGTATTTCAAATAATTGTGATAATGCACAGATTTCTTACACGGTTTAAAATCCTTCAAACATTTCAAAACAACTATCAAACTACAAAAACAAACAATATAACATTTACGATAAACTAAGTAACTAACCGATGTAGCTGTTGCTTGAGATCTAACGGACGTACAATTGAAATTCTTGACAGAGATCTATAAAAACAAATAAATTTTACAGTGGTTGGTCAGAATTCACTATATTTAAAGATTTCTTAGTGTTCAATGACTGTTAAACAGAAACATAAATAAGACAACGGCATGTATACCTTCCATGATTTTAAAACGTCCCGAAATGATGTACCGACACGGGCCATTTCTTTATGCAATATATAGACAAATATGATGGTGAAATATAGGGATTTTTGAAAAACTATAAAGAAATCGTACCAGTTAGTGGTTTGACTTTGAACTGTTGATGGAGCCCACTCTTCCCGCAGCTCGCGGACAACGATGATGTAATAATAGCAAATTATGTATTACGCAAAACTCCAGACGGTCAATCTAATTTAGAGATTTAGGCCACAAACGAAAAATTCGACCATAACCACAAAATAAACGGCATCAAATCGTAACAAAATTAAGATATTTGTATATGTAATAGCACAGTTAGAGTGCAATTTGGGAAAAACATGCACAAGTGAGTTTGTCATCGGATATTACTTTTGAAGAATGTTATATGGATATTACTTTTCACAACACCATAGTTTCCACACACACCGCTAGAACAAGGTGTAATATTTGTACTCAGAAACATCTTTAAAATGATGAACTTCAAACTCGTTTGCCAAAGAAAATCTACTTAAAACTAAACTTTACCGCTTTTCAAATGTTTTATTTCGATTGGCTCTTAGATCACTTCTTTGTTTGAGTAACTAATCAGGAGCACATTTTTCGAAAATAAATTGCACCGGTGTTTCGATTTTTTGCACTGGCCTGGTGTTTGCGATAAATTGCACTGCTCTTAACCAATCAGAATTGAGAATTTTTTCATGTGTTTAATTGTATAGGTAATAGCATCGTTTCGAGTGCAATTTAGGAAAATCATGCACGAGTGAGTTTTTCAAAGACTTTCAAAATTGAACGAGTCCGAAGGACAAGTTCAATTTGAAGTGTTTGAAAAACTCACGAGGCAGCAATAAACAAGACATAGTTTGGCGAAAGTTTACTGCTGGTTTTAGCACACGATGCTTTTCTCGTCCTTTTTGTCCTTTCATCAAGTAGAAATAAAAGTACAAAAACGGAAAATGTTCTTTGTATCACTGCTTGATAAAGTTAGAAACGATGAATTGAGAAGAATAAGTGAGAACAAGTACGCGGACAGTTATGAAACAAATTAAATTACGTTGTTATGGCCATGTTTTGAAGAAAAAAATGTGATGAAGCAGGAAGTGAAGAAGCCGTTGAAGAGAAAAAGAAGCAGAGGGTCGAAGATTAAAAATGTGGAAGGAACTGGGGTTGAAAGAACAGGATCGTGTAGCAATCTACCTCAAACAAAGGGAATAATGGTGTGTGAAGAAAATGGCAGTGTTGGAGCATTGGAGAGGAGGGAGTTGATGCAGTAAAGATGACTTTATAAATTAGTTGCAAGTTTTCATAATGGATAATTCAACTCAACTCATATTACAGTTACTTTAAAAATGAAGCACATGAATGCATTCAAATACTAAATTCATTTCGTTAAAATAACTATATACATTAATATATATATATAACAGAATAAACTACAGCATAATTGTCATTTATATTACAGAAAAAAATGACACATAAACAGGTTAAGTCCTCATTTGGAAAACAGAATAGAAACCGTGGAAACATCAATAGATTCTACTAGAATCTTCTCTTTTTTGCTTTGGACCCTAAGAATGACAAAAGGTTGATATAAGGCAATCTTTATCCAAGAATTTGCGGCAGGCTTTCAAACACAAAAAGGCAAATTTTCAACAGAAAAAATTAATAAATAATCAAATGTGAGTCACTAAAAGGTAAAGACGATATGTTTACATCATACAATAATTACTATACGCAGTACTGCTGACTAGAAATTCCTATGTAAAAAAGACAAATGAACAAGACACTTGTACAGTACCTTGTCTGGTTCTTAGTCTGTCTTTCTACAAAAAACGAGCAATATTGTTAAGAAATATTTTTCTCTCAATATGCGAATCACAATAATAGACACCCACGACAATGTTGTTAGATAGTCAATGTCTTAGCGGTAAATTTGAAAGTAGTTCATTTACACAAAATCAAATCCAACAGCCGAAGAATAAAATCGTAGTTACGTAAATGAAAATTATGATAAAGGAAAACATTCGCACAAATGCCTTGACATAAGCGTAAAAATGAAAGTAAAACATTCAAATAAGCAGTTGTCAATATTAAATAAAACTGCGCTGTAATTTGTAAATATCTTTGCCTATGCATGCAAAATACATTGCGAATGTATTACAAAAACTACTTGCTAGAACAACTGCTTCCACTTTTTCTAACAAATGTAATGATTATGCAATGCTTAATCACCTTATTTGCCGCAAAGTCATATCACATAAAAACAAACCTGATCTTGCTCTTCTAAAGCTTCGCCAATGGCTTGCTCTAATCCTACCCGGGTCTTCTTCCCTCTATTGAAGAAAACATTAAACATCAAAAGTAACTTATACGAAAAAAACAAAATGTCATTTAAATGAAGCAAACCTGTGTTTTTTCTTTTTGCCTTTGTCATCGAGAGTTTTCAGACCTTCAGTTAAAGTTTTTAATTTATCAACTTCCACTTGACTGAAAGTATGATCACCAAACCACATCACCCATTTCTAATTATAAAATAAACACAATGAAACGCGTGCGCTGATTGGTCTAGAGCTGTGTTTGCATTAGCCAGTGCAAAACATATCTGAGCTCAACCAATCAAATCAATCAAAACAATCAATTAGTCAAAGAGAATTTGCAAATCAATCATGAATATATATCTTGAGGAAAAATTAAAATGTTTCGCATTATTTTATTTTATAAAAAAAATAAGATGTTTTTTGTGTTTGCACTGGCTTATGCAAACCTCGGAGACGGTTGTGAGAACTCTCGATCATATGCAACCCTCGACCTTCTGTCTCTGGCTTGCACTGATCTGCTCTCGAGTTCTCCCGAAGGTCTCCTCGGTTTGCATAAGCCTGTGCAAGCACAGTAAACATCTTTTATTTCTTAAATGAAGTAAAGACGGTAATTGAATTGCTTTGATTAGGCAATATACTCCATGCACAAAAAATTTTTGTTTCTAACAAAATTCATCCAATGAAAAATTGACCAACACAAACAAAAATAGGGATAAAAAAGTTACATGTGAATTTTTTGAGTATTAGGGATTATCAATGCCTCACATGCAAATGTTGGTATATAGAAATCGACACAGTCTGTATTACACAAATGATATCGTGGGGTAGCTCAAACTGTTGCAATTCAATTGTCCGGCCTTATATAATTATAAAATAATGCAATTATCTTGCACAGCGTACGTCACACGCTGCAATGAGTTGAATGAATTAGGAGTTACCTAGAATCGTATTTGAAATAATAAAAAAAGTTTGATTCACAATTAATGTCTATAATTCAGAAACTGTAGTCATGTTTAAAAATTTATATCGAAACACCGGTAGGACGGTCAGGCCGATGGTCAATCCAAGGTTACTAATTTACAATACAGTTATAACAGTTTGTGCAGCCCTAGACTGTAATCTGTTAATGCGTTGATATAATCACAAGATTTCGGGAATCGGTAAGCACATTAAAAAACGAAAGTATTGGTCGTATTTAAAACTGTATCACACCCTGTTTAATGTCTTCATATGTGTATTTCATAATGTTCAGTAATTGTCTAAAAAAATTACGTTTCTTTCATATTGAAGTCAAGTAAGGGCCAGTTCATATGAGCAGGGATGGCCCACTTTGCCGGGTTCAGGTTACTTTTATACGCTAAAAGAAACTCAGTGAGGTTAAACATAATTTTATGGTACACCGTATGTTGTTCTTTTGCTTGCCTACCATTTTGAATCGAATTGAATTTCATGAGCATGCACACTAGTACGATGTTTGGTCCGCCTTGCGCTTTCACTTGAACCCGTTTATGCAGAGATCCCGCCTCCCGGTAAGACGGGCCAGACAGCCTCTGATACGAATCAAAATTTGAAATTATATGTAAATACTATTATAGGCAAGATCTCGCTACTGCCGGGCTAGTCCGGTATAGCGGGCCAGCCTGGCTCAAATGAACTATCCTAAGTTTTGTAGTTAGTAAATGCAAAAATAATTCAAATTAAGTACGGCAGATTTTAGTGCACATTAATCTTTAACTTATAGACTTTATGTTACTAGAAAAATACTTGAAAAGTCTCGTAAAGAAAATTTTATATTTCTTGTTTCTGAAACAAAATATTCGAAAAATTACCTTTCCTGTATCAGCAGCGGCAGCTTTGCCATTCGCTACATCTCTTTCGTCAACTATTTTCCCAGGCCATGAAGGTAAACCTCTTGCTTGTGCCCAAACAATGTCACCAGTTGTAAACTGGATTGCACTTTCAACTTCTTCCTTTCGTTTATTACTAGCTTGTTTTGAGCTGTTATCTCCTTTATGTTAGATACAAAACACATTCAGATTTTTATATTTTACATCAAAAACTACTTTCTTGATCTCAGTAGAAGTACTTACCGTCTCCATTTTGAACATCGTTTTCATTCAATCCTATTTTTGTTTTGTCGTGATTCTTTGTCATTCTATCTCGAACACATTTTCGTTTAGTTGTGATAAAGTCTGATAACTCCAATGCCTCCGGAACTACTCTTTTTTTTATCCGATGTTTATCGTCCATTTTATTTTGTACAAGTGAACCAGAGTTAGATTCTTGCTTCAAGACTGACACTTTACAATCTTCACTCAACTTCGAAAATTCATTCGTGCATAAGTTAACATCGACACCACCGTTTTCATAGCGCGTCCTTGAATCAACATTTACAATAGTATCAGAGCTCTTAACTTCAGAGTTCGATTCCGTTTGACTGAAAGCAAATGGTTTCATATCAATGAAATTTGCTTCTGTGTCTTCACCTGAGCAAGTATTTACATTTGACAATTTTGCATCAGTATTGATACAATTTTCAACTTTGTGGCAGTCTCCATCAACTACAGAATTCGCACGAGGCTCTTGAAAACTGTTTGAGCTTGTTTCCGTAACAGCATACCCACAATTCTTTTCCAGAAGTGTCGACTGTGTTTCACCTTTACTATGTACAGAAAGTTCTTCGACATTTGTCGCCTGCACGGCAACAAGTGTACTAGATTGTTCTAAATTTATCGATTCCACCTGTGTTGCATCATTTACACAAAATTTTTCGACATTTTCCGATTCTGTTTGTCCATGAGCATTTACAAAACCCTCGTCAACATTCCCACACTCTGTTGTTACATTTAAATCTACGCAAGATTTCTCAACGTTCTCATATTCTGTTTCTCCAGGAGCAGTTATCGATTTTATTTCTCCATCAATACAAGATTCTTTGAAATTAGTCGACTCTATCTCTTTATTGTCACTTAGTGATGATTTATCAGTTTTTGTTGAACCTTCTTCCATAATGAAGTCTACGCAATGATCTTCAGAGTTAACATCATCCGCTTTTGTATCAACATTTTTACTTGATTCTTCAAAAAACGACGTCAATGCACAATCGGCTGAACTCTCGATTTCAGTCTCATCTCTCAAACTTGGTTTGACATCAGTTTCGTTGGAAACATTTGTTTCATTAACGACGTCTTTTTTTGAACAGTCACTCACTAATATAGTCGATTCCTTTGTCTGATTGTCCTTATTTGTAAGTGAAACATGATCAACTCGAGAAATTTCGCCTTCTAAAACTTTGATTTTCGGGTCAGTCCAAACTTCCTGTTCTAATTTTATATCAGAATTTAACGACAGATCATCATTGACGCACAAATCAGATTCATCATAAATTTCAGTAAAGATTTCAGGTTTTATGTTAACAGCATTGTTACATACATTGTCGGTATTTCCATTCGCTGTTTCGTCTTCTCTGAAAAGTACTCCAGAATGTATATCCGTTGTACTTGTGGGTGATGTGCATAATTTAACATCATTGACGGCAGTATTAACCGATTTTGTCTCAGACATGCTTTTGTTAATCATTATATCATCACCCATATCTTGAACATGTCTAATATGTATATCTTCTTTGGAAATTTCAAAACTTTCGGTACCTAAAGTGGGTGATTTATTGATATGTTCGACCAAAGGCAAACCTTCGGTTAATATTGGGTACTTTTGTGACATACCTGAACCACGTGGCTCTTTTCTGGAACGTAACGCAGGAGATGCATCATGTTTTGAGAAAATCTCATTTTTGTCATTTTCAGAAATTGCATCGCTTGTTTCATCAGAGACTTTGTTAGGTGATTTACCACCTTCTTTACCAAGCAAAGTATTATTAAATTCTGATGTAGTCCCATTGAAAATGATATCTGGTTCTGAGATTAATAGTTCATTGAGCTGCGTATCTGAAGTTGTTACATGATGCTTGGTACTTATAAATGATTCGCTCTTTTCTTCAGCAATAGAACAACTGGTGATAGTGCTAGTACTTATAAAAGATTCCCTTTTGACGTCAGCATTTGTACAACTGGTGACAGTACTGGTACTTATAAAAGGTTCGCTTTTGACGTCATCATTAGCACAACTGGTGACTGTACTGGTACTTATAAAAGATTCACTTTTGACGTCAGCATTAGCACAACTGGTGTCTGTACTGGTACTTATAAAAGGTGCTCTTTTGACTTCAGCATTAGCACAACTGGTGACAGTACTGGTACTTATAAAAGGTTCGCTTTTGACGTCAGCATTAGCACAACTGGTGACTGTACTGGTACTTATAAAGATTCACTTTTGACGTCAGCATTAGCACAACTGGTGACTGTACTCGTACTTATAAAAGGTTCTGTTTTGACGTCAGCATTAGCACAACTGGTAACTGTACTGGTACTTATAAAAGATTCACTTTTGACGTCAGCATTAGCACAACTGGTGACTGTACTGGTACTTATAAAGGTGCTCTTTTGACTTCAGCATTAGCACAACTGGTGACAGTACTGGTACTTATAATAGATTCCCTTTTGACGTCAGCATTAGCACAACTGGTGACTGTACTCGTACTTATAAAAGGTTCTGTTTTGACGTCAGCATTAGCACAACTGGTGACAGTACTGGTACTTATAAAAGGTGCTCTTTTGACTTCAGAATTAGCACAACTGGTGACAGTACTGGTACTTATAAAAGGTTCCCTTTCGTATTCAGCATTTGCACAACTGGTGACAGTACTGGTACTTATAAAGGTTCCTTTCGTATTCAGCATTTGCACAACTGGTGACAGTACTGGTACTTGTAAAAGGTTCCCTTTCGTATTCAGCATTTGCCCAACTGGTGACAGTACTGGTACTTATAAAAGGTTCCCTTTCGTATTCATCATTTGCACAACTGGTGACAGTACTGGTACTTATAAAAGGTTCCCTTTCATATTCAGCATTTGCACAACTGGTGACAGTACTGGTACTTATAAAAGGTTCCCTTTTGACTTCAGCATTTGCACAACTGGTGACAGTACTTAATGCAGTTGAATACTCCGTGGTCTCAGTGACACTTGTTGACGCAACGTTACCATCGTTGCAAGTGATACTAGTATTGAGGCCACTCAAGGCCGGTATAGGAGAGGAACTAATGGCATAACTGGTGATGGTATTGGCAGGGCCTTTGATGAAATCACCAGACTTACTTTTCACAGTAAACAAGACTTCAGAAATGGACGCGCTTGCAGTACTGGATCCAATCATACATGTTGATGTCGATATGGACGTGGATGTATTGGTAAAACTAGGTGCAGAAGTGAAACTTGATGTAATAGTACCACTTAATGCACTCGCTACGCAAGAGCTCGACATATTTGCATCTCTAGAAGTTAAGACGACGCTGCTCGTATTTTCCCCACTTGATGCTTTCGCAAAGTTGATGTAGACATACAACTAGATTGCGTGCCATAACTAAAAGTAGATATTGCGCTCGTTGTATTTGCACTACTGCCAGTAATTGCAATGCAAGATATACCTTCACCATTGGACAAATCGATACCGGCTGTAGCAGAAGCATTCATTTTATTTAAGGCATTTTCACATCGAGATTCAACTTGTTCACAAGACAAAGGATTTTCAGTAAATACCGAGTTCTGAGTGGAAACAGTTTTGCTAATGGCTTGGCTTTTTGATATTGCTATCCCAGACGACTTACAACCATCAGAAACACTACTAAATGTTGATTTAACTGAGGAAACAAATGACGTAGTGCCACAACTAGATGTAATTGACTCACCGGAACTTGTTGAATTACCACTACTAAATGTTGATTTGACTGAGGAAACAAATGACGTAGTGCCACCACTAGATGAAATTGACTCACCGGAACTTATTGAACTACCAGTAGCAGTTGACCCTCTGACCTTAGAAATAAGACGTGTTGTAGAAACTGGAGATGATGCCGTGACAGTCAAAGTTACATCACTTGTTGTTGTAGTCACACGGCATAAACCAGTAACAGTTGAAGTTGTTACTCCAGAGCTTGAGATGCCAGACCTACAGGTTGACGATGTCACTTTAGTATGCGCGGAATTTGAACGTCTTCCACTGGATGGTTTCCCATTAGGCAAACTTGTACGCGCACAAGGGTATTGGCCGAGACTTGACAGTTGATATGCCAATGTGTTTGCATTTACACCTTGAGTAAGAAGATGTTGCCAATATGGGTTGTTATAGTTGCTCACCAGGTTTACCAATTGCTGTGAAAAACTTGAGTTCGTCACTGATGCTGGTGCTATGGAAACAAAAGCACTGTACGCCGCAGCTATTGCAGGTGTATTGGTTGTAGAACTACTCGAGATAGGATCTTTCCCTGGCGTATTTGGATTTGGTGCAACAGGTTTAGGTGGGTTACCCGGCTGGGCAAAACCAAGAAAGTATGGTACAACATTGTTTGATGTCATCCCCACAACAGAATTTGAAACATTACTAGCATAAGGCAATCCTTGCAATGTGTACACATAGGGACTTTGTTCTACAACAGCAGTGTTGGTAGCATTAGGCATAGCATTTGCTCCTGGCAGATGAACTGGAGGTACAACTCCTGGCTGTAATAGTATACCACAGTATTGAAGAGGCTGTTTGAAAGGATCCACCTGCTTTTCTGGAATGTTTGCTTCTTTTTGTTTATCAATTTTAACAGACGGAATTGAATCAATCTTGCCAGTTGATGGAGAATTCATTGATTGGTTAGGCAATGTTTGTGACAAGTCTTGTGGATTTGTTTTGCGACGCGACGATGCGGAGCGACCCAAAATAATTGGCCTCGTTCTGTTCTTAATATGATAGCCTGGCTTAGACATACTTGCGTCTCTGGGATTTTCTTTGGCTTCAGGTGTTTTTACTTGAGGTACCATATTAATGGAAGCACCAGACAAACTGACCATCGGATTCTGGTTAGAAATCGGTAAAATGTTGCCACTATTTGCAAAGTATACAAGATTATTTGACTGATTGTGCGTAGCAAGCAATGCCGGTTGTTTTGGACTCAGTAAATATGGTTTTTGAGAACTACTTGTATCACTGGGACATGTTTGACTGGAGATGGTTGTAGTAGCAGACGAAAGAGATGCCAGAAAGGAAGTTGCATTGAATTGACTGGAAGGAAATGCGAAAGAACCATCTTTCTGTGAAAATGGTAAATTTTCTGGTACAAATGAAAACTGATAAGTTGCTGCATCAACATGTTGACCATGAGCGTGAAAATGATCACTATTCAGCTGAACTGTTTGGGACACAGATGTCTGTGGAACAAAATTTGACACACCTGTGTCTAACGCTGGAGAGGCACATGATTTTTTCTTCTGTGAAACAGATTTTTTTGTTTTTTTAGACTTCACTTCTTGGTTGGGCACACCTAAAAATATTGCTTTAGTGAGATGCAATGCTTAACTCAGTTATTCAAAATAAAAAAGCAACCCACAGCTCACTTGTTCTGTCAAAAATGTCTAAGTATAGAGTTTCCTATTAAGTTCAATTTAAAATACATTCCAGTACCGACATACAATATTTGACAATATTTGTTAATGATGATGAAAATTGCAAATTGTACCTTGCGCACGCAAATTCACCGCATCTGGTGCACTCAAAATGCTTTCAAACAATGGCAATTTTGGCGACTCGTTCTTTTTCTTTGACACTTCAGCTTTCCTCCTCACAACAAGTGGTTTGCTGAAAACCTTCACATCATCATTTGAAAGGTCATTAGAAAGGTTTTCAACCTTAGAAACAATTGTACATTGAGCTTTTATAGTTTCCTTACACCGACTATTATGGCTTTTCTCCAAATCAGAAAGCTTGAAATGACGACTTAAAATGGATGCATCAAACTCAAATACTTTGTCAATAAATAGAGGGCAATCAATTCCACATTTACAAGTCTTGTCAGATACCAAGTATTGGGCTATGTCCTCTTTTGATTTCAAACATACTTGGCTGGGACTAGAAATAAATATGAGAAAACAGTTTTAATATTTTCATTTGAACAATGGCAAAGATTAAGCAAAGTCTTATACATCTTAATTCACTACAATGTTATTTCATTATGAGATTGCTGTACTTCATCAAGCAATACTTCATGTTATTTTAAATAAAACTATTAATTAAGGATACATGAATTTCGTACTACAAAATTGAATCATCCTATCCCTGAGTCACACTATTGAGTCATCTCTAAACAAAATTGTTAAAAGTGGGTTACAGATTGTTTTAAAGCAGGCTAAGTTACTTCCAATCTGACTTACTCCAAACTTAATGTCATTTCTTCACACAACCTATTTCACCCATGTTTATGAAATACAAATTTCTTAAAAAAATCATTATTGTATGTCATAACTTTCTGCAAGCTATAACTAAACTTTATAAAAGTTTTAACCAAGCCATTAAAACATTCAACCAAAACTGATACAAGTCTTAAACAATATAACCAATATAAATATAACATTTATGTCTTCAAAATTACATTCTCGCTAAAGTTGTTGTCAATTTAACAGTAGATGTGAAATATATACATGTAAGGCATTGTTGATTATGTAATTAATTTTTTCTTCGTATTTTATCACTTGATTCTTGAACAAAAAACAACTTAATTTAATACTTGAAAAATTATCAAAATCTTAAGATCTTATTTTAAAATTGAATTAGTATGACCTTTAACAGAAAAATATTAAAATACGCTATGTCAGAAACTTACAAAACTGATGCTGCATTTATGTTCATAAGGAGAACTAGTTATTAATTGCAAATCATGAACATAGTTGATAAATTGTATAAAATGGAATCCATTTTGGACTCAGCTACTTCTTAAATAACAACAGGCGGAGTATATGAAAGCTTGTCAAAACATAAATTGCTTCTAAAGTTCAATCTTAGATACCGACATCATTGTGTATTGAAGTATTTCATCATTTAAAACCAAGAAGGGAAGTTCGCATTGGATTTCGAGGAAGATTGGCTACAATCTACATACATGTTGCTGGTGACTCTCTTCTATTATTGCCAAATTGCATGATATACAGGTATTAAAAGTATTGAATCAAATTCTCACCTGAAATAGACAATATTTCCATTTTCCAAACAGCGATTCCAGCCTCTGGGTACGTCAATATATCGTTCATGATTTACTATTGCCTCACTTTTCGATATTTCTTCAATGTTTGTAGTAGTCATTACCGTGAAATATGAAAGCTAAGTTATTGATATTCTGTCCTTGCACAAGATTGGCATGTATCTAAAACCTCATTGTTTCATAAATAATATGTTTAACAGTTTATATGATCTTCGTGTATCAGCAAGTTACTATTTCTCTCGTAAGTCACCATCTAGGACATAATTATACCATAATATAGCGGCCATATCATCGAAACTGCACAAAAACTGAACTTCATTTTGAAATAAATGACCAGCAAAACAAAATATATCCAGTATGAGTCAAAACGCGTTAATAATATGGAGTCGCCCGAAATAAACCCAATCAGTGAATGTATGAATGCTGCGAATATCAACGAATTTCGTTCTTTCGATAATCCAAATTTGTCGAGGAAATCAAGATTCAAGTCTTATTATATCGCGCAGTAAATGTTATGTCCCGGGACCGAGTGTTCATATAAACTTGTCATGTGACATCATCTATGACTTGCAAGCATATCGAATTTTCGCTAATTCGCTTTTAATTTTGTTGTAAAATTCAAATGAGTGGCCTAAAATACTTCTTTTATTTTATTAATGCCATTTAATTGGAAAATTTGAGAGTGCTGTACTGTAACGAATGCTTGTGAAGTTTAACTCCTTTATTTGGCATGAATTAAGACATAAAATCACTGCATGAATAAGTAAAAACTAATTAATCAAAATTATATGTAAATTAAAGAGGTGTTAGTAACAATTATTAATAATACTTAATGTTTATAAAGAACAGTTTAGAAACAGAAACAGCTAACAAAAATGAAATAACTCAGTTTGGTTCACCTTTACATCCTGTTGCAAACTGGAATAGTAAATTGATCATCTTTCCTTACGGGCAAGGGCGGAAATCCAGGGCGACGGAGGGGACATGTCCTCAGGGTGGATATCCAGTCCACCCCCCTCCCCCACCACACACACACTTTTCAAAACTGATATGCGCCCTCGTTTAGTGGACATCTAGAACGTTTTTACACTGAATGAATCTGAGTTTTTTAAAGTTATAAACGTGCATTAACATAAAAACCGTTTTTCATAAATGATTGTTGTTGGATCATGCAAATGATGCAATCTTGATGTTTCCCACTTGCTTCTATTGCGCAAAATGTCAAGCTAATTTCATTTGATCTTTTTTTCTAAAAATTGTTTTCATGTATCCAACGTGTAGCATAAAAATTTTGCATGCTTAACTCTGCAAATGAAGAAAGCTTCTATCTTACTTTGTGTTGAAATAGAAAACTGTAAGTGCAACTGAATACCATGCATCTGAAATTTCACCCTGCCCCAGACAGAAATAAAACTCTACGCCTAGTATTAATAAAAGAGATTGAGAGTTATCGTTTTTATGGCAGAGACAAAATTAGAAACAATGCAAAAGATTGGTAAAATTTCAAACAAGATAGCTATCATTTAAAGATTTATCTGTACTCCTAATCAAGCATGAGAGAGATCGATAACATGGATTTTAGCTGTCCAGGTTTTTACTTTACAAAAAGCGAATCATTAACAAATGTCTTCATAAAGACACGGTTCCCAAGATTGACGTCTCATGGGGATTACGTGAACAACACATAGATTCTCTCCTGTTTTGAGAACGTTTAAAAACATAAATTGATAAAGTTTGGGCTATCAGGTGGAATAGTTACTTTGACGACAGTGAAATGACTGTGAAGTTAGTACAGAAGATGCTGTGATATGCCCCCAATAATTTCTGAATCCAGGTAATCTGTAAGTATGATGTCTTGTATTTGCACTATAGTTTCTACTATTGTTGATGCCATTAAAAGCCGATTTTGAACAAAAATCATATAATAGAGGTTTGGCACAAATTCTAAAAACAATGTGCAACAGATTTTGAACAAAAAGGATGCCCAGCCGAGTTTCACTTCGGAAGAAAACATTGACCTCGGTCTGAATAATTCTTGATATCATGCTCAACCTCATCCAATAATTGTTAAATAATGGGCTATTTTCCTTTTGTAATAGTAATCGACACAATTACACGAGATTTAACAATTTCTCCGTAACTTGTACTAGTTTTATACTTTTATTACCACGTTTACATGCACGTCAGAACTTTTCCCAGTGTATTCTATGAGTATATTCTATTTCAGTGATTATAGGACATTATTATGATCTATAAAAATTCGACATTTACAGCTATGTCTTCAGTTGTATAACTGAAAAATTAAAATTAAACATTGTCATGAAAAACTCCTTCCTGTTAGAGTAAAAATGTACAAATTAATCACCTGAAACAATTTCCAGACTACCTGTTTTAAAACTTATCTATCATTTGTTTCTAGTTACATGCAAATAGTTTAGAAAGAAACAGTTTAATCAACTTCCATGTCTTCCGATTCAGTTTGTTCCTTTTTAACATCAGGGTAGCTGATTTGATCGCACTTGGGAAACATTTCTTTGATAAATTTTTTACCTTCTTGGAAGGACTTGAGACGTTCGATGATTGCTCCAAACGTAGTTCCATACTCTATTTTAGAGTTGTTTATAGGGAAATCTCCAGTATGTATACCAATTACATGACAATTCATATCAAATATGGGTGAGCCACTAGATCCATTAAACATTTTACCAACATCATACGGCAAAATTTCACCATTCTCGGCACGCTTTAGGAAATCAATCACGTCTAATTCACCATTGACATAATGTAAGCCACACTCCCTGCCACGATTTTGAAGGTCGTCACAAGATAAAATAGAACACAATTCCTCTTGCTTTCTTTGACCATTAGGATGACCAACAATGGAGACTATACCGTTGGACGGCACGTTACATCTAACATACTCACCAAGAGGCATAACTTTCACAGGTTGTTTGAGTTGAAGAAAAGCAAAATCAAGACTTTCGTCCATGGCTAAGTTAAATGGTGTTTTTATTTCATAAGACTTATGAACATCAAAAGAAACATTGGCTTTTTCATAATTAAAGATGACGGAAACCTTGGAATTTGGTTCATTGCCAGGCAAGGATGAAGTTAGAGCATCCTGTATATCTTTAGCCACATGATAATTTGTGGCAACAATTTTTTGACTAACAAGAAAGCAAGTTGCTTGGACAGAGTCACCATACTTCAAATAACCCACAGAATCATATAATTTACAAATATTCTTAGAGAAATCTACTGGTCGAGTTATAACATTTTTATTGGAAAACTTAACTTGAACAGCCTTTAATTTTGCTTCTGGAATCTTCTTCTGGTAAAAAAGATCGGGACCAAGAAGTTTATACCTTACCAGAGTTCTTTGACATTTGTACATTTGTGCACACCTTTCTTCTCGGGTTAATTTTTCTGAATCTTCTGAAAATTCATAGCATTTCCCATCTTTAAGCATCTTTTCCAAATATCCCACATCCATTGATGAGTAACTTGTTGTACTGTTGGAATTCATTGATGATTTGGGTGTTAAAGAATCTTCCAACTTAATAGAACTTGATGACTGAGGTTGCTGACTTGTAGAATTATCTGACGAATCACGTTTCTTTTTGCTTTTAGCTCTTATCTTAAGCAACTCATATTTTGATTCTAAGTGGTCTATGACCTTCTCATTCATATCTATATAGGCAGAGTTTTCAGTTGTCCTAGACAGTTGAAAATCATCAACACTCTTAAAACGACCATCTTCAGTAAATGCCTGAACAAATGTCTGATCAGGGCTTGCAACAACACACATGTTAGTGAAACGTCCAACATTCGTATCATAATCATTTATCATAGTAAACTTGTTATGACGTTTCTCATGGGCTGAGACTAAAAATAATGTACCTTCCATTGTTTTTGGGATACCTTGAGGTAGCGTTTGAGCAATTTGACTGATTTTTTCCCACTCAACAGTACTGTTAGTCTTGATATAACCACAGCGTAGTTGAATTGGAATCCAACATTTCTGTTTGTCATGGCTGCTATCTTTTAATTCTGCCAAGAAGATTGTGTTTGTATTGTTGGCACCATCTAATTTTTTCTCTACAGCTTCCCAAATTGATTTATTTCTTTCTACCACCATAGAATAATATTTACCGCTTGATCTTTTACTTAAATAAAACCGTACTTTATCTGCTGCCATTGTGAACTTAAGTAAATTGAGCTCTACAAATAGTAAGTTTCATTTATTTTTGTTTAAACATTCACCAAAAGTTATCAAAAAGTTCATAGTTACAAAGTAACCATTGCAAAATAGCATTCCTCACACAACAAATAAACATTTTCAAGACAAAAATTGCATATTGTCATCCTAACCAAGATGTAGAAAGTTAACAGCATATGGCAATGATCAATAAGGAAGAGCATAATCGTCTGACTGTAATTTTGGAATTTGGCAGCCACCTTCTTAAATGCTTGCATATGCCTAACTTAAATTGGCTGTGTTGCTTTGGTATTCCAGCAGACATGAGCAATGCCACTTACCCATGTCAATTTTAAATATTCCAAATGCAATTTGCTCAAGCAAGCCTTACATTCATTTCATACTGTAAGTTGGCCAAAAGTTGGTGATAAAAGTGAACAAATCGGATATCGTAGTATCATATATATGTGGACAGTTCGCATTTTGTTTTTACTTAACTTACTAAAATAATCAGTCATATCATTGCGATTAAGATGGATTTTATTCATATAACAATAACTGTGTGTTTCATCAACATAACAAAAATGTGGAGAAAGCAAAACGATTCTATGTAACTGTTGTCATGTGGACTTTTAACATGCTAAAGTGATTATTATAAATATGTTTCCCGTCTAACATAACTCACACTTGTGAAAACCATAAGAAGCAAGGCTCAATTGCTAAAATATTTGTTCCGATACAGGCAGCATGATTTTGTGTCATAACGTTGACAGTCAAATTTTGATAAACAAAAAACATTACACTGATTAGACAATTTTAATCTTATTAGGAACAAAATAAATAAATGTACGGTACCGAGAATTTCCAATTTGGAATGAAAAGTACAGCTTCGATGCCAGGCACGCAAATTAGCGCACAGAAAGTGATGAAAAAACACAATTTAAAATATTTGAATGTGAAACAAGGTTTTGGGCCTTTGCTTTCGCTTTGCTTTTCTGTTTGTTTAGGTGCGCCAGTGCTACCACTTCGTATATGCACATTTCCCCTACCAAAACTATATTTTCCCCCAATGATCTAGTACCCATTCTACTAGATACCTGACTCAGCCAAATTTGTATAGTAATCATTGAGTTCTATAATAACCACAGATCTAATAATACACTAGATAGTGCAACTGACATAAAAGTTGAAGCCGGGCAAATTTACTTCCGGAGCCCCAAAGTAGTGAGAATCAATATGGCGTTGTATTAGAAAATATGTGGTCCAAGTTAATATCTCGCAATTATTAGCAAATCGCGGAGGTTGCATCAACTTTTTTGAACTATTTATGAAATAAATCATTGTGACTATAGTTTGTAAAAAAAATTGAAGAATACGCCAATACATCGCCGTAAAATTGATTTCAAGTGTAGCTCGATTTGAAAGCATCAGCAGCGCGACTAAGGCTTAAGTACTGGAATTTACATCTAAATATCGTATCACAGGACAATCTGCGATAGTGGGGCTTAGTTCGTGTGGCAAATACAGCGATATCATACTCGATCTATGGATGTATTGTAATAGAACAGGCATATTACAAAAATCAGTCAGAAATTGACACATGTTACAAGCACAAATTAAATATTTTGCTCAGAATAAATAATTTAGGTTTGATATTTTCAATAACAAGAATTTGTAGAAAGTTTTATATGCATATACATGCCTGAATGGTAAAAAATACAATAAAAATGTTGAAAACAGTAGCAAAACATCACCATAACAGTACAGCACTGTGGGCAGTGGCCATATAACCCACTGGTTTAGACTATGACAATACATTGTTTATATATATGTGTAAAACACAGTCAATACTACAAGTCTGGTGACTCTTCTTGCTTTAACAAGTAAATATTTTCCCCGTGTTGGACAGAGTGTATTGTATCAACCTGTGGTATCAACAGTTTCACAAGTGACCTGCTATTTTATACTTCACAAAAAATTTGGTGTAACAGAGGTAGACTCATAATATAAAACAAATTCCGAAGAAGCAAGACAGACTCTATGACATAGACAAGCAAGACAAGCAAGACATAGACAAGACATAGACAAGCAAGACATAGACTCTTCACATTCTTTCTGTAAATAATTTCGGAACGTATTAATTACTCACATCGTGACATAGATATATTCGTTTGCCGACCAGAAACACCAGAAAAATGCATTTCTGGTACAATAATCCAGTGCAATATTTAATTATGTACAGTGAACAATATACTTTATATAAATCGTGAAAAATCTTTCAAACTGTTATCTCCAACTCGTTTTACTTAACAATAAATATCGGAAGATAATTCTACGACGTTCGATTGAGCATTTTGTTGCAGATTGTGCTGTGATACGATATTTAGATGTGCAAATTCCAGTATCTTAAGCCTTCGTCGCTGCTGATGCTTTCAAATCGAGCTACACTTGAAATCAATTTTACGGCGATGTATTGGCGTATTCTGCTATCTTTTCTTGAAAACTATAGTCACATTGATTTTTTCATTAATAGAGAGTAAACCAGTTTATGTAACCGTCGTGACTTACAAGTAATTGCAAGATATCAGCTTTGACCAGATATTTTCTAATACAACGCCATATTGATTCTCACTACTTTGGGGCTCCGGAAGTAAATTTGCCCGGCTTCAACCAGAGCCCTCTATAGTATAAGAGTTGGGACAAACGGTCTGGGGCGAGCGCGGAGCCGCCATTTTGGTTCCTACTTGCAAAGTGAAACTATAATAATACTATTGGAAATGGGTTTATATGCAAAGAAGAAATTTAAGCTTATTCCATGGTAGTATCAAATATGTTAGGAATAATAGCAAGCTCTTTGCGTTTTTTTAACGATTTGCGGCAGACCTGATTTAATTTCATTGGTTTGATCTTCGTTTGCGGTTTACTAGTTCGTGCTTCAAATTGATCGTGACCCATTGTGAAGTATTTTTCGTACGTTAACGTGTTTTCTCGGCTTATGTTCCGACTCTGTAACAAGTTTTCAAGATCTTTAAGCTTGGTGGCGGCGGCAATGTTATCCTGCATCAGTGTTATCAAATGCTTGGACAAGACTTTGTTCGAATCTTTGAATCATAGTAATCATGCAGATTTGGTCCGGAGATTTTGTTCAAGATTTGTAACAATTTAATGGTAGTGAGTGATTTATGCCAATTTAATCCAAGCATGATATTTTTATTCTGAAAGATCACAAAATTTTCTTGCTCAGCAGAAAATGACAGACTTTTTTACTTTTTAGTTATTGAAATATGCAATGATTTGACCAAGATGCATTTGACCTTAAACGTTTTATTCCTGTATATGAATTATTTCATTTATCACTTTATAAAGTATTAAAGTTTATTTCTAATAAAGTTTGTTAGGGATTCTGCTGAAATTTTGGTGAAGCATTTCTTTAAAATGAATATATTATTTCTATAATATGAAACATTTCTGTTGTTGAAGAACAGTCTGTTTGCTATCAGTGCTACTGTTTGTAGTCTTTTATACAGCATATGAGTCTGATAATCTTTATTTAGCAAGAGAGTTAAATTTATTGGTTGAGGAATGACAAAACTTCTATATGTGTTTAATGATCAAACAGGGGTGTGTTTAGGAGAGCTCAGCCCGTTTGTTCAAATTCTATGCCTTTTATTGCCAGTGAAATATATATATCAAAAAGCTAGCAGCACCATAAATATATATGAAAGAAAGCCAGCAATATTTTAATATATATGAGAAAGGCAGCAACAGTTGTAATAGCACATTATAAAACCCAAATAGCTGAAATTATGGAGATATGCCTCTGTGATCTTATAAACCAAAACCTACAATTAAAATATCATCAACAAGTCTAGAAAGAGAAGTAATGTTCTACTTTGAGCTCTACGAAGTAGGGTACATTTGTACAATTCAATGCAAAAAAATATATTGTACTCAATTTCATTGAATATCCTAATTATAATTACTTCATTTTTAAATGATGAACTAAAAATACAAAATACAACATGGAAAATCGTAAGAGTTTCTGTGATTTGGTGTAGTTGTTTTAGTATGGAAGTGGCTGAGAATTGAGAGGTTTGTAGATTGACCAATTTCAGAACATAATGAGAAATCATCTTCGATTAAAAAACAAGCTTTGGAGTAAGAAAACTATTGAAACTGCATCAGCACGAACTTTGCAATGTTATTTGGCCCAAAATGTTTCTCTACTTGAGTCAGTTAATTGAACCTTATATCAAAGCAGTTCAGCACAACAATCACCATACGCAATCAAATTTCGTAAGTTCGACGTAAAGGCATTTCTTTCATTTTTTTCGTAATCCTCGATTTATGCGATATGTAATGACATTTAGTAGCCTTCAACAATCAGTTATTACACACTTATCCATAAAAAAACGCAATATTATCTCAAAATACTGTATTACTAGCAGCAATTGCTATATAAACACAAGCTAAAATTTCAAAACTAGGAACCAAAATGGCGGAAATTGATCAGGTGATCAATATTGCCCAATCAACGTAAGCTAAACGGATAACAATAGATGTCCCAACTCTTATACTATAGAGGGCTCTGGCTTCAACCACTACTTATGAAATGTAAGCCGTTGCACTATCTAGTGTATTATTAGATCTGTGATAATAACTGGTCTATATAACTGGTCTATTGAGGTCTTATAGAGCTCAATGATAGTAATGAGTGAGGCAAATTTCTACGCGGCCGCCATTTGCAAAGGTGGCAAAAGCACAATGGCGGTATATAAAAACATTAAGTCTGTGCTGAGAGAAATCGACTTTGAGAGCGTTTTTATGATGCTGTTCTACTGAAGTTGCATTAAAAATGGTGAGTAATTTCTTTAATATTGTTAAAATGTGTAAAATTTTTAAATACTTGAGATAGAGCGGTCTTAACGTGTATTTTGCGACCATAAACTAAAGGCTGAGTTACATAAGTATGAACTACTAATCGTGAGTATTTATTAATTTACATCTTCTTTGCTGATCTCTA